TATACAAAATGAAATTTAATTGAATTATTGCGAATTGTGGCTTCACGTCAAAAAGCCAAACAAAAAAAAGCCTGGATTTGCAAAGTAAATAAATGTGGTGAAAGTGGCACACTGAAAGACAATTTGTAAAATGTCTTTCTCTGTTTCTTCTTAAGATGCAAAACAGATTCTTCCTCAAAACGTCCAATGGTCTGAAAGTGTTCATGCTTCTGTTGGTGCCTAGAATTACAATCCGCTGCTGATTTTTGTGCATAAAATTGACAAACCTTAAATTCGGCTTTTGTCTAAAAAAAAGTCTTTCCACTTAAAGCTGCGGTACCTGACTTTCAAACCACTCAGAAACGGAACTTTGTAAAAAAAAATCCATCTATTTCCTCACTTTCTAAACAATTTGGTTCTTTCACAAGTTTTCACAAATATGTATTTTCTCACATCTTAAAATAAACTTTTTCAAGTCAAAAAGAAAGGACCGCCCTCACTCAGCCAATCAGCTCTCAGCCCAAAGAGTCCAATAGTGACTCACAAGAAAAACAAAATTACACATATATTTTTTTTGTATATTAGGAGAGTTGTAAAGATGCGATTAACCAGGACCCTCTTTGTTATAATTATACACCGCAAATCCACATTTATTGATCGCTCCGGCTGCTGCTTTTGAGAATAACACACACATCGACGGATTGGACAAGCTTTTTCCTCCATTTAAGTTAAAACAGCTTCTTCGATTATATGTTTTAATCATGCTCAGGTATTGATTATGCAAACTCAACCATAGCTTCTCACTCTTCTCCTTTGCATTCGTTTTTCTTAGCTGCAAACCAGTCAAAATGCAGTCCAACTAATATGAATGGTTTGGTTTTGAATTGTTCATAAAAAGGCAGGATTTGTGTGTATATATAAAGGTCTAATTAAAGGTATACAGGAGGTATAATTGACAATCATTCTGGTGCTCGTCTCATAAGACCGGAAAGTTTTGTTCAAAAAGAGGAGACGGCGGTACTTCATCATGAGGTTATTATTCTTTACGAGGACATTTAATGAAAGACTCCCTAGATTTCTGTGGATGATATAGCCCTATATGACTGTACATGAGTGAACAAGAAGCAAGATCAAAGAACAGACTAAAAATGAATGAACTTTCACAAATGAATCAACAGAATAAATTTAGAAAATGTGGATATAGGTCCGCTGTTTGGTGTCGTCCCTTTTCTCATCTCACTCTGAAAAATAGCTGGAAAATCCTTTCTGCTCAAACTCATCTTAACTTTGTATCTACCCGTCTCAATATAAGCATTTTGAATTGTAAATGACGGTAAAAAACAGCGGAGAAAGCCAACAATAAGAGTAATAAAACGTATGCGTAAAATGGAAACTAACATTTGGACCATGCGCTTTCTTCTCCGTCTAAATTGCAACTTCCTTCATCATTCAGTGCATCTAATTTAAACGTGTTGAAGTAGTAAAGAATAACGAATGTGTTATAGCTGTAATTCTTTTCTCTTTTTTTTAAATGTGAGCTAAATTTAAAGAGAATGACAGGCAACAAGCAGCTTCTTCACATATGGCGCTACGTGTTGAGCTTGGATCACGTCAGAGTGGCGCAGAAACAAGAATATACAGTGCGGTAAATCAGCTTTCACTGAATTTCACACGTTTGAAAAACCTTTTAATGTCACTTTATGAAACCAAACGAAGCTGCTGAAGTCATCATCCTGCTAATGCAATGCTTTCCAGACTTAGACCAGGTTTAGGCCAGTTTTAGACCGGGTTAAGACCTACTTTTTAGAGCTGTTTTCGACCTGCTTTATGACAGGTAAAGACCTATTTTAGACCTACTTTAGTCCTGCTTTAGACCTGGTTAAGACCTGCTTGGACCTGATTAAGACCCTATAGACCAAGCACTTTAGTCGTGATTTGGATCTAGTTTAGTCCTCGTTATGACCTTAGACTTTTGAGGTCTGCTTATAGTCATGCCGCGATTCAGCCCTGCTCCCTTTAGACCTGGTTAAGACCATGATTTAGACCTGGTTAAGACCGAGCATGCTTTAGTCATGATTTGCATCTGGTTTAGTCCTACAGTTTAGACCTAGATTAGACTTTTGAGGTCTGCTTTAGTCATGCCGGGATTTAGTCCTGCTTTAGACCAGCCTTAGACCCGTTTTAGACACTTTTTAAACCTCCCTTTGCCCAGATTTAGACCTGCTTCAGACCTGCTTCTGCCCAAGTTGATCATAAATTGCATCTGTCCTAAAAGCAGAAGCAAACCCTCAGCAAAGATAATGAGATAATCCACATCTTGACAGAAGTTTCTCGCACGTCTCTCGCGCCACAAGCAGCTGTTTTTATTTCCTTCTTCACAATTCTGTCAAACTCATCGATTTCACCCAAATCCAAATCTCACTGTAATGAAGTCCTCTACATTACACCTGCTAAACGGCGTGAAGCGCGGAACAGTCAGCCCGCGATTTGTTGCCTAATTATCGGCCATAAATCTTTCACCGCGCGGCTGGAGAGGAGCCAAACCAACTCCGTGTGTTTTATGTTAATCTGTGGATGCGGCTGCATGTTTGAAAATGAAATTCAGTTTTTTTTCTCTTTTTTGCCCGAAGAAATGACTTAATCAGGACCAAAGAAGCGATTTTTAATTTGGAATCATAATTATACAAAAACTGCGCTTTATAAACGAATGCAGATGTGGAAAGAGAGAAATGAGGGATGATTCCAATGTTGAATTAGTGAATGAGAAAACACGTTGTGCAGTGCAGGATACGTATATGCATTTGTTTAAGGCAAGTTTATTTGTATAGCTATTTGTATAATTGTAGAGTTCATAAAGAAGGCAACTCAAAGTGCTGAACAGAACAAGATGGAACCAATCACACAAGGCATTAGAAGTAACTGCAGAACATTAAAAAGAAAATAGATAGAAATCCTTCAGTTTTAATGTGTGCGTAAAGGGCGTCATGCGTAAAAGTGCATTTATAAAGTACGTTTTCCTGAGAGTATTGTTGTAGAACTATAAGATTCAATACTTAAGTGTACTTAATAATCAAAATGTGACTTCTGCAACTTGGGGAATTTGATAGAAAAGCGGCGACTTTGCAAGGAAAAGGTCTTATTATTACGCTGGCCATTTCGTCTTTACTGATTCCATGACGTTCTGTGCGAAGACAATTAGGAAATAAATCATAATTACAATGATTTTATTCTGTAAATTAAATCTTTGGATAACAGTTTATTTGTCTAGCTTTCTTGTCCAATGTACAAGCCCGAAATGTTGCTTAAAATTTGATCAAATCTACTATAACCACGTTTAGCGCATATGTCGAAAACTATAGAATCCTGATTTAATCCAATATAACTATTGTCAGAACGTGTTTAGGTTCTGGTGCGTCATGTGCGTATAAAGGGCGCATATTTTGGATCCACATGTCTCCAAACGCGTCATGGTTTTTGTTTGTTGTTCCATTTCTTTCTGTCTCAAACGCACTTGTGATAAGGACGCGTGCGTAAAGACTGCTGTGCCAAACGCGCGTTAAAGTGGATAAATAACGTGGCTATTTGTGCGTTCTCAACCTTCGCACGTAATTTGAGTGGATTGACAACTTTGTATTCAGTTTTTTTTATATTTGTTATACATAGTTCTCATGTATCTTGATCTATTTTGTGATTTTTTCTTATTTTATGCTAGAAAATGACGTTGAGAAGATCCGACTCTGGCACAGCGCGCATGGATTAAATGACTCTGGTTCTGGGTAAAACATGATTTTTCCACACATATAAGTTAAATTCTAAGTCTGCCTCTAAGTTAACATTGCGTACGTGTTAATTAATATCATTTACGTTCACTTCATGGAGGAAAAAGGCGTAATCACCGGTGTGCGTAAAAGTGCCAATTCTCTCATCTCGAGTTTTGTCCTGAGAAAAGTAAAAGCACCAAAACTATCATTCTTATGAACCTATGAAAGCAGATTCAACGTGTTAGAAATGTGATGTCAAATGTGAGGATTCATGTGAGAAAGTCCTGGCTTTTTGTGGGCAGAGGTGAGAACTGTGTGCACTTTTTAAAAACAGAAAGAAATGGTATAATAAATATGAAAACGTAAGAATAATAAAACGTATCAGCAGATTTCATTTCATTCACTTGATCAATGCTGTGACTGAGGCTTCCCACTTCACGTTGACTAAATTACAAACCAGTGTTATGAGAAAGTTAATGTAGAATAAATGCAAATGTGGGGAATTTGTTCATTGAATTGAAATCTCTATTCAAATATTAGTAACACATTCATACACACACACACACACACACACACACATTAAGTTTACTGTTGGATTTTTAACCACTTTGAACTCATATTTGTGTCTTGTAAAACTAAGAAAGGATTAGAACTCATTGACCAACAAAAAGAATCAACACAAATGACATGTTTTTAATAATTATGAATGAGCTGCGGACGCAACACACGACCAACCAATTCCCCTGGGTCTTTGGAAAGGTCTAAAACGTGAATTCTGGGAGTTTAAAGAAAAGGGTAAGTTTGTAATTATTGGCATTACGCCCTTTCTTTCCATTTCGTTTTTGTCCTAAGTCAAAGTTTACGCTCAACCCCATGAAGCATCAATGCCCCCAAGCGCGTGCACGTTCACAATCGTGTCTTGGTTCCAGTGGTGTTTGTAAAGGTTAGTTTTATTTACTCGATAGTTCTCGATTATTTGAATCGTTTGAAGGTGTTTATGAGAATTTTGCAAAACACGATGTATTTATTTTTTTCAAGTCAGAACGTTTTGTGAGTGTGAAGGAAAATTAATCTTTGGGTGAATGTAATGTCTAAAGTTTCTTGCTATATTCTTGGTCACTTTTACAAATACATTTCCCAGATTCAAAATATATGTATCTAGTAGAGTTAACGTTCATCTTTCTTTAGAGTCATCCTAAACTCTCAGTCCTGTCCTGGTTCAGTCCTGGTTCAGTCTGGGCTGCTCCGCTCCACACTCACCTCTGCGCAGCCGTGTTCGCGTCCAGGATCCCGGTCCCCTGCATCCAGCCGCGGACGGGGGTCATCCCGGTGGGCAGCGGCTCTTCCTTCATGGTCAGGGCCCCCCGCGTGAGCCCGTCCTGGATGGTGAACATGTCCCACGCGCTCCTCACACCGGCGGCCGGGACAGCGAGACGCGAAGCAATCCTGACAGCGACGCGTCAAAAAAGCGGATTTTCTCTTTTGTTTTCTTCTTTTTCTTCTTCTTCACAAGATCAAGCAGTTATTTGGCATTGTGATGAATGAAAGACATGTTGAAACGACTTGTTCTTGTGTAAAAATTGGTCTGTAAATTTGGCGTTTGCGTTGGGTTTGTTTTACGCGCGTAAAACAAACCCAAAAGAAAACAACGGTATTTACTCACACCACGCGCCAATATCTGTAAATATAATCTTTACAATTGACAAAAACGTGGGTAAAAAATATTTGATTGATTTAATAGTCAAAGTCTATAAATCTACTCTTTAGTATAATTGGATAATTGTGCGTAAAGATCCGGGTTCCTTAAGCGGGCTCCAGGGAATGCGTCAGAACGCGCGGTCCAAAGTCCAAAGTCCCCGATGCGGGATCTAAAAGCGGAGGGCCACCCGGATTAGAACAGGTCCCAAAGTCCCGAGGTCCTGGTTTGGGTCTAGACTACAGAGCCAAGTCCATGCGTGGATCCCAGCGGAGCGTCTGCGCGTATTTGCTTCTCCGCTTTGCTGCCTTTTAGTTTTTCTGGCTTCAAAAGCGCGTAAAACGGATCAGCGGAGTCCTGGAGTATCTCAACCGTCTCTGGAGCACCTCTGAGCGGGTGCAGGGGTGCGCGAGGAGCCGGGGATCACAGCCGCTTTGGAGCTTTCGCAGCGGACGAATGAAAAGTGGGCTGGAAAAAAACGCGCAGGCTTCAAAAAGGAGTAAAATGGGGAGATTAGACGCGGGAGGGGGCAGGAGGGAGGGTCAGGGGAGGAGGTGAGGGGTGAGGGCGGGTTGGATGCACTCCTCCTCCTACTCCTTCCTCCCCCTCATCCCTCTCCCTGCGCGGGTGGCTTGATGGCTTCGCGGTCCCCGTGGAGGAAAAAAAAAAGTCTCTCCTCCCGAGCGCGCGGGACAGAGAGGGGGAATCCCGAGGGAGGACACGAATGGGAGGGGGAGGAGGGAGGGGGTGACCATAAAAGGACATGTAGTACGTCATCACACGGAAACACGCCTCTCGGACAGCGGATTGGGTGAGTTTATCCATGGATTGGAGCAGAAGAGCCGTGCGTAAAGGCGCATGGAGCTCCACGTTCAGAGCCCCATCCTCATCCGCGATTCTTAAACTTGACCCTTGCTTTCGTCCATTGAAATGTAAGACCTTTTAAGCCAGCCACTTTAAAACTGGGCGACCTAACTTTCAAACCACAATGTATTCAAATCCATCTTCTTAGGTCTGAAACTGTTTGGTCTGAATAGTTTTGTCATGCATATTTTTGGCAGCCAATCAGCTCTCAGCCCAAAGACTCATATAGAGACTTACATGGGCTCTTTTTAATCTAAGTATATGCAAAAATAACGTGTTTCCTAATAAGATGAATAAGGACGTCATGCCGTGGTCTCATTTCTTACACTTTTAACACTCTTTCTGTTGAGACAAACCGCATTGAATGTGTATGACACAGAAACACACCAAGGGCCATTCTTCTCCACATTCTAGCCAGGTCTATGTTTTCTTTTGTCTGTCCTGTTCCCTGTGTGTGTTGTCTGCTATACCGTTTCTCTCGCTGTTCAGACAATTAGATTTGGCTATTTCTGTCGATGACGCTAGCTAAAATGGACAAAAATAATACCTAAAAAAAGAAGATTAGTGTTGTTTTAATTCATTGGATTCCTCTTCACCTATGTGTCTTAGAACTAATAGTGGTAATCTTCCAGTATTTACATTGTTGGTAGAAATACAGAAACATGGAGGTTGGTTGGTGCTGTGATTTTATTTAGAATTCTGCATTTTTGAGCATTTTTCTTTTGTTTTGCCCTTCATTTGTTGCTCATGAAAGTGGGTACAGTGCTTTCTTTTTGCCTCAGAATGTTATAATTGTGTAGGCTCAAAATAAAGTATTCAAATCAAATCAAATTCACATGAAAACGTGATAAAAAAAAAAAACTTTCGTTCTAAGACTCTGGTGCAAACGTGTGGCTTGGAATCAATGTTTCCACCAATAAGTGAAGTGGAGGATCATGGTCAAATAAAACAAAATATAGTGCTCTCCCTTTCATCCTCACCGCTGTCAGACTGTACAATGAGTCACTTTATACTTAAACTGCTGTAGCAACTTTCTAATTGTACGTAAAATATCTTTATTGCACATACTACTCTATATATTTTTCTCTTTTTTAACATCCACATTTCCTCTTGTTTGCACATTTGCTTTGTTTTTGTGAGATCAATAAAGTTTTTTTCTTATTTCTGGCACATGAGATATTTACAGACTATGGATGAGACCAAGAGACTGACCCTGTAGACAGGCATAGGCGGCATTAGCGCGCCCTCTAGTGACACACGGCGGAATCACACGTGGAACATCAGAAGTGCTCGTTATCTCTTCCTCCACCAGATTTCATGGGAAAAGTTCTGAAGTACTTGAGTAAACTTAGACTTACTTGAATAAATATGATGGTAACATGTTTTGAATCACATCCGCTCTTTGACAAGCAACATTTGTATTTGTTCTTTAGTGTTCATGTACTATCCAGCTAAAATAACATGATCAAACAAACAAATGAATATTCTTTATTTGTCCCACGGTGGGGAAATGTCAGTGTTAATGCATCACAAGTTCTGTTGAATATACCGAGGTCTCGTCTGAAAACTTGAGAACGAGCCTTTTCTGCTGCCCCCAAAGTGAAGTTTTTAAGTCTAGTCCAAAGACACATTGGGCGACAAGGTGACCGAGTGGATAGTGGTGCCGGGTTCGAATCCCAGTCAGAAGAGGGCTGACTTTCCCAAATTTTAGGGAAGAACCGCTCTCCTCAGAAGAAACGGCTATTTAAAAAAAAGTGTCTCGCATATCACCGGAATGAATGACAATTTAAAGCTGGGGTACCTAACTTTCGAACCACAAACTTCCTGGCTCTAAAGCAGTTTCCTTCCAACACTAGCTTCACATGTATCTCTGTCCTCTGTTGTATCTTTGGATCAGCTTCTTCAGACAGAAAAATGAAAAGAGAGGACCGCCCTCACTCAGCCAATCAGCTCTCAGCCCAAGAGTCAAACAGTGACTCTGGGTTCTATCTTAGTATATACTGTATACCATATGTTTTGATGACAGGATGTCGGGGTGGTGTTTCTCTTGTGTATATAATCTTTATAATTTTGTATTATGCAATTCTTATTTATGCAACATTTTGATATTATACTTTTGTTTCTTGTACACTTATTTTCTGAACATTGTAAAGCGCTTTGGGTGACCTTGGTCTGTTAAATGCGCTATATACATAAACATTACGTACTCACTATTTGCTGGAAATAAACTTTATTATTATTATTATTTACTTTCTGCTGAATTATACAAAATTACGTTTTAGATACCCTTGCTTTAAGGCAAGTGGCCGTGTGCAGCAGGAGTTTTAATCAGTCCAAAGGTAGTAATAAGGAGCCTAATATTTGTAGTTTAAATCAAAAGGGAGATGAGGTCCGCCGCCCTCAGAAAAGCCCCGATTCCTCCGTTTGTTTGCAGCTGCTTTTGAATCCTCTAATGAACTTGGACGCTGCAGAGCATCAAATATTGATCCACTCTTCCTCCTCCTCCTCCTCTTCCTCTTCCTCATCTCCTCTTTTCGAACCTCCTCAGGAGGAATTAATAAAAGTGATTTTACATGTAAAGAAATGCAGTACATGTGGATCGATCACTTTACAGATAATCGGTTTTTAAGTCCATTCCATGAAAGGAAGAAATGATCAAATTGATTCAGATTTAGCACAAGACATAATCATAATCTTACTGATCCTTCTATTCCGCTGTAATGTGCACAACAATGACATTTTCTCGTGAGGAAATGTTAATGTGGATCTAAAACTATTTGAAGAACACGTGATGATTGTCTCTGGGTCCTGTTCACAGCGAGGGAAGGATGAATCCTCCGAAAGACCATCAGTCATGCGGTCGCTTCCAGTTCACTATGTTCCCACCATGAGCTACTTTATGGGCATGAGTTTTTTGGGAATGTTTCAAGGACGAGCAGTTGAAACTGATGTTTCTCCACATTGACTGTGTGCTTTAGGAGATGAGCAACTCTGTCGGGAGAGATCCCTTTGAGGAGGTGAGCAGAGGAATCTCTAAAAGTGGAATTTGCACTAAACGTGGCAGACTCAAGCCTCCACAGACAGAACCTCCACAGACAGAGCCTCCACAGACAGAACCTCCTCAGACAGAGCCTCCACAGACAGAGCCTCCACAGACAGAGCCTCCTCAGACAGAGCCTCCACAGACAGAGCCTCCACAGACAGAGCCTCCACAGACAGAGCCTCCACAGACAGAGCCTCCACAGACAGAGCCTCCACAGACAGAGCCTCCACAGACAGAGCCTCCAGACAGAGCCTCCACCATAGATCCATGTGACCACTCCTCAGCCAGTACGGAGACAAGTAGAGGAGCAAGAGTTCCATTGAATACGGAGGTGGCCCTGGAGGATCTACCAGAGGCCGACACAGACACAGACCAGAGACAGACCAAGATGTACCAAGAGCCCCATAATCTAACTGGACAGCGGATTGCAGAGCTGATGGATGACTTAAATATCCACAGGGGCCATGTAAAGACTTTTCACTTTAATGCGCTCTCACAAGTCGCCCTGTAACAACAGTAGAATAAAAAATAAACTCATCTATGCTTTTGTTACAAGTCTTCGAGTCACACTTTTCACCCCAGAGTGGTTTAACAAGAAGACTGAAGACTCCTAAACCATGAGACACAGGCCTTTCTCCGGGGCAAGAAGAAGGCTTCAGCACCACGGAGAGCAACACCCTCTGCACCTGCCACAGCACAGCACTTTACCAGCGTAGATGAGATAACAGGATTTTCAGCAGAGTGTGAAGCGGCTCCAATGAAGACCACCTCCTCTGAACCCAAGACCACTGCTCTGGACTGAACAAAGATGGGCCTCTCCAGGAGGTGCAGAGGTCCTTCATCGAGGGAACGAGTTCCAGAATCTCAGGCCTTGTTCATCGTCTTTCATTCATGATGAGTTCAATACTGCTTTGAAGCCGACTCTGGAAACAAACTTAAAACCTCTGACGGTGAATTCAACTGCTTGTGCTGCATTTTTTAATAATTTTCATCTTGAATAAAACTGATGGAAAACTCAATGTTCTGATTTGTCAGTTGGTAGAGCATTGGCCTTTGAGCCTGAAGGTCGTGGGTTCGAGCCCATCACAAGACTTTCACCATCGACACAACTGCTGTTGTTGTTGTTGTAAAGTGCCAAACTGCTGTTGTGTCCCTAGGCAAGACACTTCACCCCCATTGCCTAGAATGAGTCTGGTGTGTGTGTGAATGGTTGGTGGTGGTGGGAGGGGCCGATGGCACATACTTGTTGCCTCGCTTCTGTCAGTGTGCCCCAGGGCAGCTGTGGCTACAGTAGTAGTTTATCACCACCGTGTTTGGAGTGAAAGATTAATGACGTGAAGCGTCTGAGGTGTCCAAAAAAGCGCTATAAAAAAATAATTATCATTATTAGTGTTAATTCAATATCAAAGATAGACTATTCAGATCATGTCAAGTTGCATAGAGAGAGAAGATATGGGGAAAAAAAAAATTGTGTTTTGGAGCATATTTGTTTCTTGTTCAGCTCATTTTCAAAGACAGTAACAAAATACATTTTCATTGGATACTTGTTACGTGTCATTGTGATCAGTTACAGGTATTGATGAAATAATCAAATCTGGTCAAGGTTAAAACTTACGAACGGACAAGAATTAAACCCATTTGCAAAATACAAATTTCTTGGGAAATTTTTATGTTGTTATGGACACTATGAGTCATGCTGAAACCAAAATCCTAACTACATGTGTGTGTCTTTACTCAGTTCAGCTTTAAAAGACGCCACTCAGACACCATTAATTTCTACAATTCTATATTTACACAATTCTCTTTTACAGTGAACACTTTTTATAAAAAGTACAAAATTTTTACAAAACAATATAAAAATACATCTATTTTCTGCAAATTTTAGGAAAAAAAGTTGAGACGAAAACAAAAACATTTACAGAGTAACGGCAGTAGTACAACACTCAGGCCTCCGCTGTGGGCCTTTTCACGGTGAGTTCCGGCAGAACGTCGACCAGAGTCCGGACGAACGAGGACCTTTGACAAACGCAACAACATGACCATAAATAAACCGCGGAACGAGTCATTTCAACAGTTTCTTTGAACATACGCTTCGGAAGTCCCTGCACCAGTGGTTCTCCGGCCTCGCGCTCACACACACAATAACCCAGAGATTGTATGTTTTGCTTAAATAGGACACATTCTTGTAGCGCGGCGAGAAAACCACCGGCCTAAAGAACCAAGAGCAGTGCGACTCTGAACACCGTCCCTGCATCTGAACTTGGCAGAAACACCTCCTCTCATTCCTTAATTTGTATTCGCTTAAAAATCAAACCCAGGGATGAGGAAGGTCTTTTTGCTGAATTGGGATGCAGCCGTGAGAGGTCGTCTAAAAGCTCTTTCTGCTTCACACAAACTTGAGCTCGAGTATTTCTGCTGCTAAAGCTGGAAGTAAACTAAAGCTGGACTAAACGCCGAGACTTAGAGCGTCACTTCATTCAAGTGTTTAATCCATATCAACAGATCGCGGCGTCTGGACCGAGGCTCCAGACGCCGGGTGCACAGATTACCGCATGGCACCTCAAATCATAGCTACCTTCCTGCAAAATGGGTCCAATCTATTTTTTCTTCTTTATAATGCCAAAAGGTAGAGATTGTTTTACTTCTTTATTAAGCTAAAGTCAGAGATTTTGAACCAAATTCTTGCTTCTTCCTTATGCTAAAGTTGGGGATTATAGGCGGCTTTCTTATTGTGCTTAAGAGATTTTTATTGAATTTGATTTAGAATATAGTTTTTATCTTGTGTTGTGTGCTCCTCATTCCTAATGTTGTCTAACTGGTGATCCAACACTGAAATTTCCCCACTGTGGGACAAATAAAACATCTCTTAATCTTAATCTACAGACCACCTGTGTGTGTGTTTGTATGACAATCTGAGTTTGAATCAGTCACTCTTCTTACATCAGTTGAAAAACCCACTCCGCAGTGCCTGTATGCAATCTAACCCATGGTCCAGGATCAGTGCACCCTGGGCCTCAACTTTGAGCCATACACATAAAAAATTATAATCGTATCATTCTTTTAAATGTACTTTAACATATCCAAGTATGTTTGTCGCGACACCAGGCTGTCCAATTTAATCCAATAGATTTCCTTATAAAGTCTACACTTCTGTTTCCTCTACGCTGCTCCACTACAAACGCCCGGATCAGAGCCCAGCTAACTTCTATGAATATAATATACACTTTATAATATACATCTCTAGTCCCACTTATTCCATTTCCTTTCAACTTTCTACAACTTTGTCTGGGCCCCTCCTCCTCCTCCTCTTCTTCTTCTTTACCATTACTTTCGTTTGACATTGTGGCGCCAATATGTCTTTGTAAGCATGTAACACTGATACCGATCCCATTTTCAACATGAAATAAATAGAAAAATGTGACTTGCAGCACATTCGATGGTTCCTACTCTCGCCTGTAGGGGGCCGGTGACGACAACCAACACCATAGTGGACCCCAGACTTACATTTAGACGATAGGCCTCATCAGAAAGGACATTTTATTGCTGGGGTATGGCTTCCCAAAAGGACATGGTTAAGTTCAGTGTCATTTTTGTGATTGGCGTTTACATGGGTCTAGAGTTACTTTCAATTTGCACGTAATTGTTTTGTTTGCATCCAACATTCTCTATTTGAGGCTGCACTACGAAAAGAGTTACCAATGGAACAAGCAGGTTTAATCTCACTACACACACATCCTTTTCTCTTATTGTGGAAGACAAATCGCTTGCCTTGATCATAATTAAACAAATAGATGCCGTTGCTCCATTGGTAAGTCTTGTTCAAGGAAAGTCAAAAATTAAACCTCTAAATTCAAGCCCTTCATTACTTGATATTTTTCCGTCATGTTGACTTTCTTTCGTTGCCATTTTTGTTCTCTCTGGGGGCAAAAGGTTAGAGAAGTCCCTCAAATGTTTTGGTTGTGACATTTCTGATTTAAAACCTGCTAATACTGTTTGGATTCACTGAAGCAGCGGGACACAGGCCGCCGCACAATTCAGGAAAATACTTTTTTTTCTTGCCCTATGTGGCATTAAAAACCTCTTCTAGAAGGGCGTTTCATTTCACTTGGCCAAACGTGGAGCCTTCAAACTTTCATTTGAACGAACGAGGATAAGTAAGGAGGTAATATGTTCTGAATTGGGATGACGCCAAGCCCATAGAGCGACTGTGTGGAAGGGAGTTGTGTTGCATATTCTACTTAAAATAGAAAGTCTACGGTGTCTTTTTCAACACAGACCCATTGTTCGTAAGCGACTTAAAATACCATAAGTCTATTTTGCTCATTATCTGGAGAGAAATAGGAAACCAGCATAAAGTCTTTAGTCTGACTGTAAGGAAGCCCAACGTGATAAGACATAAGTCGGCAATGAAGCAGGGTCAAACCGTGTATTATTGGTCACAACGATCGCACTCTCCCATGACCATGTCTCACTACAGAGATTAAGTGTGACGCCATTTCCCACGTCCGGGTTCAAAGCTGCAGCTCAAAGTTGCGCTTCAGTAAATGTGCAGACATTTGAGTTGAGCATGCTAATTTTCCTAAACAAAATCTAACTGCAATATTTTCTGTTTCGCAATATGTCAAGGATCATGGCCCAAATAGAGCAATACAATCGTCACATTTGTCTATGCCTCTATACACCACAGCAGCTCCACATCTTCTGGAGGAGAGCAGTATTCTCTCTGTCTATCAAGAAAGTGAGTGTTGAATTATTTGAGAGCTCATATTGCAGACTTTCATATTTGTGAGTTTGCCATTCTGAAATTTTACCAAGGCCCCAATATTCTTTTCAATTGAACAGCCAATCAGATCTGTGGAAGTGCTGCAATCCTGGTGAGTGTGTGCTAACCGCTGTTAGCATTAGCACCATTAGCACCATTAGCTTTGATACACTTATGTCAACAAGACGATAGAGAAGTGTGGTTGCAACGTCCTTTGACCCTGGACCTGACGCGTCATCACTCAACAGCCCACTGCCTCCCGTGCTCTCTCTAGCCCCGCCCCCCTGCCCTCACCCCTCCCCCATCTCCGCGGTGTCAGTGGTGTCCAGCGAGTAGCTCGTCCAAGTCGTCCATCCACTCCTGACTGCTCTGTCCTTTGAGCAGCGACTCCACCAGCTCGCTCTCCTCTGCGAAGCTCCCCTGTGCCACGTTGTAGCCGCACGAGAGCTGCTGAGCTTGCGCCGCCGTCACCCTGCTCGCACCGCTGTAATTACACTGCAGTCCAGCTCCTGCTAAACTCCTGGTGGCCCCGCTGCTGGCCCCTCCGCCTGCCTGTCCGAACGACGCGCTCAGGTCCTGCTGCGAGGCGGGCGCGCGCTGCATCATCTGTTGCCCTGGGTTTATGGCGTTGAGCTGCTGCTGCTGTCGGTTGGGGATGGAGAACTGCTGCATTTTGGGTAATCGCTGCTGCTGCTGCTGTAACTGGAAAGCGTTCTGAGCAGCGCTGCTAAAGTTGCCGAGTTGCATCTGCTGTTGTCCGGCCAGCTGCGTGCTGTGGTTGGCGGCAAGTTGCGAGTTGGCCATCTGTGGGTTCCACGGGACGTTTTGCGGCACCGGGTGGTTGTTGGCGGCGGACATTTGACCCGGGAGCCGCGCGCCGAGCTGCTGCTGTTTCAAAATGGCGGCGTTGTTCTGCGTCTTCATCATCATGGTCTGGCGGTAGAGCTGCTGCTGGCGTTGTTGCTGCGCAGTCATGCCCGCGCCGCCATACATCCCGTTAGCCGCTAGCATGTCGGCTTGAGGAGGCGCGGCGGGCTGCTGGGGGTTGGGGGGCGGAGCTACAGGGCCGCTGCCCATTCCCATCATGCCCTGGGGTGGAGCGAACATCCGGGAAGCGGAGTTGGCAGAGCCGAGAGATGCCACGGCTGCCATCGATGCGGCAGAAGCTAAGAAAACAAGGAAGGTGGTAAATGTAACAAAGTCACTTAAAGGAACTTTTTACAGTTGCTCCAAATGAAAACACGCATTAACCAACAACAATTGTTGCCTTTTTAAGAATAACTATCTCCACCATTTTTATTTTTTTTTTCATAGGCTCCTAATTTGACAAATAAATGTACATGAGGCCGGAGTTATGTTTTAGGTACTACTAATACACAAGTTGGAATAAGAGGCACGTTGCTGTAGTTAATACACAACACACACAATAATCTGAAGCCACAGTTCTGCCGCGGCGTTTATGTCCTGGCCTCTCTGATCATCGTGGTTTTAAGCTCTTACAGACTTTCCATTCCTCCGTCTCTTCTCTTCATACCACATTTGTAAAACCTGTGTGCAGCACGTGGGTGCCGCCTGGACTTTGTTAACATGTCCGCCTCCACGCACGTTTGTTTACATTTTAGCGTTACAGTGTGACCAAGACGTATGAAGAGATCCAGTCATTTATCAAGCTAATAGAGTGTGACCGATTGGGGACCACTGTCAAAAGCAACATATTGTCCATCTATTGGTCAGACCGCCGGAGCATGCACGTGCATACAGTGCTTTGTGAAAGTATTTGGCCCCCTTGAACCTTTCAACATTTCGCCACATTTCAGGCTTCAAACATAAAGATATAAAATTTAATTTTTTTGTCATGAATCAACAACAAGTGGGACACAATCGTGAAGTGGAACGAAATTTATTGGATAGTTTAAACTTTTTAACAAATAAAAAACTGAAAAGTGGGGCGTGCAATATTATTCGGCCCCTTTACTTTCAGTGCAGAAAACTCACTCCAGAAGTTCAGTGAGGATCTTTGAATGATCCAATGTTTTCCTAAATGACTGATAAATAGAATGCAGTGCTGTGTGTAATCAAGTCTCCGTATAAATGCACCTGCTCTTTGATAGTCTCAGGGTTCTGTTTAAAGCGCAGAGAGAACCATGAAGACAAAGGAACACACCAGGCAGGTCCGAGATACTGTTGTGGAGAAGTTTAAAGCCGGATTTGGATACAAAAAGATTTCCCAAGCTTTAAACATCTCAAGGAGCACTGTGCAAGCAATTATATTGAAATGGAAGGAGTATCAGACCACTGCAAATCTACCAAGACCCGTCGTCCCTCCAAACTTTCATCTCAAACAAGGAGAAAACTGATCAGAGATGCAGCCAAGAGGCCCATGATCACTCTGGATGAACTGCAGATAACTACAGCTGAGGTGGGAGAGTCTGTCCATAGGACAACAATCAGTCGTGCACTGCACAAATCTGGCCTTTATGGAAGAGTGACAAGAAGAAAGCCATTTCTCAAAGATATCCATAAAAAGTCTTGTTTAAAGTTTGCCACAAGCCACCTGGGAGACACACCAAACATGTGGAAGAAGGTGCTCTGGACAGATGAAACCAAAATCGAACTTTTTGGCCACAATGCAACATTTTTGGCGTAAAAGCAACACAGCTCATCACCCTGAACACACCATCCCCACTGTCAAACATGGTGGTGGCAGCATCATGCTTTGGGCCTGCTTTTCTTCAGCAGGGACAGGGAAGATGGCTAAAATTGATGGGAAGATGGATGGAGCCAAATACAGGACCATTCTGGAAGAAAACCTGTTTGAGTCTGCAAAAGACCTGAGACTGGGACGGAGATTTATCTTCCAACAGGACAATGATCCAAAACATAAAGCCAAATCTACAATGGAATGGTTCACAAATAGACGTATCCAGGTGTTAGAATGGCCAGGTCAAAGTCCAGACCTGAATCCAATCGAGAATCTGTGGAAAGAGCTGAAGACTGCTGTTCACAAACGCTCTCCATCCAACCTAACTGAGCTCGAGCTGTTTTGCAAGGAAGAATGGGCAAGAATTCCAGTCTCTCGATGTGCAAAACTGATAGAGACATACCCCAAGCGACTGGCAGCTGTAATTGCAGCAAAAAGTGGCGCTACAAAGTATTAGTGCAAGGGGGCCGAATAATATTGCACACCCCACTTTTCAGTTTGTTTATTTGTTAAAAAAGTTTAAATTATCCAATAAATTTCGTTCCACTTCACGATTGTGTCCCACTTGTTGTTGATTCTTGACAAAAAATTACATTTTTATATCTTTATGTTTGAAACCGGAAATGTGGCGAAATATTGAAAGGTTGAATGGGGCCATGTATTGTGAGATTTTGAGCCAAAACCTCCTTCCATCAGTGAGAGCTTTGAAGATGAAACGTGGCTGGGTCTTCCAGCATGACAATGATCCCAAACACACCGCCCGGGCAACGAAGGAGTGGCTCCGTAAGAAACATTTGAAAGTCCTGGAGTGGCCTAGCCAGTCTCCAGACCTCAACCCCATTGAAAATCTGTGGAGGGAGTTGAAAGTCTGTGTTGCGCGGAGACAGCCCCAAAACATAACTGCTCTCGAGAAGATCTGCATGGAGGAATGGGCCAAAATACCAGCTACTGTGTGTGCAAACCTGGTAAAGACCTATAGTAATCGTTTGACCTCTGTTATTGCCAACAAAGGTTATATTACAAAGTATTGAGTTGAAATTTTGTTATTGACCAAATACTTATTTTCCACCATAATTTACAAATAAATTCTTTAAAAATCCTACAATGTGAATTCTTGGATTTTTTTTCTTCACATTCTGTCTCTCACAGTTGAAGTGTACCTATGATGAAAATTACAGACTTCTGTCATTATTTTAAGTGGGAGAACTTGCACAATCGGTGGCTGACTAAATACTTTTTTTGCCCCACTGTACATTTGTTTATTTTTTGTATTGGTCCATGGCCACTTTTTTGAATAAAGGGAGGGAAATTAAAAATGCTGTTTTTTACATTGATTAATCGAAGAAATGATTGACAGATTGATTGATTATTAGAATACTCGTTAGTTGCAGCCCTAATGTACATACAACGTCAAGACACAACACAGACAGATGTGGAAGTGTGCAATAGGAGAATACAGCAGGACTGACCGGTGAACTGCTGCTGGCTGAAGGTGTTCTGAGTGGGGGGAGGTCCGCTCTGGTCCTGATACTGCGGAGGAGGTCGGGACAGATGCCGCTTGAGCTGTTGGTCTTGCTGCTGCCGCTGTTTCTCCTACACACAAATATCCGCACATGTTACACTACTACAATATGAAATGCCACACACTGAAACCAACTTACACACCTATATAGGTGTGTAAGTTGGTTTCAGTGTGTTTCTCACACCGATGATAAAAGTAGCTAATTCTAGTAACATAAAGCTGATCTTCACCTGTTCCATCATATGCTGCCTCTGTAAATACTGCTGCTGTTGCTGCCGTTGCTGCTGCTGCTTGAGCGCTGCTGCCATCTGCTGGCTGTTCATATAGGCTGCACTTCCTCCCAGAGCTGCTGCAGGGTTAGTGTGGTTAGCCCCCATGGCCGAGTTTGTCCCCAGAGCAGTGCCCCCTGGACCAGGCTGCTGCTGTTGCTGCTGTTGCTGCTGCTGCTGTTGCTGCTGCTGGAGAGAGGTCCCAAAACTGCTCTGCTCCTGAAGAAGAAAACAAAAAAAGGCTTCAAATGATGAAAAAACATTTGCTCCTGTCAACAAAATCTTTTCTGCCTTTATCTATATTTTTTACTGAAAGAGCACAACAAAGTGAAGACTTCTATCTGAAGAGAAGGTCAGTGCCTGCGGTCACCTGTGGGTGCTGTGGATGCTGAGGGTGTGGCCTGTAGCCATGGCCTGTGGCCTTCTGCTTGAGGTGCTGCTGCTGCAGTTGCTGTTGTTGTTGCTGCTGCTGCTGTCGTAAGAGCGTCATGAGCTGGTTCTTGGTCTGGTCACCAGTGCTCGGAGCCCTGGCCTCGTAGTGGGACAGAGGTTTGGTGTTGTTGTAGTTCAGCTGAGCTCCAGGCTGCTGCTGCTGCTGCTGAGGAGGGCCAGGTGCTGGAGGGTGGCCCAAAGAGTGTCCCATCAGCTGGGGACCTCCCTGGTGGAACGTGTTGGCCTTCGGAGAGCCTTTCCCTGGCTGGGAGGGCAGCAGTAGCTGGTTCTGGTTCTATGGTAAGAAAAACAAAGTATTTCTTTGCTTATCGTGCTCTTTATTCTGTCGGTGCACACAGAGTACCTGTTTTGCAAATGTATTCCAATGTAGTTTTTATACTGCACATGGCTAGTAAAATCTGAATCTGAATCATATCTTGAACTCAGATCATAGTGTTTTTATGTGGTTGTTTTATATTCTTATGCCCTGTTCTGCTCAAACTAACTGCCCTTGGTGGGATAAATGAAGTAGTCTGAATCTGATACAGGAGCTAGTCATACATCAGTAATTATTGCGCCCATTACCAGGACCACGCACCAGCACAGCATTGTGTGACACATGTCCTGTCTCACTGATCAGTGAGCAGACAAGCAGTCATAAAACTGAAAGATTATACATATTTATGTGGAACATAACTTTGAATACTAGAGCAGTGCTTTTGTTAACATAGTATATTTGAGATTTTTTCATTAAACCAGGGGTGTTATGTGACTATATCTATTCAAAATTGTTATCGTCCAAACGGGGCACTAAGAATGATATTTACATTTGAGCCCATCCTTCTGTTCAGTGTTTGGCGAATCACTTGGCGAAGGAGAAAGACCACTCACCGTAGTAAACATGATGTCCTGCTGGTACACGGCCGGGCTGCTGGAGGCTCCAGAGATGGGGCTCTGGGCCGTGCTTCCCATCTGCGACCAGGCCTGGGGGTGCGGGTGTTGGTTCTGAGGGTGGAACTTGTTGGGGGGCTGGTTGGGTTTGTGCTGCATAGTGGGGTGGAGGTGCTGCCTCTGCTGCGCAGCCAGCTGCTGCAGCTGCTGCGCCGGGGACAGGTCCTTAGACTGCAGCAGACTGTGGGGCCTCTGGGGCTGATGGGACTGGGGGTGCAGGGCCGGAGAGGTGGAGGAGGGAGGGGGGGCGGAGGGAGGCACTGCCGAGGATGAGGTGGGGGCAGAGGAGCGCATGGTCAACAGCGGAGAGTGAGAGTCCTGTCAAGAAGAGGAAAACTTTCAGGGCATGTTCACTCCTGTGTTGTCATACTTAAACAAATATCATTGAAACGCACCCAATGAACACTGAATTCATACAATATTAAAATACAGTTTTACAGAAGACAGATTTCACAGAAGAATCTTGCCCAGTTTGCCGTCTTGCCCGACTTGGGTGTGGCAGTCTTTAATTAGTTATTTTTTGATTATTGATTAACTTGCAGCTCTATTCCCTGTTCTAGAGACCTCTCAGTTTTACCCTGTAACATGTGCCACTGTGCGAGGGGTGTGTAGGGAACATAAGGTACAGCAGGTATTGGAAAAACAAAAGTACTCGTGCTCACGGGTTATCACTGGACATTCGTCAGTAATCACAACTATATCAAGGTCATGAGTGATTACATTAATATCATTAATCGCAATTAAATATTTGTATGGTTTGACAACGCTAGTCTAAACGATACACAAGCTGACAGTGGAATGTGTTAAGTTTTTTTGTGTGTATTTTTTATTAAGTCAGTTTGTAAAAAACTGTTTTCTCTGCAATTATTGGGTCTAGAGACAACATAAATATCCTCTCCTTTATATACGTCTTTAAAAGATCTCTTGGCTAAATGGTGCACTAAATGGCTTGCAGCCTGTTTACACGTCCAAAGCATGCATTCCATGTGGCGAGGAGTCTTACCAAAGAAGCTGGGGAGTACTCTGCTTTGACTGTGGCCAGATCTGGGGGCACTAGAGTAGAACCGCCCAATCTCCCTGATCCAGTCCCTCCCGTGGCCCCTGGACCAGCCTGGGGCTCGGGGGCTCCTGGGGTCAGCTCCAGCGGGTCCTTGCGGTCCTCAAAGTCGTCGTTGAGGATGTCTTGGATGTCCTCGTAGGCCACGGAGCAGTTGAGCTCTTCCATGAGTTCGCTCCACTCCTGCTCGTTCAGGTTGAGGTCAGGGAACAGGCTGGCTGAGTGAGGGCCACCAGAGGGGGCCATGATGGGGAGGATGTCGTCCGGCTCCTGAGGGAAGCAGGAAAACGGAATTATACTGCAGTATGTGTGAGGCCATTTGGCACAACATTTATACAATAATAATAATAATAATAATAATAATAATAATAATAATAAATTGGTTTTATATAGCGCTTTTTTGGACACTCAAAAACGCTTCACGTGTCATTTTCCTTTCACTCCATACACAGTGGTGATAAACTACTACTGTAGCCACAGCTGCCCTGGGGCAATCAATCACACAAACCAGACTTATTCTAGGCAATGTGGCTGAAGAGTCTTGCCTAAGGACACAACGGCAGTTTGGCACTTTACAGCCGCAGCCGCCCCAAAGGCCAAAGCTCTACCAACTGAGCCACTGTCGCCTAGATCATAACATTTGTATCATGAAGACCACTTTTTTATTTTGAGTGCTTCATGGCAAAGGGTGGTAAGGAAAACTGAAGCCCCGAAGGAAAACCACACTTGAAAACGGAAATGCTGTACATTGTTTGAAATGGTTTGAGCTGTGGTTATGAACATGTAGTTTGTTTCATTAATCAAATCAGACCACACCATTGTGTATTAATCTTTTGCAAACGTATATGTGCTCATCTCTACTTCACTTTTCTGTCTGCTGAAGCAGAGGCTCTCTCCACTTATCTAAAATGGAATGCAAAATGTGTTTAACATGTCCAAACCATTGTCAGTGCATTGTTCTCACCTGTTTCATCTCTTTGGGGTGGAAGTCCACTGCTGAATCTCCATCTTTGCTCTCGTGTTTCCCGTTGGCACTTATGGAGTCCGTCAGGCTTATTTTTGAGTCCAGGGGCGATCCGTTGGTGGCACGGTTGTCCAGGCACTGCTTTTTGTGTGGAGGGAACCCTTCTCCAAAGCCGTTCACCTGGTCCCGCCCCAGTGGGGAGCCAGCCCGCTCGATTTTACGTTTAACGGTTTCCTGAAGCTACAGAGGTACAATGTTTAAAAAAAAGATCAATGCAGAAGATGCAGTGCTGAGTCTGCAGGACAGAAGGCAAAGCAGCAGAGGGGGTCCGGTGCTTCTCTCAGATTTGAAAGCAATGTGTGGGGGCCCCCTCTACGGGTGGGGGTGTGTCTGACGGGGGGGGGGGTGCCTTTTTCACGTGCCCTTTTCAATCGCGGAAAATACTTTTCAATACTCAAATGCGTAATTTTGACATTTTCATTTCAAAAGGCTTAAAAGTGATAAGAGATAAAACTTTCTGTAAATTAGAAAATTATTAAAGATAGCCCCAAGTTTATGTAGGGAATAAGTGTACCCATCTGATTCGCATATAATGACATCATATGACGTTGGAAATTGTGGATTTTTGAATTTTACACAATATAAATCACTAGGACATGAACACACCAAGATAACTCTCACTGTAACATCCTAAGTGTTCAGGATAATAGTACAAACGCAAATCATGACTGCTGTGAGCAGTCTGCCCAGGCGTGCGCCTCGAGGTGAAGCGCACGCCTGAAAAGTACTTTTCTCCTGCCGTCTCCCCTGCTCCCTCTCTTCTCCCCTGCTCCCTCTCTTCTCCCCTGCTCCCTCTCTTCTCCCCTGCTCCCTCTCTTCTCCCCTGCTCCCTCTCTTCTCCCCTGCTCCCTCTCTTCTCCCCTGCTCCCTCTCTTCTCTCCTGCTCTCCTGCTCTCTTGTCTAACAAACACATGACAATGGCTTCTCCAACACGTTACTGGCCCGGTGATGGCTGGAAGCCCGATAATACATCTGTGGGAGGCACTATTAGCGATGACTTTAGCGGAGGCTGGAGCGGAGACTTAAGCGGAGGCTGGAAGTTCCAGGCTTGTTCTCCGAACCTCCCAATGACCTCCCTGACCCAGACAAACACTGGGCCTCATTCACGAACGGTTCTTAGGAACAGATTTGTACGTAAATCCTACTACGCGGTTTTTACGAAGAAAGTGGCATTCACGAATATTTCTCGTAACCAGAATTTCTCTTGGGCAAGTACAAATCCTACGAGTCCTCAGGAGCACTCGTACGCATTCAGTGCCGACATGTTCACACGCCGGGGTTGTCCTCTTTGGTGAAGTTGAATAAAAATACAACATTCCAGTGATATGTCCGTCATATCGATGTATGTATTTATTTATTTGTAGTAATCTTTATTAGTAATCTTTATTTATATACCGCCTTTTTCACTGCAGATCTGGCCTACTTTTTAATTCATTTTGAAATGAAATGTGCCAACGCTTTATCAAATACATTGGAAATCTTGCCGTGTATTAGTGACCCCTTCCTATTTATAGGGGGCATTTCTTTATCCACGGGCCACAGAACAACGGCATATATACTGCTGCTGCAGGAGGTTACTGGGTCCGCGCTGAGTCTCTGCGCTGGTCTCTCCTATGGATCTATACGGGTCTCCACTGGTCTCTCCCATGGATCTATACGGGTCTGCGCTGGTCTCTCCCATGGATCTATACGGGTCTGCACTGGTCTCTCCCATGTACGGGTCTGCACTGGTCTCTCCCATGGATCTATACTGGTCTGCACTGGTCTCTCCATACGGGTCCGTGCTGCATGCTCCTGGATCCATACGGGTCCGCGCTGGTCTCTCAAGTCTGGTCTATGTGGTCTCTCTTCGGTCCGCGCTGGTCTCTGCGCACCGGTCTCTCCAGTCAGGTCACTACAGTCTATGCGGTCTCTCCTATAGGTCCGCGCTGGTTTCTGTGTGCTGGTCACTCCAGTCTCTCCTCGGGTCTGCATTGGTCTCAGCGCTGGTCCGCGCTGGATCTCCTCCCAGGGTCCAAAATATTTTGAGATTAATCTCAAAACATTGAGATTCATCTTTAAAATAATACATAATATATTTTTAAATTAAGCTCATAACATTTTGAGATTAATCTCATCATATTCTTAGATTAATCTCATAATTTTGCTAGTTCGACTTTATTATCATAATATTTCGACTTTTAAGTCAACATTTTATAACTTTATTCTCAGTCTGGGTGACTCTTTTGCTCCGTGTAAAGGCCTGTTGCTGTTTCCTCTGCCGTCTGCACACGGCCCTGCAGTCCCTTATATGGGCATTAGTGGGCGGTTACTTATGCTAAGTACCTATGCTAATGAAGCACCTGGCACGCGCGCTGTACTTACGAGGAAATGGGATTCATCAATCTGAGAGAACAGCTGCGAACAATTCAGCGGCTTACGAGCGCGTTGATGAATCCCACGTGGGGACTTCTTAGAAACCTACCTAAAGTGGTTCTCACCCCCGCTCCTCGGAGCTTACGTCACTCACATTTCCTGTTCAAATCTTCCTCTAAATGGGCGTAGCCTGGAGGACTAAAGGGGGCGTGAACGAGACTGGGCCGTTTACATTGCTCTGGGCGGGGCGCTGCTGACGTCAGGTCCAACTTGCAGACGTCAGGTCCAACTTCTGTGCCAGTGTTGGCGCCAGATTCAAAATTCAAATGTAGTAATACAGGTCGCCAGCAGATGGCGCCTCACAGACGGTTTTAGGCAGAAAGTCTAACTTTCAACTAATTTGCACCAAAGTGACAAGATTATGACCAGGATATGTAGACAACACTATTGGACACTCATTTATACCGTTTATCAGCAAAAAAAGTGGATTTGAGGGTGAGTTGTCCTTTAAGGACAACTTGAGAAGAAAGTTGAGTAGTTTCTTACGAAGTTATTCGTGAATGAGGCCCACTGTTCCCACTGACTCAGTGAAAAGTGTCTAAAGTTAGTGTTTGGTGCAGTCTAACACTCGCACGCTGCCTCGCAGCTGCACTCGCTTCAATATGATTTCAGCACTGGTTCAACGCAGTCTTGCTCAAATATTTTGTATGGGAGCATGACGTTTTTTGGGACCAGGGAGGTGGTCTGAGATGTTTGCCAACTAGTAGCTTGGAGTTTGAATGAATTTCGACACTGACACACTCGGCTGTTTTAAACAGTACCGCAGCTTTTCGAAGTCGACCGTGGCGCCTAGAGGGTCAATAACGAAAAGCAATCTGTGGCGGTCGGTTTCAAATCTGTGGCGCACCGCCACAGATTAGCCTATGGGTGGGAAACACTGGGGTCATTAGCACGGGGTACAAAGCACAGCTGCAAAGACGACTGGCTAGATAGTATTTGAATGCTGTGTGTTGAATTCTTCGTGGCTGTGTGCACATTACTCACCGCGATGAGTGTGGTGTTACGGCTCTGCTCCGGCCCCTCTCCCCCCTCAGAGCCTCGGCCCCCCGCTGCCTCCCCGGCACTGGGCTGGCTCTGCCTCTGCTTGCTGCTCCTCTTGGCTTTGGCTTGGAGGCAGCGCTGGTGTAAGGCGTAGGTCTGCTGCCGGTCCAGCTCCAGGCGCTCAAGTGAGGCGCGATCGTACCGCGACTCGCAGCTGTTGTGGTGCTGCCGAAACAACTCGATGCGCCGACGTAACCGCTCCATGACTGCACTGTGCCTGGGCGTCACGCAGTCGCCCATCATATGGATGAGCCTGTTGGAGAAGACAACCAGTTATTTGTAATTCTTTTGCGACCTGTTCCTCAAATCTACTCATTGGGTTCTTTTACCAGCACTCAGCCCATTTCTCAGCTCTTTCCCTTGTTTAAGTAGTTTTCTCATGTCTTTGTCACACTGCGATAGTGCTTCATGAAGATTTGAGTCGTTTATATTCTCTTGCTCATCCTGGCTCCCCTGACCACTGCCATTGTGACATGCCCACTGTTACCGACTTAAGTGAATCTGTGATACGCAGATGATAAAGCAAAGCGGCCTGTACAATTCTGCCTTAATGGAGAAATCTGCTGATCGCTCGTTTTATAGTTGAAGATGTTCCTTAAGCAAAACCAATTCAGGCGAAAGCTTTGATATGGCACCTTTTTTTAATGTATTGCAAGCTCCTGGTTTCTCAGAGAATATCGGAATTCAAGTAATTTTGAGTGAGATTAGACAGTTTTCCATGACTGCATTACACGTTTACTCTGAAGTTCACTCAAAACATTTTATTTTATTTTAAATCCTAAGGAACACCATTTCTCTAAAGGGTTAAATTATTTATGAGGCAAAACTGCTCTATGTTTCAGAGCTCTAAGCAGGTTTACTTAAACATGCACGAATCAATGGAGATAAATTATACTTTTGGGAAGAGAACAACAACTGTAGAGCCGCAACTAACGATTATTTTGTAATCGATTAATCTATCCATCCATCCATTTTCTACCCTTTAATCCATTTCTGGGTCAGGGGGGTGGCAGTCAGAGATGCCACCCAAGTCTCATAGCACAAGCCCCTCACTGATCCTCTGCAGGTGGTGAGTCCACAGGAGGACGGCTGCTCTCTGAGTGTGAGCATAGCCTTGATCTTTCAGTGGGGGCTTTTGGGCAAAGTGGGGTTAAGTGTCTTGCCCAAGGACACAACGACAGCAGTCATCAGTGGGAGTCGGTGGAGAAGGTGCAGAGGTGGGAATTGAACCCACGACCTTCTGGCCTTAAGGCCAATGCTCTACCAACTGAGCTACTGTCGCCGATCGATTAATCTATCGATTATTTTTACGATTAATCGAGTAATCGCTTGGCTGTGAATTGTGTAGAAAAAAATATGTTTTCATCACAAAAAGCTAAAATGGCAACACTCGAGGACGTATTGATGGCGTAAACTTAAAGTAAATGTTTGTAACAGGCTCTTTGTGCTAATTCTGCTCTGATTGGATGAGACAGACAGATATTCATGAAATTATAAAAACAAAGTCGGTTTTAATCAAAAATACATTTTCATGTCATTTTTGCTCTGTTTGAGTCCGTGTGAACCAGAAAACGATTAATCGATTACTAAAATAGTTGTCAACTATTTCAATAATCGATTAGTCGTTGATTAATCGATTAGTTGTTTCAGCCCTAAACAACTGAACACTGTTTAGAGAAAAACTAACTCATAAATGTAAACTTTGAGCTAGTAGCTGTTCTCTTAACTTTTCTGTCTGAAAAAGCTGATCTACAGATGAGACAGCGGCCAAAAACACATGTATGTTGAAAAATGATGGAACTGTTCTAGCAAAATGAACTAAATACATGGTTTTCAGAGTAATCAGCATAAATGGTCCTCCTGACAAAAACTTAAATTACAACATGTTGTAGTATATCAGTTTGCTGATATCGGTAACAATAATATCCTTTGATTTCATGTATTCAGTCAGTAGTCAACAACAATGTCATTACCCAAAATTGACTACTTTAGAGACTGAAAAGGTTAGGTGGAAGTTTGACACTTGTTAGTTACTATTGTACAGGGAACATATCAACTCAAAAATCGAATTTTGTCAGATTTAGGCTATTTCATAATTGTTTCCCCATGTCATTCATGTGTAGGAAAAAAAATGTGATACATGATTAATGACCCAGGGTCTACTCTGGTCAAGTAACTAAGTTTTAATCTTCCATAGCAAGTGACCCACCATCAAGAGAAACGCACATGGTGTTGAATCAATAAAACAGCAGTTCATTCTAAGTTAATAACAGTACTTCGTAACAAAATGATAATAACAACAATAACAAAGTAAATCTTCGTGACGACACACAAAACAAATTCCCTTTTACCCTGTACTATCATCCTTAGTTCAGGAGGTAGTAAAGTCGTATTAAACATTTCACCTGGTGGTCTGCGTAGAGAAGCCAAAACAAATGTGCAGAAAGTGTCAGTGTTTGAGGAACAAGAAAAGTGCCATTCTTTCGCCCCCGTCCAGCTAACAACTAAATGCCATTGTATTGATGCAGCTTTGGCACATTCCTGCACTCTTCAATCTAAAAACCCAAAGGTCGTTTGAAAACACATCAATCCGAATAAATCATCCGTGTTTTCGAATACTGCTCAGCCTTCATGCTTTCACATTTTATTGTATTTATGGAGAACAGAAACAGCGCAAAGTTGCAATCTAAAAAGAAAGCCCAAAGTTGTCACAAAGTTTTACCATGATCTGCTTTGTTCTTATGTGTAGCTGGTTTTTGGGTTAACTTTGACTTTTACAAATATTTTCAACAGAAATCAGTAACATACACTGCGCTTTCATTGGGAGAAAAGTTTCAACTGAATAAACTCACTTGCTGCAGCTGATGCTTGGAGTTAGCAGTTAGCCTAGCAGTTAGCCGCTAGCTGCTAACTGTGTTTTTACCTTCAGGCGCCCGTACAAAACATGGTACTGGCGGCTTTCCTGGCCCGAGCAGCTGCCTGGGGTGGCCGCCCGGAGGTCAGCTAGGGCCCGGGTACGTGTGCACTCCGGCACAGGCACGAAACGCGTGAAAAAGCAGGTATTCCCGTGTGTTTGGGCTCTATTGTTGTCAGCGACAGAGCAGTGCTACGGCGCCATCTTGGAAACTTTCCATTTTTTTCCAGTAGCGACACGGGGAGGGTCGCGAGGAGACGTCACGTGTGATGGACAGTGGAGCGAGCCAATAGGAAGTGAAAGGTTGGGAACGGACAGAACGCACTAAAAACATTTGGGTAATTAATTCATTTATTATAATTACCCCTGGCAATGAAAAATTCACATTATTCAATTAATCAATCAATCTTTATTTATAGAGCGCTTCCCCTACTCAGGGCAACACAAAGCGCCTCACAGTCCACACCACACAAGGCACAAATCATCACCAGTAAAAATACAATTAAAAACACACAAGTAATTAAAACAATTAAAACATTATTATGGGTGCACATTGGGGTAGTCTTGCACAGTTTTTCCAAAGTGGTTTTACTGCAAATGGCAAATAAATGAATCTGAATCTGATTATTGACACTCTTGTTTTTCTTGATTCCTGGGGCAAAACGTTTAATAACAGTTCAAGTTATGTTTTTTTTTGGCTAATCACAACGGAGACACATTAGAGTAAAATAATGGTACTCTGTTATTTTGGTATCACATTTACACAAGAACTCTTAGAGCTGTCGGCTTTTAGTTTTGGAAGGGTAATTACTCAGCTCATGATCAAAAATGTGATCTTCCTAAAACATTGTTACTTTTTCTGTTCCCCAATGTAGCTTATTTCTATGTCATTATTTTTTAATGAAATTATGTTTTAATTTTGAAGCCGAGAAGAGCTTTCAACAAACTGTATTTACTGTAATTTTCTGCAATTAAAATGCATGGTTTGTCGCCTCCAACTCCTTTTATTTGGGATTATCAGAACAACAGAATTTAAAAGAATCATATTTGTAAGAAGAAAAGTCAAGGTGGCTAATTCATAATGTACTACTTTTGAAATACCATACATGTTGCATACTGGCAGGACAACACTACGGTAATAGCAAGTTGGCTTGATATGGAACGTGAAATGATAAGTCACAACCTGGTTTTAAATTTAAAAAAAATTAAAAAGGGATTCCGCGACCCGGCAATGGATGAAGCGGAAGAAAACAGATGGACAAAGGGATTGTAGACGTCTACCTCTGTCTGTGTACGTGAGGTGGTGGAGCGAGTTCCCGTTTTAAATTGCTGGACCTGACTGTGTCTGAGAACCTCTCCTGTGGACAATACATCTCCTCAGCTGTGGGAAAAGCACAACAGCGCCTCTTCAATCTGAGGAAGCTGAAGAGAGTCTATCTCCCTCAAAGACTTATATTTTTTTTACAACCGTGCCATTCGGAGTGGGCTGACAGTCTGTTCATGTGGTTCTCCAACTGCACAAAGACAGAGAAGCAGGCAATCCAAAGGGTGGTGAAAACTGCTAAAAAGATCATCGGAACTGCTCTCCCAGAGACGGCCCGTGTGTTCACCTCCCACTGCCTGCACCGGTGTCCCTACATCAGAGACCCCTCACATCCAGCACACCAACTGTTCCACCCGCTGCCCCCAGAGGTACACTCCCTGCCTGAACCAGCAAAATGGCTACAGCCCTACCCTCAGGCTGTCAGACTGCTCAATGAACACTGCCCCCCTCCTCACTCCCACGGACCCTCAATATCCTCCACTTTTACACACTTGTCATATCGCTGTGCTGTTTACATCCAACACCAGGATGCCCAAAATGTAATTGTTTTTGTCACGATAATAGATTTTTGAATATCTTGAATCTGATCAAGTTTGATGATAGTTTTTAGACGGAAGAGATATAACTTTGATAAAATTGTGGATGGAGCTGAAACTCAAGGTCTGTATTTTTTTGAGAAACAATATCAAAACATGGGGGGGAAAAAACCCCCATGATTTAGATGAAGTGTCTAAAAAGATTGGGTAAAACTTGTAACAGAGTATAATGCTGTGTGTAATGAGGCACTCATATCAATGTTCAGTTTAGTATTTTTATTCATCAAACATCTGTTCCATGCACACAGCCTCGGTCACAGTATCTCAGCGTCACGCCTGTCTCTACATAGAACATTGCAGGGAAAAATATTACAAATAAAATAAAATTTGAAAGACGTCACATTAACAGCAGAGGTCAGACTAGAGTTAGACTAGGCAGCTGTAGGCCCGTTACATGTCCAAGGAGTCCTTTTAAATCCCAAAAACATTTGTCTGTGCGCAAACTCAAGTCCGGAGATTTCAAAAACATAAAAATATGAGACTGAAATTTCCAAAACATAAATACAATGTGTGTAAATTATCCATGTACATGTAACTAGAGCCAACTAATAAAATAAAATTAAAATCCCCAAAAATGTGGATGCATCAAGACAACAAAATGTGTTATAAAAAAATTAGCTAAAAAAAGAAAAAAAAAGAAAAATCATTTTTTATTAATTATTGTTTATTTAAACAAATGTACTACAAAGCTACTATCCACCACCCGCCGACCAATCAGTGCACAGTATGTGTCCAAACAGAATTCAGAGAAAAAGTTGTTTAAAAGCCAGCGTAGCCTCAGATTCAGTGACTCAATTTGTATTCATTATTATTATTATTATTATATATCTTACTATTTGAAATTCAAATGCCAATGACTTAAATTCATGATTTTTTGTTAAAACGTTCAAACTGGAGGATTTTAAGCTAAACAGAGCGCAGACGCCAGATGGACAGTTCATGAAAAAGTTACTATTTTAAAGTTGGAAAAACATGAGACAAGATAATATTCAAAACGCTACTCTTACAAAAGGCTAATTTTGCTATTCAAATTCAAGCAAACTACTTGTATTTATTTTTCCATTACTAATAACAGGCATGGCCTTCTAAAACGTAAGAAAAAGTGCCATGCTCATAACTTCATGGGGCTTTTATGGGAGAGTGACAAAAATAAGCGCTAATGTCAGTGCTGTTTTTCTTTAATATATGGGGTTTGTTCATAGGGTCAAGGCCCAAAAACAAAACAAAAATAAGATTGAGATTAAGAAATTGAAATTCATGGTTTTAACGGGTAAGTAGAACACACGCATATATACAAATAAGCTTAAATTGGTTTTATCCTTAAAAAATCATTTACATTTTTTTTTGTATAAGAAATGTGTAGCAATCCTGGCTCTTTGCTTTTCCTACTTCCAGCTGAAATATAATTCGATTTTCGACAATATTGGTAAGTCATTAGCATTTGCTCTATAATAGTATTTCCATTCATAATTTTAGTTACTCAAAAATGAATAATTTTTGATCATATGATTATTTGTCTTTTTACAAAAACTGTACTAGAGTTTCATTTGGCAAACTCGCTGGCTTCATTGTTCTACGTCGGTTAGCATGTTAGCTTGGGTTAGCTCGGGACGGACGGCGGATGGCGACGTTTGGAATGGAATGATAACAGTTTGTAATTTCTCCCAGTCCGGGGCTTTCCGTCCGGTCGGTTTCTTCATGAGGTCTTTCCGCTGCCTTCGGAGAGAAAAGGAGAAGGGGGCACATCTGGGGGTGTTTTTTTGTAGATTTTTTTTTGTCTTGTTTTTTTGTTTTTTGAAAGGGAAAGAGGAGTTTGTTTAGTCCTTTCGGGGTCTCCTGTTTCTGGGAGATCTGCGCAGAATGTCCTCCTCCAGTTTCTAGCAAAGACAAAAGCAAAACATGGCGTTCAATGAAGTGCAAATGTGCGTCGGGGAGAATAGAGAGTTCAGAGAGACACACAAAATCTCCATGGAAATAGAACGTTTTAAAGAACACATATTATGCATTGTGTATGTCATTACTCCATATATGATCTTGGGAATATTTTATGTTGAAGAAATGAGGTTTAGAAATGATGGAAGGGCATTTTTCTACCCAATTTGATGCTGTCTAATTGAAGGCATGCGGCTTTTAAGTACAAACGCTGCATTCCCAAACTAGAGGCAATATTTTAGTTGTAAAAAAGCATTGAGCTGCTTTGTCCACAACATAAGTGTCAGGAGGGTCTGTTGGGCAGTTAGTGTCCAACTAGAAGGACTGTGGTGATGATCCAGGACACTTTAACATTCTACAACATGTATGATATTTATCAACATGATGGACATTGGTCTCTCTTATGGACCAATTCATATGTGCATATTTTGGGTCTTAACTGTTGATTTTCTGATCTGTTTTGGCGATTTCAATGGTTTTGTTAAGTCCTCGGAGATGACTGCTGTTGTGATTTAGGGCTATACTAGAATAAGTTGTTGTTGTTGTCGTCTGATGGTGCGTCAGAGTTTGAAAACGGAGCATTCAGACAGAAGGGGTGTAATTGTGTGTTCTTGATGGGGAACAATTGTTAGAAACTCAAACAGATGATTTTGCATAATATGTGTAATTTAATAGGTTTTAAACATAGAGAAGAGCCCATATACCACTGCCCCCACTTACCACTACACCACAGAAAAGGAAAGAACACATTTGGGTTCGGCTTGTGATCTTTTTGAAGGACATAATCACCAGACATGATTTGAAACACCACATAAATCATTCGCATCAAGTCTAAGGACTAACAATAATGCTTATCTGAATGTTCTGCCTTTACCTCTTAGTAACTTCCACAGTTATTATTTCTGCAACAGACAAACAATGAGTTGATGAGATAGCCATCAAAGTCAGACTTTGATCTATTCTTTGGTGCAAAAAAGCCGGAAAAGGATGTTTTTTTTTTGTATGTGCTGCTCAAGTGAATCGCCCCTGATGGGATAAATAAAGTAGTCTCTATCTGAATTTGAGGATTGTTCAGCAAAGTCATTTACAAATACTTTGATCTGGTCTTTCAGTATTGATCAAATTACTCGATTTTGACACCAATGAAAATAATCAATAGAAGATACTGTCGGATATAAATCTATCACAGCAGAATCATTGAATGCAGGCGGTGACTGATGTTCTTCTGACTGGAAGGGAATCAAGATGCAATACTTCCTGGGTAAGTACAGACACCCTCTGCATGACACTACAGCCGCTCAGAGGGGTAACCGTAGCAACAGGCTTATATCACTGCGCTGCCGAACGGAACGTTTTAAGAGATTTGTTCCTTCGGCTGTCAGACTGTACAACAAACCTGTACGAGTTAAAAATATGCACTAGTGTTTGTTTGCTAGTTAGAATTTTTTAAATAATTGATGTATTTGTGTTTCTATGGATGAGTCTTCTGCTGGACACTTGCATTTCTTCTACGGAGGATCAATATAGTACCTATATCTACTTTGGTTTTGTAAAGAGGTAGAAAATGGCTCTGTCCAGGACGTCCTTGGCTGGGACAGGTTCTTGCCAGGACTTTATTAGCAGCGTTGGGGCATTTACTTGTGGTGAGAGACAAATAGATTTTGTTCAGTATTGCACGCAATTAAATTGAAACAGAGCAAAGATATCTGTTTCAGTTAATTTTCTCAGTTTAGTCGCCAGTCATGCGAGTGAGATATTTTCTGCCTTCCAGAAAATATCTTGTCCTGTAATAAGGTCCTGTGGGCTGACTGCTCAAGGATTAAGTTTTTCACTATAGTCAATGACCATAATAAAAGTCTTATTTTCCAACCTTTTTGTAGTACCTTTGAATAAGAGGGACAATATATTGCAGAATCAAATCTCAATACTTGCTGCATCGTAATAATATTGAATTGTTGACCAAATATTCGGGACACACTTCGAGACAGTTTTTAGCCAGGTCAGTTTTACCCTACTGATGATTGTTGTTGCAATAGTAGATTCTGCTTTTGCAACAACAATAAGGATTGTCCTCAGTAATCGGAGGATCCAATCCTCAGATTTTTTCCAAGCCTATTTGAGAAGAGCACGCTCACCTCTTCGTTCTCTGTGTCCTTCTCCTCCGTCTTGTCATCGTCTGCTTCCTCTGCGCCCTCCTCTGCTTCCTCTGCCTCCTCTGCTGAAACACAGCAGAGGAAAACTCAGAAACTGCCATCTGACATCTGCTTCACGCCACCACAGGTGAATTACATGTTGACTGTGTCCCCATCAAATAAATAAAAACATAAGATTTGTCTCCTCCAGCAGACTCCAATGTAAATATCCAGGATGTTCCGACCGGTTCTTCAAAGTTTAAATCAGACATGAAGATTTTAAAAAAGTGTGTTAACACATTTCCATTTTAGTGATTACTTTTCCAGGTTTTTCATAACTGTATGAAGCCTTCCTTCAGAGCAGTCATTTGGACTGCGTTCTTCAAAGCAACAGAATTGCTTTGGGGGAGAATGTTTAGTTTACCAAATTCATTAAAAGAAATGTATAAAAGGGTCTTACTTTACTCACTTTAGTGCTAAAACTGGTCATTAAAACGGCAACTGAAATACAGCAGAGGCTAATGCTAACTTCAGACAAACTGTTGCTACGGTAACTAGCACTTGATATTCTCTAGTGGAAAATTAGTTATAAAGGTAGAACTGTTCACATTTAAATTAAAAGATAATTTCATAGAAAATAGTGAAATACACTACGCAAAGTAACAGAAAAAAGTCAAGGTTATGAAGACCAAGAATGCACATGAGTAATTACACTTCCAAACCTAATTGACAGCTCTGGGAGTGTGTATTTGAATCATCAGAACTATTTTTATTGCCATGTGAGTAACAAGAAGTTACACACTAGAAAATTGCTTTGGCTCTCGGTGCAAACAAGTGCAGAGGTAAAAATAGAGTACGGTCTGCCTCAATAAAAAAAAAATAAGTCGTGTTTTTCAACCATTTTTCATTGTGTTTTCTATCACACAAATAAAATTTGTAACTTTGTGTCTATTCAATGTTCTGTGGACTGGAACGGAACGGGAGTTCAAAGGCGCTCCCTGTGGCTGCAACACTGTGGCAGAATACATTTATCACCCAGTCCTCTCAGTGAGTGGTCTTACCTGGGCTGCTCTTGTCCTCCTGTGCTGCTGTTGCTGCTGCTGCTGCTGCTTCTGCCCCTGCCTCTTCCTCCTCCTCCTCCTCCCCCTCCTCTTCCTCTTTCACGTCTGGCTGCGGTTCGTCCGTTTTCTTATAGTCTGCAGCCGGAGTCTTTTTCTGGAGAGGACATTCAAAACGTCAATGAAGTGCAAAGGTTTAGGTGCAATAGGAATAAGAACACACTACTTTTGTTATTTACATAAAAAAGACCTATCATTATGTCTGAGGGTAACAACCTACAGAACATGGATTGATGGAAAAGTTGGGAATACGGCAAGAGATGGAGAGGGTGTATTTAGAAATATTCTTAATGACAACAATGAACATGATGACAGACATTTGATGTGAGTTCTCCAGTTGATTTTTGGAGTCTCACTAAACAGATACGGACAATATTCAAAGTATTCAGTTGTGTTTACAAGCGAGTCATCTTGAAGCAACTATGGAACATTGATTTGAGTCGGTTCTTTCCAGCCTCAACCCAGTCTAGACCCAGCCTCAACCCAGCCTCAACCCAGCCTCAACCCAGCCTCAACCCAGCCTCAACCCAGCCTCAACCCAGTCTCAACCCAGTCTCAACCCAGTCTCAAACCAGTCTAAAACCAGTCTAAAACCAGTCTAAAACCAGTCTAAAACCAGTCTCTGAACTGAATATCTGCTGGAGGTACATAATAACTTCAACAATGACTAACAATAACAAACTAAACTAAAACATTATGGATTAACAGCCAGTAAAGTCTTGAAAGTGTCACTCTAGGCATGGGCTCCACCAACATACAACCAATCCAGCCCATCATTAAGCAATACTAGGTTGCGAAAAGGTCTAAAACGTTCACTTCAACATGCAGTGAAGGTTTGCATAGAAAACCAGAGTGCAATATCATCATATAATGTGAATAGCACAATTTGACTGTTACTTCTGGATTAAAGATCTGAACTGCTGTTTATGATAAATACAGTTGTAAAAGTGAAGAGAGAGAGAGTGTGTGGAGTCTACCTTCCCAGTGCAGCAGAAGACAATGATGAGGACCAGGGGCAGGGCCACCGTCAGCACATAGACCACCCAGAGCCAGGGACGCTCCTCTGCAGCTGAGCGCATCTGTGTGACCAGGCCGGGCTGCGGAGAGGGGAGGCTCAGAGTCACTTACGGAAATATGATAATGAGATTTGTTTAATACTGATAACTTGGATTGTGTGCAGCAGACTATAACAGGCTTAGTTAACTGGTCAGAGAGAAGGAGCAACTTAAGGTGTCGTCCTGTGAAGAGCCTCAGAACCATATCCTTAAGGTGATAATTAATAAATTACATTACATTAAAAAAATCTTCTTATTATGTTTTTGTTTTGCCTTAAAATAAGTTATTTAAGTGACAACCATTAAACCCACATTTCAAAAAGGGAATTGTATCAAGAATATTATTCATGAGTGGCTTTTGCAGTGAATACTTTCCATAAAATAGAAAACATTGTTTACATTTTTAAATATGTGAATCATTTCTTCATAATGTAGAGCTTCAAACTTTCACATCGACAGCACTAATAATCCACATTTATAAGCACCGGGCTTCAAGATCCTGATCGCAGCCATTTATCTCATATTTTGCAGAGCTTTTCACAGAAGACGTGCCAAACCTTTAATCAGGCCCTAAATAATCCACTAAACACTGAGTGAACCATCGGCTTTTGCCAAGTCCACCTCAAAACAAGTAAAACCTGCCGTTTCTGCTGCATGAACACATCCTATAACATGTGACGTAAAAAGTAAAATGTAATACCACCGTCATGAAGGAAGATGAGAACGGTGATGTGTGTGACATGTGTGCTGCGTGTGACATGTGTGCTGCGTGTGGCATGTGTGCTGCGTGTGGCATGTGTGCTGCGTGTGGCATGTGTGCTGCGTGTGGCATGTGTGCTGCGTGTGGCATGTGTGCTGCGTGTGGCATGTGTGCTGCGTGTGGCATGTGTGCTGCGTGTGGCATGTGTGCTGCGTGTGGCATGTGTGCTGCGTGTGGCATGTGTGCTGCGTGTGGCATGTGTGCTGCGTGTGGCATGTGTGCTGCGTGTGGCATGTGTGCTGCGTGTGGCATGTGTGCTGCGTGTGGCATGTGTGCTGCGTGTGGCATGTGTGCTGCGTGTGGCATGTGTGCTGCGTGTGGCATGTTTGCTGCGTGTGTGCGCTCACCTCGGCGGCGCTCTCCGCAGTCTTCTTCAGGGCCCATCCCTCTGAGGCCCACTGGTCGGCTGTGTTCCTGTCGTCTGTGATGAAGAAGTTATCAAAGAAGATCTCTGAGGTCATGGACCAGAGCTCCAGCCCCACAGCACTGAACGCACTCATCTTGAACGGCTCCAGGTCCTCGAAGAAGGCCGGGTTGGCGATCTTACGAGGCTTCCACACACCCTTCAAAAGCACAGGACAAAACAACTCAGACTCAACTCACACTTTTATAACCTTACATTTTTATCAAGAGATTTTGTCTCCCTCCCCCCAAAGTAGTAAATATGTTTTATTTAAGACTTAAAAAGGGGAATAATTTCATCCCGTTTGATGTGTGTATGAGTGATACAAAAGTAATACGAGAAAAATCAGACCACAAAAGGCCATATTCTTCTTAGTAGGGCTTACATAGAACTAGTGATGAAAACCATTTTAGAGCCAGGAACTTGCATGAATTATATTATAGTTCTACATTTTGACGTTTGAAAGTAGCCCAGCTTTAAGGCTGCCGGCCAAATCAGAAAAACCCTTCCTTCTCCTTTCATATCGATCTATTAGAAGACAGTAGCTCTAGGTTTAGGCCAGAGAAATTCAACGCCTTTTGAAGACATTTTATTTTAAAGTCGTTGTTGTTGGGTTTTAATGTATATTTCTCTTCAACTTAAAAGTAAAGTCCAGATTGAATGCCTTGGAGGTCAACGGACACTGGTATAAAGTGTGTTTGATGGGCTCGGATGCAGTAGTGGTTGAAGTGTGTGATGTGCCTGTACCTGGTAGTTGGGGTTGTCGATCATGGGGGACTTCCACTTGCCCTTGTAGTTGGGGTTGTCCACCATGGGCCTCTTCCACTCTCCACACCCGGGGGCCGTCTCACACTTGGGGTTGGGAACTTGTGGTGCCTCCCACTCGCCGTCCATGTCCTCGTCCCTGAAAACGCACACAGAGTAAGTAACAAAAAAAATGGTGGAGGTAAGTATTCTTAAAAAAGGTCACATTTGTTATTGCTTATAAAGTTTTTTCATTTGGACTAACAGTAAAAGTTACAGAGAGTACCTTTAAGGGCCTTGAAAAATCAACATTTGATTTGGCTTTCTTTCATGGTTGTATATAAGAACACATTACCAGTCATCCGGCTTGAGTGCGTCGGGGTCTCCGATGTACTCTGGCTCATCGTCCAGCCAGCCCTCGGGTTTGACGGCGGCCTCATCTGGGACCTGAGCTGGAGCATCCTCGTCCCTAAACACACACACACACACACACAAAAAAGGTTTAAAGACACTGAAGGCACATTGAACCAGCCTCTACCATGTGGGGAGGAGTTTGTGGAAGTGCGGAAAGACCAGTAGAGGCAGGTCCCAGCTCAAAAATGTCCAATATGACGTGGACCCGGAAAAGGAAAAGGACCCGGAAAAAGAATTATTTGAACTGCGGTCTCCACATTGCATCAGCACTTTTTACATCCGCTTTTTCAAAGTCGTGACCGGACCGATCGCAAGCGGGACAGAACAATGACGTAGGATATTTAGACTTATTTTTCATGGCGAGCCGCGCTGGGGAGCGTCATCTCTGACTGCGGATGCGTGTGTTGCCAAGTGAAAAACTATTGACTTAGCAATACAACTGAATTTTACTCAAACACAATCAAATTAATTTGTCTCAATCCAGCACTGTGTCGATAATAGACAGTAACAATATAACAGTCGTCAAGGAATTTGAATAGTTAACAGTCTATTGTGTAATCTAATTGTTGCAGGCCTAATTCACTGTATTTTACCCATTGTTTAAAAAGACAATAGGTAAGGGAAATTAGGAAAGTATGCGGTTTGAATGTGAAGATTCATTTTTGGCCGCAATTATGACAATCCATAAAAAAGAAGCCACAATTGGCAGATTGTATTAATCTGATAGTGTAATTGAAATTTCATGTCTTAAAACATTGGTTGAAATCAAACGAGTCTTGCTCCCAGAGATGAAGATCTGCTTTTCCTTGGACTTTTTCTCTTCTTTGTTGCATTCTTTACATTGTGTTTGTCAACTTATTGTTTGTACTTCTACCCAACTGCGTGTCTGTGTACCCCTGTCCTAAGGCAGGTGGAAACATACCAAGTTTTTAGCCCGCGACCCTCTTGATAAATGCGCTGCTCCCCTGCGACCCCCACCTCAACAGCCCTTCCTGTCGCATTAAATGAGCATGTATTTCCTTGATTTGGAATAACGCTTTCTACACGCGCAGTCGTCATGTGAAGCATAGAGACTCGAGCCCATGTTATCAGCAAGGACGTCCACAAAACACGAGACTAGCGTAGTGGCGCGTGGCGTACCGAGCTGCACGTGCCAGGCCAGAATAAGAGCCCTGCATATTTTTAATAGCATAGTGAGGCAAGTCATGGGCTTGGCGGGCTCCCCCCTTAGCACAGGTGGAGGGCATTTCTTGCACCTTCACTGTTCGCTGCCCTCTCGGATGTTCCTCCGCCAGTCTTCGCATCAGCCTCACCTCTGGCAAAAGGGGCCTCATATTAACCACATTCCATTTTAAAGCAGGTATTATTTGTTTGTAGCCTCCAAACACCTTTAGCTTCAGCAAAGGTGTTAAAAAAAAAAAACTCAATATATATCGTTATCGACCGATATGAATGACTTATATCATTGACTTATATCTATGTCTCACTGACTGCAGGAGAACATGGACCACTGGATTTGCTCCTTCACTGTATCCAACAGATCAGTGACTGGATGCAAAATAATTTCCTCCAGCTAAATGCAGACAAAACCGAAATCATTGTCTTTGGTCCCCAGAAACAAAGAGAGGGCGTCATTTGTCAACTTCAGTCTCTCTCCCTACTTCCTTCAGACAAGGTCAGAAATTTGGGGGTAATACTGGACTCAGACCTAAATTTCAATAGCCACATAAAATCAATAACATCAACAGCTTTTTACCATCTGAAGAACATTGCCAAAGTTAGAAATATAGTGTCCAGGGCAGACTTGGAGATTCTTGTCCATGCATTTGTCTCCAGCAGGCTAGACTACTGCAATGGCCTGCTTACAGGTCTGTCCAAACAGACCTGTAAGCAGCTGCAGTACATCCAAAATGCAGCAGCTAGAGTCCTGACAGGAACCAGGAAGTATGACCATATTAGTCCGGTCCTCAGGTCTCTGCACTGGCTTCCTGTGGCTCAAAGAATAGATTTTAAAACGGCTCTGCTTGTGTACAAGTCTCTCCATGGCCTTGCACCAGAATACATTAGTGACATGTTGGTGTCATATGAACCGGCCCGGACTCTGAGGAGCACAGGGACTGGCCTCCTGCTGGTGCCCAGAGTGAGAACCAAACATGGGGAGGCTGCGTTTCAGATCCATGCAGCTAAGATCTGGAACAATCTCCCTGAAAATGTGAGGGAGGCGTCTACTCTGTCAATGTTCAAATCCAGGTTAAAAACTGTTCTGTTTGCCTGTGCATACAACTGAAGGATTTTATCTCCATTTCTAATGCACTGCTGTCATTTATTTATTTTTTTAAATTTCTTGTGTAATTTTGAAAGTTTTAATGGTTTTATTCTTTTGTGTGATTTTAATGTTTTAATTGTGTTTTAATCTTTTGTGTGATTTTAATGTTTTAATTGTGATTCTGGTGTTTGTTTTATGTGATGATTTGTGATGTGGACTGTGAAGCGCTTTGTGTTGCCCTGTGTATGAAAGGCGCTCTACAAATAAACTTTGATTGATTGATTGATTGATATCGTGATATAGTTTTCAGCCGTATCGCCCAGCCTTATCACACACGCATTTTCACCATGAAAAGTTGGCGACACCCTAGGTGCCCTCTGTACTCACCAGTCTTCAGGCTTGGTGGCATCGGGATCCTGGATCTTGGCTCTCTCGTCCCAGTCCTCAGGCTTGTGGTCGTCTGGGTCTTCGATCTCAGCAGCGGGGTTGACTGGGGGGGTCATGTCTGTGAGCAGGTTCCCGCTGTTCACCACGGTCTGGTCCACCAGCACCTCGAACGAGTTATCCGGGTTCAGCACTGACAGAGCAGAGACAGAGACATCACATGATGTCCAGCTTCACTTGAACTGGACTCACAGGGCAGAGCGGGGCCAAAGAGTCCAATGGAATGTTGAGAAACTTGCTCAGCAAAAATGGCCATCACTATTTGTGGTTATTTTATCCCATAATTGTTATCTTTAAGTAGTGCTGGGCAAAAAATATGGTGAATTTTGATTTTATTGCTGATGATCCAGGACCCTCGACATTAAACAACATTTATGAACATTTCTCACTTGCCCTTTATGGACCAGTTTTATTTTTTATCATTGCATTTCTTGTGCAGTTCTGTTTTGGCGAATTCCACAGTTCTGTAAAGTCCTCCGCGTTAACTACTTTTGTGATTTAAGGCTATACACGAATACATTGAATTGCCCCCTTTGAAAGATTATGACTTACACCAAAGTCAATAAACTGATGAAAAAGCTCAAGCTACATTTTTTATTTCCATCTCAAAAGATCATAGCTGCCATTTCAAATATGATCAATGTTATCTTTCTCAAAACACATTTCGTTATCTTTCTCAAAACACATTTCATTCTTTGTGAACTACCTGGACTACAGAGGCCTCGAGAAGCAGCTGATCCGGACCAGGATTTCATTATTGACATTTTTCACATCTTCAGAAAGAACTATAAATGGCAAGTGCAGAAGTGCAGCCTCATTGCAGCCTGGTCATTTTTGATGAAATGACATTCAATCTAGTATTTTCCCTCCACAGACTTTGGATCGTGTGTAGATGTGTGTTACTGGGGCCTTACCGAGTGTGTAAAGGTGGCTCTTCTTGTCTGTGTAGTATGTGCGGAGGTCTGCGTCGGGCTTCTTGGCGTGTTTCTCCTCAAACTCGCCGGTCTTGGGGTTCTTGTGCCTGAAGATGAAGTGCAGCTTGTAGTCCTCTCCACATTTGTCTGGGCCAAACATGATCGTGTATGGAGTCTTGTCCACAAACTGGGCCTGGGGGCACACAGGATAGGGACTACATTTACAAACAATGACCCTGAAAACAATGGCGTCGCATCATCAGAGTAGTATCAGTACCAAGTCTAGATCCGGAGTCTGAGTGAGCAGTTTGACGTAGGCCCCTCCACAGTCGATCCCAGACTGGAAGTTCACCTCATACCTGCACAGTTAAACAGACAGACACATTACCATCAACAAAACAAAGTGAAAGATCAGCTTTATTTTTAGAGTTTTATGATTTAGAATGTGAAATTATTATTATTATGATAATCAAGTAGTTGCCATGCTTCTAAGAGGAGAGTACTCACTGGACAATAAGGGGCTTGGTGGTGAAGGAGAAGGGCCGCAGGAGCTGGGCTGAGATGGCGTGGTGTTTGGCCCTGGACTTCAGCACCAGGCCTTTGTCTCCGGGCAGTTTGGTGTCCCTCATCTCCTCCACAGCCCATTTACCTAAACGCAAGAAAAACAACTGTAAAGCCGCATTCAGACCGGATAATGCGTTGGCTTTCAATGCAAAGTCAATAGTGACGCCCGTTCGAGCGTCAAAACGCCCAAACGTCTTAGAATGCACAAACGGACCACGCTGGGAAGTCGAAGGGGAGGAACGCAGGAGATGAATTTTGCTCAACCTTTCCTGCACGAACCTTACCGTTCGTGCAGCGACCAATCAGAGAGCCGCAAAGTGGTCACGGGGACATTAGCGGTCTGAGCGAGAAGACGGAAAATACTCATAAACAGACAAAACAGGAGCTACACCAGGACTAAAATCAGGACTGAACCAGGACTGAACCAGGACTGAACCAGGACTGAACCAGGACTGAACCAGGACTGAACCAGGACTGAACCAGGACTGAACCAGGACTGAACCAGGACTGAACCAGGACTGAACCAGGGTTGACAATGGGGGACGTAGTGCTTGTTAACATGTGAGTTCATGCTCTCCTTTCTAGCTAAACTCTGTTAGCATCAGAGCCCGCCTGCTACTTCCGCCACTTCCGGCGCGTGTCAGGACTTCTGGTCTAAAAACCCCTGCCTCTGAAAACTAGAGAATGTGCGTTTCAGCGTTGGCGGTTTGAACACAGCTTTAGAACAGTGGGCGTGTCACGATGGTCAGAGGGGCAGGGGGAGAGGAATGGCGTCTCAGGGTTAAGATCATATAAATGACTCAAACAAGCAGGAATCGCTCCAATTCAAAAACGGATCATGTTGCAGAGTAATGGTGCGGCGAACAGATCCCTACCGTCGTATTTGGCGATGTCCTCATCTGTGTCCTCCTTCTTGGCGCTGGACAGAACCCAACTGAACAATGCAGACGTTTTGTGTTATTTGTGTTATATTATTATACAGTACTGTATATTAGGGCTGTGGTGAAATTACCCTAATGAGTTAATAGTCTTTAGTTTTGGCAAGTGCCTCAGAGGTCTAACTACAATCTTGGTATTTTGTCTCCTACAGAGGGAAATATATACATTTTGGTGCCATTTTTAACTATTAAAGTTTGGGGCAAATTTAATTGAGGTTAAATCCATTGTCCTTCATCTTCTGTGGGATGAAGGACAATGATCATAGAGTGCGGCAGTAGCTCAGCCTTTGAGCCAGAAGGTCGTGGGTTCAAGCCCCGCTCAAGACTTTCACCATCGACTCCCACTGTCTGCTGTTGTTGTGTCCTTGGCAAGACACTTAACCTCTGGGAACACCAGCCACAGTGGGGCGGCTGTAAAGTGCCAAACTGCCGTTGTGTCCTTAGGCAAGACACTTCACCCCCATTGCCTGGAATGAGTCTGGTGTGTGTGTGTGAATGGTTGGTGGTGGTCTGAGGGGCCGATGGCACAGACTGGTTGCCTCGTTTCTGTCAGTGTGCCCCAGGGCAGCTGTGGCTACAGTAGTAGTTCATCACCACCGTGTTTGGAGTGAATGAATAATGACATGTGAAGCGTCTTTGAGTGTCCAAAAAAGCGCTATATAAAACCGATGCATAATTCTTATTATTATTTTATTTTAAAATGTAAAAGAAACAAAAAGTATGCTAATCCCTGTGATTCCTGTTTCAATATATAATTATTTTTTCAAATAAATTGTTTTACATTTTCATTGTTTTAAATTTCAGTAAGACACAATGGGGAAGTGTCTTACTTGTAGTGAACTTACCCCTTCTGCACACTAGTGAGACATCAGAGAAACAAAAGCTAATTTGTTGTTATATCCATCCATCCATTTTCTAACCCTTAATCCATTTCTGGTCAGGGGGTGGCAGTCAGAGATGCCATCCTATTGCAGTTATATATAATATAATATAATTAAATACTAAATAAAAATCCCAATGGTGTAGAATAGGGATATATCATTTTTGTACGCAGTGCTCACCCTTAAATCACAACACAGATTGATTAAGGGGAGTTTTACCGAAGTCAATACTTTAGCTTCATTCCATAATTTTATTCAAAATTTAAAAAGGAAGAAAATAGCTCTGTCAATGACGTCATAGTCTGTTACAAGTTTGAGATCGAATCCTTTAGAGATCGGGCGGGGGATGTGTTTGGATAAAGGACTCACCCGTCCAGAGTGTCTCGGTCGAAGGCCTCAGCAAAGTAGTGCTCTCCTCTGGGCTCAGGGGCTTTGTACGTCACCTGCACAGAACCAGTGTCAGTCGCGTTTATCTACAAGCTTTCTCGTCAAAGTGATACAAACTATAGAGAATCAGACATGTTTGCTATCGTTCTAAACATGCAATCATCAGGTGTGAGGAGTTACTTTGGGAGCAGGCGGGGCGGTGGTCTCTGGGGCGGCGCTGGGGTCCTCGTCCTGGTCCAGGTCCATGTCTGGGGCCAGCTCCAGGTCTTCGTCCTCCACGTCCAGGTCGTTGAGGTCCTCCATGGTCATGTGGTCATCTTCCAGCTGAGCGGATACACCCAGGAGGCCGAGGGAGAGGAGCCCCAGGGAGAGGAGCAGGGCCACGCGTCCACCACACATATCTGGGAGCACAGGGTGTCAACTTTATTTTATTTTTTTTAAGTCTCAGCAAAACAACCACATGTTCCACAGTTCAACCCCTTGTAGGAAACACAAAAACGAAAACATGAAATGTTGCTTTCCTTTCAGCACATATCCTTCTATCCATATCCTCTTTCTGTAAAGCAATTCTGTACATTTTGAAACAAATCATTTCACTTTGCCTTATATAGAACCAGTACTTTTTGTAAATCCACCAGATCTGTAGATTAAAAATATATGTGTAGTTCCCTAAAGCATGCTTCATGGATGACTCTTAAAGCTCTCTTCTTCAAAACGATGAGTGGCTGAACTGCTAATGTGTAATTGTTTTCCCAAACTTCAACACAATAAGTTAGGTATGACAAGACTAAGGTACAGTAGAGCATACGTAAAGACTTCTGATTTAAAACTTGCCTTGACTAATGTGTTACTTCCAGTTCATCTAATCACATTATTTATTTTTCTAGGTAGGCAAAAAAAGAGCTGTAAATAAACTTACAACTATAACGCTTGATATCGTGCTATGTTTTGGTCGCATTGAGCCTAATCCCATCCATATCTATATAAAAAATAAGTTAAAATTGCCAAAAAACGCTTTAGCACCAACCCCACCTTTAAAATGTTTAAACATGCATCTGCCACAGAAAAACTGGATCGGTAGACTTAATCTTAACCCATGTAAACATGCACTGCAGCATTCAAATAAGTGTTTTGCAGCCTCCACTCCCAAAGGGCGGCTATGTAAACTCAAGTGTCGTCAGGGCAGCGGTGGCCTCATGGGGGCGCTATTTTAATGAGATTACTCTGGGGGATTATTAGCACCCCTCTTTAACCACACACATGGGTCACAAGACAAAAGGGATAATCACAGATGCCATGAGGAAGGATGGGCTTGTCAGACGAGCAAGTCCATAACCAGGAAAAAAAGAAAAGAAAGAACAAACAGACTGAAGAAACAAACAAACTGCTGCTCCACGGTCCATTTCATAATTATATATGTGGAAATGACCTGATCGGTTTGAAAAATGAAGATACAAAAAGAAAGGCAGACCTAATCTGATTAAATCCAGATTACAGGCCAGCCACATGCCTACTCATGGGTGTGGGCATGGCTCGTCCTCAGCCCAATTAAGTCACTACAGCAACTTAGGGATGTAACAATTCATATATCTCACGTCTCAGATTTCATTGCAATGACTTGTGCGCATCTTCATCATCATTACCATCTTAAAATGCATTGTACAGTTTTTTCTGTATGTGGAACGGGGTGTAAACCATAACCAAGTCTGGTAACCACAAAACCCACAGTATACTATAGCTCATATTGTGGAGATGTGGACATTATCAGTTGAAGAAAAGTATTCGACCCGACAGTCAGAGAGATTGGCACATATTTGGGTATCTGCTAGAAGTACAGTCTTAACAGCTCCATGAATGCAGATATTTTAAGATTAATATTAAGAGATCCTTTATTGCCATAATATATCCTGCATTTAACATGTTTGCACATTTCTTTCTTTTGCACTATCTTGAGTGATTCTATTTATGCCAGATGTGACGTGTACATTTCTCCTGTGTGAGATCAATAGTCTATCTTATCTTATTTGTCCCACTGTGGGGAAATGTCAGTGTTGCATCACAAGTTACAGAACAGTAGGAATGAGGAGCACACAAGAGAATATTCAGATAATAATACTGTATTCTCTAGTGTAGGAAATATATACTTGTATACTGTATGCGTCCTCAATTTACAGTTTTAATAGCACCCATGGTTCTGTTTCCTGGTTGAATGTGGGTTTTCTAGATTATGACTGGTAACTGAACTGCATGCATTGATACGGGCTTTACCAGTCTAACCAGCCGGCCCAGAGCAGCCAGGTCTTAAGTAAATGCCTTCATATTAAAACTAATAGAAAAATCAATGACTTAGAATGGGGTGACATCTTTGCAAAGCTTAACAATAAACATAGGAACCTAAATCTTGTCTTTCTTTTTCGGATTGGTGAATTACTGTTGAATGCAGGGGCAGAGACCGGGATGGACCGCGAGGCTGATGCATTGTGGGATACAGTGTTTGAGTGGGTCTGTTTCTCATAACGTCAGAAGATATTGAGCAGATTTCATTTCCCAGAGAGTGGATTTTCCTTTTGAAACCATTTCTAATCAGCCGCTTCGGAGCAGCACTGCTATCTGCCCATCTTTATGACACAGGAGCAACAATATCGAAGAGCTGGCATAGTAGTTAGCCCAGCTGTCTCTTGCCATGTCACTGTATTTGAATTCATATCCAAATGAATTGTAAAAATTAATTTCTTAAGTGTAACCAGTGTTTCTTTAACCTTTATGACGAGTGGCACAGTTTTTCTCTTTGAAAACAATTACATGGCACACCGCCAGCTGAAACAAAAAATAAACTAAGCAGCCGTTCTAACAATGCAAAGTAATACTCGTGAAAATAGGTTATATAGAATATTCAACGCAAAAGGTCTTTCTAATCTTCTCACATTCTATTGACCAATGAGATCATAATGGATCCCTTCCAAAGGCACAGCAGACTACAGCTTGAAAAACACTGGTGTAAACCACACTTGATCCCGATAGAAGCTTTGAGGGGCCCCACGTCATCTAAACAGTATTGTTATTATGTAAACAAACCCGTGCTAGTACTATAGAATAGAATTATATTAGCAAATATCCTGACAAATTCTTATGATTTTAGCCCTAAGAGGCAGATTGTCCACCGCCAGAAATGTACAAACTTTCTTAGTTTAAAGAATACAAGAATTTACACATCAACAATCATTCACGCTAGACTTGCGTGAGGCAATGAGGGTGAGGGATCCCCCTAAGGACACAAAGGCAGTCTTGGCATCTGGAGTTCTTGGGTCTCGCAACAGAGTACGAGCTATCCTGTTTAACTTCTGAGATCTGACAATATCAGGCTTTCACATGCAGGTTACTACATCTAATCCCATTCAGTGCGCTTTGATTGGAATAGTACGCACGTCCGTAAATAGTTCCAGTGATGCCAGATGACTTGCAAACAGCGCGTATAGTATAAACTGTACATGCTCCATTGCACATGCGACACGCTAATCCTTAAATCCCAAGCTTTTTGGGGACCACACCTTTAATATTTACATAGTGGATTTCAGCGGAACGAACCTGAAGCTGCTTGAAATATGATTAACCTGCCAAGCAGACGTGTAGAATGAATACAGGACGCAAAACCTCCCATTTGACTGAATAACCCGCTTCTCTGTTACTTATAAACTGTGCCATGCAAATCTATCGGAACTCCCCCCGAAGAGAGCAGTACACACGGCTTGACTGCGATTAGTCCCCACGGCGATTCTGCTCTGGAGCTAGCTGTCCACGATTATGACAAAGCACAATTTCGATAATATGATGGTACCTCTTAAATGTGTCCAGTCTAGAGCGTTACTTGAATATGCATAAAAAATATCGCAAAATAGAGCGTGGCTAATTTGACTGTATGCTAGCTGCTACTAGATCTAACGTGACAAGTTTATTGCCTATTTTTCCCCAACGCACTTATCCTGTCTCTTTAAATTGGTGGTTGTATGATCAAATTATTGCATTTGACACATACTTATTAAATTTTCATATCGTTTAAGGTTAGTTCCAATTTATTTGGTTAGGGTTTGTAAGAGCTTTAGGAACACTAAGCTAATCATGTCTTGGCAGAAGTGCGTTTGGGGAAAAATGGCTAGCAGCAGCTTACTCCAGCACGCTTTCGTACGTTTACAAGCAAGTTTACAATGAATTTTGAAACCGATCCGTGATATTTACGAGCAGACATGTTCATCATCTTTGTGGCTACGTGTGAAGTCGCCGTTGTGTGCAATCGTGTTGTTAAAACAGAAAATAAATCGCGTTTTTGCTTACCTCTCGCTCACTGTGAACGACCGCCTGGGAACTAGTGAGGAGGGTCACGTGGGCCTTTGGGGGTGACAAGAGCCCGCCCCCTGCTCGAAGATGATTGGTTCAAAGTGAAGGAAAGGTCGCCGCATGCTGTCAACTGTCATGTGCTGATTGGACATAAGCAGCTGTCTGTCAGAGAGCACAGAGCCCGCCCCCCGGAGCTGCACCTCGTGGACAGCGCTGATTGGACGGAGTGGCGCAGGAAGTGACAAACATGGGCTGGAAGAGTAAAACCGGAGGTGATGCAAAGAGGAGCTGTCAAATACATTTTATGACATTTTGATCAACGTCACAAATACTTACGCGTTTGTAAAGGATGTAATTGTACTCTTTATAGTTCATTTTTTTGTGTGAAGGTATACCATTCTCCTGTCTGCCATATGATACTCTATGGCACCTGTTGATCATTATTACATCTTGAAACAATGTAGGCCTAATAAAAGAGAGAAATGGCTTATTCCCATACTCTGCTCTCTGCCCCTTTATGCAACGTCATTGTTAACTGTGACATCGCACAATTCGTTCAGAATATACAGTCTATGCACAGAATTCATGGTTAAGTTCGAAATCATGCCCCATTCATTATTTCCTTTTACGGATCAATCATCCTGGTCTTTTTGCAGAAAAAAACAGCTACAAAGTATAATGTTTCCGCCCTGTCTGTTCTGGAGTGCAGTTTTAGTAACAGACTGATCCACCCTCGCTGTATGAAGAAGAGGTTCTGCAGGTCTTTCCTTCCTGCTGCTGTCAGACTGTACAACACACTATGGCCCACATGTCATCTGTGCAATAACTGAATATTGTTAGAGTGTGCAATATGTGACCACACGTGTCCACTATCACTTTACTCAGACACTTTTAGCCCTGAACCTCATGCTGCGATGTACACTGTGAATATTGGAACCCTATTTCAGAGTGAAATAAAAAAACGTGCACAGGTGAAACACGTGAGATGTGTGAGATTCCGTCTTCGAAAAAAGGAAATGCTAGAGTCTGTTTGAGTTTATGATTCTGAGCGGGCCAGCTGCAGTTAGTGTTGTTCCTTAGGTCCTGTGTCTCTGATGTGCTCTCTGGGCCTGTGGAGTCCAACTGTTAAAACCAGAGCTCCAGAGGCCTCCCCATCACTGTAAGAATGTAGGATTTTTAAAGGGATGCAGCCATTTTAAACATTTACCTCTATTCAGAATATACAGATCAATCATGAGTGTGTAGTATTGAGGGCTATTGGGTTCTTTGACGCCATTTTTATACTGTAATGCAAAGGAAGACCGTATTCCATAATACAATCTTGAAAATACCAGAGGAATCTCAAGAGCATTACTAAGATTATGACATTGTGTTTAATTTCTAAGAGTTGAATAAAGAGAATGATGCAAATTTTGTATCAATATGAACAAATAGCTTTTTAACTTCTAATAAGCTTTTTTTCTTATGTATTTCAATACAAAATAGGTCTTCAATAGTTCTTCTATAATAATGATCACATCAAGAAAGAACTTAAATTTTGATTTCAATTTACAGAAATGATTCCAGAAACCTCTGCACTAACACTGGCCTATATATAAATGTTTTACAATAAAGTCATATACAGAAAAAAGGATCAAAAGATGAGAACCACCATTCATGATTTAAATATTATTCTTTATTACAACAGTTGGACCAAATTGAAATCCTAAAACAGAAACAGCATTGATCCAGTGCTTTTCAAATAAAAGCTGTAAAAACGCAGTCAAACACACAGACTTTGGGGGGCGCTACAGGAGATGGTCACTCGCTCAGACTCAGTCACACACTGTTTTTATTCTTATCCATGACAAGTTTTTCTATAAAAGTGAGGTGAGACAGCAGAAAGGCCTCCGGAGAGAGTTCAGTAGTGTGTATGTGGTTGTGGAGGGCTCTGGAGGCGGCTGAAGTGTGGGTCAAGCGTACTGTGAATGAATGCCACAGTTCATTAAGAAGCACAAAGGTTTCTGGGAGTTGGAGTTTTCTTCAAACGCTAGTATTCTGGGTCATTCAAGGAGTTGAGAGTTGTCTTATATGTACAAGCCAACACTAACAGACACGCTCAGATATGTGGATACCAAAATCACATGAGCAAATAGACATGAATTTAGGATTAAAACAATAAAAATACCAGATTTCAAGTCCATCACATGTGGTACCGGACTGGTACTGGACAGGACAATTTGAGCCAAGTATCAAGATCGGATCAGACCCTGCCTACTTAAAAAGAAAAAAAGGCATCTCATGGACTTGAAGAGATATGAAGAATGTGTAGTATCCATATTATCTCAGAAATAAACAATTAACTAACAGAAAACAGCAAGTCACAGCATGGAATGTCCTTTTGCACGGTGGACATTAGAAACTTTTGTATAAACACATGACTTTTTTCTCACCTGTTTTAGTTCAGTTACTTATTCTGCCACAATATTCAGAGAGGTCATTCTTTTTGATTAAACCCTAACCACAAGGAGATGATATGTGATGAAAAACCCCACTCAAATTCGGAACGATGGTGCAGTTTAGTTTAAATTAATTTAAAAAAAGTGTAATTTCTTTTTACACAGTGTATGTGAACATTCCACTGCAACTGCTTCAACAGAAGAAGCTACTAGAGCAGGGGTCTCCAACTTGTAGCTCAGGGGCTATCAGTAACTCGCCGCCTCCTTCCAGGGAACTCCCAAAAGGATTCAGACAAATCAGAAAATACACTGAATATTTGAGAATGTATTATTCATGTGCACTAGTAAAAAAGTGTGAGGATAAATGAAGCCTGTTGCTAGTGCTCTCATCAATACATCAAAACATTATACCAGGAACGCTTCAGGAGCAGCACTTTTCCCTTTACATCTTGAGAAAGTATAGCTCTCTGGGTGAAAAAAGGTTGGAGACCCCAGTTCTAGGCGCCAGGGGGTATCATTTCTCCATCTCAACCAAACAGGTGAGACGAGCCCATTGATGACGTGAATGGGCGTCAATGGGCTCTAAGCACGCACCACTTCCGCGTTTTAGTTATAACAACACTTGACTTCCAGTGCGCGGGGATCGGCTTTAGTTTCACCGGAGTTCAGCAGATGTTTACCCGAGTTTCCGGTAATAATGCTCAAACAGGAATTAAACTGTGAGGATGCTAATTACTAAACAACGTCACAACAACTCACCATAATTCCATAGTGCTAGCACAGACAGGAAGTAAGCGAGCCGTTCTTTGTCTAAAGGAAATGACGTCATGCCTCCCCTAGCATGTAGCCCATTGAACTTTTCTTTTCTTCGTACCGGACAGTTTTGATGCTGGCTCACAGTCTTTCTCAGAGTGGTCATGTGATGTTCTGTGATGTCTCTTGTCAGCTGTTCTACATACTTTTTGGCAATGTCCTGCTACCACCAGAGGCAGAGGAACAGCGCCATCTGCAGGTCGACTTTGTCAGGTGTGTGAGAGACAGAAAGCCCTGTTGTCCCGGTTTATAGTCCTGGAGGCATGTTTTGGTGTTTCTATCGCCTCTTTGATCCAGCGTTGGTGTTTGTTGTCCTCAGTCCTTATGACATTTGCTTTTGTCCCATAATGTGGTTCTTTCTTCTACCGTGGACAGAGATTGACTTTCTCTTTTTCGGTTTTGTTTTCCTATTTATGTGTACTGACAGCCCTCCATGTTTAACTTATGTATGTTTTATAGGACATGCACAGTAAGTCGTAGATTTAGTCAAAAATTTTTCTCTGGTTCCACCTAATCTTTTGCATGGATGAGTGGTTTTTCATTTGGTTGAACAGGTCGGTGTGTAAAACTGCACGTCACAGAAACATCACATGACCAGCGTCCGAACTGTCAGGTACAAATAAACAACCCGGTTTTAAGAAAAGAATCAACAACATCATGTTAACATTATGCAACAAGCTGTATTAAAGTGAACACCAGGACTCCCAGAATGATGAAACTACTCAAACTCGCAGAGCCGCCATTTTGACTGCTCCCATTCAAGCAAATGGAATTCCGAGAAATTTGATCGCTTCTCACCAGATTCATTAAAAGTAATTTTTTAAGGTTTTTTTTTTTTTTTTTACCATAACTCACTTTTAATTAAGCGCTACAACTGGTCATTATAACTGCACCTGAAATACAGCAAAGGCTAACGGTAACTTCTGACAGTAAACAGTGCGTTGCTATGGTAACTAGCACTCTCTGGTGGAAAACGAATTGACGGTTTGGACTCCTCACATTTCAAAAGCTAAAGATAATTTCATCAAAAAATCTAAGACATAGAAATTAACAACGTAAAGAGACAAAAAAGTCACAAAGTTATGAAGACCAAAAATGCAAATGAGATGAGTAATTACAAACTAAAAACCGTCAAATTGACTGCTCTGGGAGTTAAAGTCATTCACAACTCTTCACAACCAAAAGAGTGTAGTAGAAGTGTCAATGTATGTATGATGTAGTAAAAGACAGAATGAAGCCCACAATCTGTCCTTTCGTTTACAATCACTACATCTCACAACACCTGGTATAACTTTGAGACCGGTTATTATTTCCAAAACTCCCCAAAAAAGAGATTTTTGCAGAATATGGAGCCTTTACGTTGCTCAGTGAAAGGAGCTGTACATATTTAAGGCAAGACATGTCAAAGCATGTGTAGAGTCATCAGGGTCCTCTGCAGAATGTTCAAGTTTAGTCTGATTTCTTTCACCTCAGAACAGCTAATATGTGAGAAAGTCATGACCAATGTGCTCTCTGTCCAGGGCTGATTTAGATTATACCAAAACATGTCATTCAAAATATCTAATAGTGGTACTTTTTAATAGTAGGATTCGAAAGACTACAATTTTGTCATTCAATGTTGTTCTGATTTTTTTATTCTTTTTTATAACTTTTTTATTTTAAGCTAGAAATCCTAAATGCATTATACATACATCCTGCGCATTATACATAACAAGTCTAATATTACATTGCAGCTGTTCTCTCTGTTGTGCTCGCTGGACCTGCCAGGTTCTTCCACGTTTGAACATTCTCTTGAAAATGTTGTAAAATCATATTGTTCTGGCCACCCTGGCAATTTGTGTAAGTTTCTTTAATTTGCAGTTAATTTAGCATATAGATAATAATAACATTATTACGACCTAAGTAATAAATACAGCAGTTTATTACTGTAACCGTGCAAAAGTTAAAACCCAAAAATTATTATTATTATTTTTTTAATTATGTGTGTTCTAAAGATAGCCTGTTCTAATATTGTAATAATGAAAGGCAAATATGATTTAAAAAGTGCAAAAAATCAGCCCATTTATTCAGTATATTGGCCTCACTCGAGTGATGTAGATCCACAGATGGCCACTAGGGGCAGATGATTCTTTTTGAGATGGAGAAAGAGGTGCATTTCCATTCCTCAAGAAAACCCTGGATCCAGAGAGTGAATATGTTTACAAAACGCTAGAGTAACCCTGAAAACGCTCCACGTCCGTTTTAATTAGATCGAACAAGACACAAAACCTGTGCGCTGCCATTGAAGTGAAAAATGCCCTTTTTTGAGTGAATGGATCGAACCGTTTCTACTCGTTTTTACACTGGCCTATGACCATATAAACTGGATACTACTGAGACAAAGCCAGCAGATGCATTTGAGAGCGCAGCGGTACACAGAGAGCTTGTGTTGTTTTTTTTATGAGGCAAAAGCAGAAAAAAATGTGTTTAATTGTGCTACAGAAATGAAATGAGTTGTGCTGCTGCAGTTGACCCTGTGTGTGAATCAAATACTCCAAGTTTTTCCAACGTACTCTGTATTATTCTGCTTTGTAAACATACTCATTAACCTGGATCACCTCCAAACTCATGAGTTCTCATCACGTGTTCTTGATATTTACTGACATTTTTTTTCCAAATTGGTCCCTAATTTGTTATGTTATGTTGCCGAAAACAGAACTCCCTGGCGGACGTTAAAAATAAATACAAAAATGTTTCCAATTCTGCATAGGTCCCTGATTTACAAGCTTCCTTCCTTCCTTGGTTGCGTCCTATTTCTTCCTCAGATATGCCCTCATCACACAACGATGAGGGTCCTAGGTAGTTCATATCGTTGTTCAGTTATTGTTGAAGATGAATCCATGGCTGCTTCCCAAGTTGTGTCCTTGGTGTGTCCAAGTTTAGCCTTTTATAACCTTTATAGTTTGCTCAGTTTCTTCTTTGGCTACTTCCTAGGTTGTGTCTTGTTTGTGTCCTAGGAAGATTCTTTTTGTGTCCTAAAGCTGGGCTTGCACTGTGCAAATTTCCATCCAAACGTAAATCAATCATTTTAAAATCGTGCAAAATTTTGTCTAAGTTATGTCCGTCCCATGCAGCTTACGGAGGGAAAAAGGTGATTATCTACTCACAATGCACTTACAACATTTTGTTATTGTTGAATAGTCAAGACGTATGTGCATTAGTGTACATTTCTGACGTTATAATTAGTTTGTTTTAAATCTAATTTGATATTGGAGACTTTTATGGTCCGAGAAATCAAAAGTGTAATGTTAATGTCACTAACTTTACTTGTGCTAAATCTTGCTAACAACTCAGGCTAACGCTTTTTCTTATGATTCGAACGGGTCTCTTAAAGTTGTGAAAAGACACATCCAAACTCGTTGCAGTGAATAACCAGGAGGCAAGGAATGGGTCAGAAGGTGAGGAATTAATTTGGACGGATGCAAATTGTTAAAACATGAACTAATATTGTTTTTGATGATTTTAAGACAGTAGAGACCGAGCACAGGCCCATTAAATAAAGCTACATTTCATGCTATGCTAACTTTTGCTCTTCTAATGGTTAGCTAAGGCATTTGTCGACATTTTGGAACATGAATTCTGTGAGAAGACGGTGGATCCACGATAACTTGTCCAGAACGCCGTACAAACAAAATCATATCCAGTGGCGCAGTGTATGCCCAGCTCCTCCTGTCCTGTGTTCCTGTGTCCGAGCTCGCTTTCTCAGTTGCGAAGTCACCGCCTGGGTTGCTTCGTAGGTCACACACACGTTGATGTGCCCTTGGTGTCCTGGATTGCAGTGGTGGAGAATGACCAGTGGGTGGAGCTCTGTAAGAGTCTCTGAGGTATCCGTCATAGCAGAAGAAAAGGGAACACGGGTCCTTCAATCGGCTTTTTTAATGAAAATCTGAAAGACAAACACACAAATAATGCCTTTTCTTTTAGTCAGGATTAGATTTTAGTAGAAGCCTAAGAAGGGCTAATTTATCTGTAATTCCTGTGCCAATCCACATGAAACAAATAAGTAAGTAAGTAAGTAAGTAAGTAAGTAAGTAAGCTTTATTTATGTACCGCCTTTCACAGACCAGAGTCACAAAGCGGTTTACAATTGTTATTTTTTGGGCACTTGTCTCTCACTCCACACAGAGATGGGAGCGGGGTCGCCGAACAGGAGGCACATGCCAGACCTATTGTACATATTTTTAGTGGTAGGGGAAACCGGAGTACCCGGAGAAAACCTACACAGACACGGGGAGAACATGCAAACTCCACTCAGAAAGGCCCTGGTCCGGCCGGGATTCGAACCCAGGACTTTCTTGCTGAGAGGCGAGAGTGCTATCCACTCAGCCAACGTGCCGCCCAAAATACTTTTACAAAGTACCATATTCTCTTTGTCAGTGCATACTGGTGCAGTGCCATAGTCCTGCACTAAGCGGCATCCTTCACCATTACTGAACCATCTAGGCTTTACATTTTCCAAAGTTGATGTCTGATGTCTTTAGATCAGGGGTCTCCAGCCTGTGGCTTGGGAGCTCGCCAGCCCCTTTCAGGTAGCTCGCCAAAGGATTTAGAATTTAACAAATGATCTTGAATGAACACATTTTGAGCTATAAGATTACATATACTGTAGGGTTTTACAGTATTATGGAACATTTTCCACGTGTTCTCCATGATATGTCATAGTTATTACAGATTTTTTTTTACGGCTGCAAAAAGGAGTTGCTTTTATTCTACAAAAGTATAAAAGTAGCTCTCTGAATGAAAAAGGTTGGAGACCCCTGCTTTAGATGTTTTAAGGACAATACATGTAGGCCTAACTATATTAAAGGCCCTCTCCAGTTTTTGAACAAAACTCTTTGGTCTTATTGGACGAGCACAAATCACCAGAATGATGGACAATTGGGAGGACCTTGATGATCCAAACAGAAGTAGAATCCCTTCTATAAACCTTTAAGTAGACTCAGTATGATATTAGACTAGGGATGTTTTCCACTATTTGGCTGAATCTATTTGTGCACTTTTGCTGCAGAACGTTGATTCCAGCCTTGTTCAAAGCCTATGGACCTCCTCCAGTCTTTCATCCCTGATCTCCCTGTCTCAGTCCTGCTTCAGTCCTGCTTCAGTCCTGCTTCAGTCCTGCTCCAGTCCTGCTCCAGTCCTGCTTCAGTCTTGTCTCAGTCCTGCTTCAGTCCTGCTTCAGTCCTGTCTCAGTCCTGCTTCAGTCCTACTTCAGTCCTGTCTCAGTCCTGCTTCAGTCCTGCTCCAGTCCTGCTTCAGTCCTGCTTCAGTCTTGTCTCAGTCCTGCTTCAGTCCTGCTTCAGTCCTGTCTCAGTCCTGCTTCAGTCCTACTTCAGTCCTGTCTCAGTCCTGCTTCAGTCCTTCTTCAGTCCTGTCTCAGTCCTACTTCAGTCCTGCTTCAGTCCTGCTTCAGTCCTGTCTCAGTCCTGTCTCAGTCCTGCTTCAGTCCTGCTTCAGTCCTGTCTCAGTCCTGCTTCAGTCCTGTCTCAGTCCTGCTTCAGTCCTGTCTCAGTCCTACTTCAGTCCTGCTTCAGTCCTGCTTCAGTCCTGCTTCAGTCCTGCTCCAGTCCTGTCTCAGTCCTGCTTCAGTCCTGCTTCAGTCCTGTCTCAGTCCTGCTTCAGTCCTACTTCAGTCCTGCTTCAGTCCTGCTTCAGTCCTGCTTCAGTCCTGTCTCAGTCCTGCTTCAGTCCTGTCTCAGTCCTACTTCAGTCCTGCTTCAGTCCTGCTTCAGTCCTGTCTCAGTCCTGCTTCAGTCCTGCTTCAGTCCTGTCTCAGTCCTACTTCAGTCCTGCTTCAGTCCTGCTTCAGTCCTGTCTCAGTCCTGTCTCAGTCCTGCTTCAGTCCTGCTTCAGTCCTGTCTCAGTCCTGCTTCAGTCCTGTCTCAGTCCTGCTTCAGTCCTGTCTCAGTCCTACTTTAGTCCTGCTTCAGTCCCGCTTCAGTCCTGCTTCAGTCCTGCTTCAGTCCTGCTTCAGTCCTGTCTCAGTCCTGCTTCAGTCCTGCTTCAGTCCTGCTCCAGTCCTGTCTCAGTCCTGCTTCAGTCCTGCTTCAGTCCTGTCTCAGTCCTGCTTCAGTCCTACTTCAGTCCTGCTTCAGTCCTGCTTCAGTCCTGCTTCAGTCCTGTCTCAGTCCTGCTTCAGTCCTGTCTCAGTCCTACTTCAGTCCTGCTTCAGTCCTGCTTCAGTCCTACTTCAGTCCTGCTTCAGTCCTGCTTCAGTCCTGCTTCAGTCCTGTCTCAGTCCTGTCTCAGTCCTGCTTCAGTCCTGCTTCAGTCCTGTCTCAGTCCTGCTTCAGTCCTGTCTCAGTCCTGCTTCAGTCCTGTCTCAGTCCTGCTTCAGTCCTGCTTCAGTCCTGCTTCAGTCCTGCTTCAGTCCTGCTTCAGTCCTGCTTCAGTCCTGCTTCAGTCCTGTCTCAGTCCTACTTCAGTCCTGCTTCAGTCCTGCTTCAGTCCTGCTTCAGTCCTACTTCAGTCCTGCTTCAGTCCTGCTTCAGTCCTGCTTCAGTCCTGCTTCAGTCCTGGAGTCTTGGGGACTGTGGTCTCTCCAGATAGCCTACCTCGCTGAGTATGACCCAGACCGGAGAATCTGTGACGACGGTCAGTCTGATGGCCTCCAGAGGACCAAAGGACGGCTCCACCTCGCCCTCGCACACCCCTCCGTGGAACCAGGCTGCACACACACACACACACACACACACACATACACGTTTTTGTTACCTGGTGGGTCCCTTTGACAGGGCCGTTCAGAATGGGACCCATAGACATAATCTTTTTTTACCAAGACTTTAAGTAATACAAAACAGTCAATAGAAACCAAACAACTATTTTAAAGGAAATTTATTTTAGATTTTGTTTTCGAATTGCAGTGATTCTATTTTTGACATAGAATTTAATGCCACTCCATGTCCGATGTCTAAGGTCATCTGGTGAGGCATTAATGCAGGCCAGGCAGTGAGACTTCCCAGGGACCTTTCCAGTCTGTATGAAAGGTGTCATGGTCTTCTCCACAGCCTTCACCTCAGATGCAGACCATGGCTTTCTTACACGTTCTAGGGAGAGAAATAAAAATATATTAGCAATATACACTCCCAGGGTGAGGACCAAGCAGCCTGGCTGTAATCCCCCACCTGGTACACTTACCAGAAGGGGCACTGCCACTACCATGGGGTGCATCTGGATGAATGGTTGAAGGTTCTCCGCTTGAAGTTTCTTTTAGCCCGTCCGTTTGTGAGAGGATCTCTACTGCTCTCCCTGTCGCACAGAAAATAAAAATACAAGTGGCCTTTAGGGGAAAAAAATCATACATATTTTAATAATATCAAGAATTACCTTCAGGCTCAATTTGTATCTGGTCGAGGCTCTTTCCTTCGAATTCCGTCACTCTTCCCTGCTCCATGGCCATCAACACTTTGCTGATTTTGGCCAGCTCCAGTGTCCCCTCTGGTAGTCTGTAATATTGCCTGTGGATGCGAATGTCATGGCCGAGGAAGTTGGCAAGTATGTCCATCTCATTCTCTTTCATATTGAGAACTGTAGACATAGTAGCTATGTGCTTTCTAAGTTTGGTTGAGGATAGCATCTCTGGATGCACCGCACCACATTCTTTGGCTACCTGGCGTAGGGAGTCTGATCCCCTGATGTGGGTGTCTGCGCCCGGGCGGGAAAAGAAGTATGGGTTATGGTCAGAGATGGAACAGGCCCTTCTGTTCTCCACCAGCACCTCCATCGAAGCAATCATTTCAGGAGTCAAAAGAACCGGCACTTTCCGACTTCTTTTCCCTTTAATTTCAATGCGTTGAAAATGCTGACACAGCTTTTTCTCAAGTTGGGACAGTCCCAGAGCAATGTCAGAATGGATCCCAGTCTTACTTCTTAAGGTAAAGGCTGTCAGTGGCATCTTTGAAACCTCACCTTCCCTTCTTCGATTGAAAATGATGACCTCACAAAGAGTCAAAACTGCCAGTTTAGACCAATGCTTAGACGTTGGCTCACTTATTAGGGTTTGCACATATTCAGGTCGACATACCTCAATATGTGCATGCATGGCTCTAACGTCCTCAGTCAGAGGGAGCAGGTCCGGAGTGTTCCACTTGGCTTGCCGGAGGGTCTGTAGGGCAGCAGAAGAAACACAGACGTCCCACCTCTTCTCAAAAAGCAGCCGGCTTCGTTGGAGGTTTTTAATAAATAGTTCATCAACACAATGCTCCATTTTTGAGTCACATTCAAGAATATCTGCTAGCTTTCTGAGGCTATGGCCGAGTTTGAGGGCCAAGGATGGAGTCTTGTATTGATTTGTTTCCTCATCATATCCAGCCACAGACCTGACTGCATCAATCACATGGTTAAAGTTGGAAGGAATAAAGAAATCCTTAATTGTTTTCAGTTTCCCTGCGGTTTTTGCTTCGTTAATTAACCTACCGACTTCTCTCATTTTCTGCCTAATGTAATCATGCTTTGTCTTATCATGCCCGTGTTTTAAGTACAGGTGCTCTCCGAGTCTCAGAATCCCCTTTTCTGCTTTGACAACACCCGTGACCTCATCCTGATGCATTGCCGAAATTAAAGACCACAGCTTTTTGCTGATGCCCTCCGGTACAGGCTGGGCTAGGGAGCAGAGGGACTGGACCCTACTTCTACCTGGTTTAGCCTGGGCATCTTTCTGTGAAAGCCGGCACCTGGCCACATGCCTCCACAGCGACTTTCGCTTAAGCAATGCCCCACAGTCTATACAGTGCAAAAACTCACTGGATTTAACTGGGGAATTTGGCTGTTTAGCTGGGACTAAAGTTCCAATGCCGGCCTTTAAAACCTCAAAATTGTGCTCACGGTTTCCACTATTCCTGATCAAATCAAACTGAAGTTTACGTGCTTTAGATTTCACAGGTAGAGCCAATGCTCTGGCTACGTCACTTTCATTTCCATGTTTTCTAGTCAAATGACGGGACATTTTGTGGCAGGACATTGAACAGTAGAGGCAGAAGTGTCTCTTGCTGTATACTCGCCCCCCATTTTTCTTCTTTTGCAGCTGCATGATAACAATCTTATTTGCCTTTGGTTCGTCACTTTCCGAGTCTTGAAGAAAAGTGTTTTTGATTTTTCTTTTTCCATACTTTTTTACAGGTTTCTTCTTGACAGTTAAATCGTCAGAATCTGAGTCGACTTCATCAATTAGGGACTCTTGACTAAGCTGCACAAACAACAAATAATTTGTAATCATTCTATATAACAATTTGAAGTCATGACTTGTAGTCAGCACTTACCAGTGGTTTGTAAGCGTGCGCTTCAGTGTGCTCCTCCATGATTTCTTGCAGCCTAATGAACCACACACTTGCACCTTTTTCTAGCCTGACACCTGATTTCCTCTGTTGTGCTGCTCCATGATTGGCTCCAGCCTGCTGGACTGAAATTGCCCCAGTGTGCCCCTCCTTGATATCCCGCAACCCACCACCAGGGTTCCGACACATAACACACTTTTTTCAGGAAAGTAAACCTCCAGGGGTCCTTTCCATATTTTTACAGAGACTGCATAAGGACCGTTAGAAAAGCATTACCCATTGATTATTAAGCTTGGACCAGTGGGGTCCGGTGTTCGGGCCCCACCACGTAAAACCAGTCCCCATGACGTGAGTGGAATCTCAGGTTATGGAACCCACCAGGAGTTGAAAACAAGTGCACACACACACACACACACACACACACACACGATTCAAAAACTGTCGTGCTAATAGAAAAACAACACTTTTTTTTATCAACTACTAATACCGGCCAGAGTCACTACTACTTCTACAACTACTATTTCTACTACTACAACATCTACTACTGCAACTGTCTATTACTACAACCACTGCTACGACTACTAATACTACCGCTACTTTTTCATGTTCAAATAGACACAATATAAGTTAATTAAACTAGAATAATAAATAGGGGGTGGGAGTTTAAAAGTCTTTTTTGAGCTGACTTTTTGTTTAGTTTTTTTCTATTCTGTTTTGTTGCTGTTCTTTGTTCTTGTCTGCTATGGCTCAAAATAAAAGTATTCATTCATTTATTCATTCATGTAATCTGCATTGTAAATCTTGTTCTGGGATAGACAAAAGTTAGGCTTGTTTTACTGTTGCGAACCCCACGAAAGTTTGAAAATAGCTGTGAGTCTCTGGAGAATATCTAGCATTATCAGGAAAGCTCCTAATCTAAATGTAATTAGCAGGATGATAAAATGATTTTCACGACGGTTTTGAATCAGAATTTGTCTCAGCTTGAAAGAGGGCTGCACATGTTGGCATTGTAGACACAGGGATAGTAAAAGTCTGTCAGTGGGGCGCGGTTATTGTTTAGCTCCTCCTATTCTGACACAGATTAACAGATTTTATAGAGCAGTGACATTTATGGACTTTATCAACACTTTAACAACATCTGTCCCTGATTGACCAATGGCTCTATGTGCTTTTTTTTTTTTTTAAATCAATGCTTCTCTTGTGTTTGATTCTCTGATCTGCGTTGGTGAATTGACGGCTTTGTAAAGTCCTCCAAGATAACCACTAGTGTGATTTTGGACAAAAATAAATTGAATTGAATTGAATTGAATATGTAGAATAGTTTATTGGGGTGTTGTAAATAGTATATTTCAGCCCAAACCTATTCTGTAGAATCCGTCTTCTGTGCGGTGGTACTTTGGTGTTTTGTCTTTGCCGTCGGTGAGAGCCTCCTTCTCCGCCTGCAGGTTCTGAAACATGCATTTACAGTTACAGCACATCTTGCAGATAAAAAAAAAACCTATGGTTAGCTTACACACACACACACACACACACACAGAGGATTGTCTGCGAGTGAATGTGTGTGTGTATGAATATGTGAGTGTGAGTGTGTGTGTGTGTGTGTGGTGCCTACCATGCATGTGTGTGTGTGTGTCTATGTGTGTGTTTGCCATGCCCCTGTGTGTGTGAATATGTGAGTGTGAGTGTGTGTGTGTGTGCCTACCATGCATGTGTGTATGTGTGTCTATGTGTGTGTTTGCCATGCCCCTGTGTGTGTGAGTGTGTGTGTGTGTGTGCCTACCATGCATGTGTGTATGTGTGTCTATGTGTGTGTTTGCCATGCCCCTGTGTGTGTGAATATGTGAGTGTGAGTGTGTGTGTGTGCCTACCATGCATGTGTGTGTGTGTGTCTATGTGTGTGTTTGCCATGCCCCTGTGTGTGAATATGTGAGTGTGAGTGTGTGTGTGTGTGTGTGTGTGCCTGCCATGCATGTGTGTACTCACATCGAAGGGCAGCACCTCCACTGTGGTATTGAAGAGTTTGTCTCCAGGATGCTCGATGTTTCCACTGCGGAAGAAGAACCTGGACATACAACATTTAAAGTGTGAGTCGATGACCACCGCACACACAAAGGATCAGTGCATCTCAGACATTCACAGAAACCATCATAATGAATCATGTAAATAACATACAAGTTACTACAAGTTAGTTATTTCCAGCAATATACAATAATTATAGTTCTATGAGTGACTGATGATGGCACAGATCCTGTAGCAATTCTCCTCCTCCTCTTCCTCCTCTCCCTCAGACCCCTGTGACAGTGTTCAGACCTCCTCCTCTCCCTCAGACCCCTGTGACAGTGTTCAGACCTCCTCCTCTCCCTCAGACCCCTGTGACAGTGGTCAGACCTCCTCCTCTCCCTCAGACCCCTGTGACAGTGGTCAGACCTCCTCCTCTCCCTCAGACCCCTGTGACAGTGTTCAGACCTCCTCATCTCCCTCAGACCCCTGTGACAGTGGTCAGACCTCCTCCTCTCCCTCAGACCCCTGTGACAGTGGTCAGACCTCCTCCTCTCCCTCAGACCCCTGTGACAGTGTTCAGACCTCCTCCTCTCCCTCAGACCCCTGTGACAGTGGTCAGACCTCCTCCTCTCCCTCAGACCCCTGTGACAGTGGTCAGACCTCCTCCTCTCCCTCAGACCCCTGTGACAGTGGTCAGACCCTGTACCTCCTCCTCTCCCTCAGACCCCTGTGACAGTGGTCAGACCTCCTCCTCTCCCTCAGACCCCTGTGACAGTGGTCAGACCTCCTCCTCTCCCTCAGACCCCTGTGACAGTGGTCAGACCTCCTCCTCTCCCTCAGACCCCTGTGACAGTGGTCAGACCTCCTCCTCTCCCTCAGACCCCTGTGACAGTGGTCAGACCTCCTCCTCTCCCTCAGACCCCTGTGACAGTGGTCAGACCTCCTCCTCTCCCTCAGACCCCTGTGACAGTGGTCAGACCTCCTCCTCTCCCTCAGACCCCTGTGACAGTGGTCAGACCTCCTCCTCTCCCTCAGACCCCTGTGACAGTGGTCAGACCTCCTCCTCTCCCTCAGACCCCTGTGACAGTGGTCAGACCTCCTCCTCTCCCTCAGACCCCTGTGACAGTGGTCAGACCTCCTCCTCTCCCTCAGACCCCTGTGACAGTGGTCAGACCTCCTCCTCTCCCTCAGACCCCTGTGACAGTGGTCAGACCTCCTCCTCTCCCTCAGACCCCTGTGACAGTGGTCAGACCTCCTCCTCTCCCTCAGACCCCTGTGGACACTGGTCAGACCTCCTCCTCTCCCTCAGACCCCTGTGACAGTGGTCAGACCTCCTCCTCTCCCTCAGACCCCTGTGACAGTGGTCAGACTTCTTCCTCTCCCTCAGACCCCTGTGACAGTGGTCAGACCTCCTCCTCTCCCTCAGACCCCTGTGACAGTGGTCAGACCTCCTCCTCTCCCTCAGACCCCTGTGACAGTGGTCAGACCTCCTCCTCTCCCTCAGACCCCTGTGACAGTGGTCAGACCTCCTCCTCTCCCTCAGACCCCTGTGACAGTGGTCAGACCTCCTCCTCTCCCTCAGACCCCTGTGACAGTGGTCAGACCTCCTCCTCTCCCTCAGACCCCTGTGACAGTGGTCAGACCTCCTCCTCTCCCTCAGACCCCTGTGACAGTGGTCAGACCTCCTCCTCTCCCTCAGACCCCTGTGACAGTGGTCAGACCTCCTCCTCTCCCTCAGACCCCTGTGACAGTGGTCAGACTTCTTCCTCTCCCTCAGACCCCTGTGACAGTGGTCAGACCTCCTCCTCTCCCTCAGACCCCTGTGACAGTGGTCAGACCTCCTCCTCTCCCTCAGACCCCTGTGACAGTGGTCAGACCTCCTCCTCTCCCTCAGACCCCTGTGACAGTGGTCAGACCTCCTCCTCTCCCTCAGACCCCTGTGACAGTGGTCAGACCTCCTCCTCTCCCTCAGACCCCTGTGACAGTGGCCAGACCTCCTAACCTTGCCTGCAAGCTGAATTCTCGCGGTATTTGTGAGTTCACAAACACTCGAGAATACATCTTGTACCGCTCCCGCTTACACTTTTCGAGTCGAACCACTGGGTGTGCGAGCCAATCACGCGCCAGTCTGGGGGTTTAGGGCGGGATATCCGGGTTTGACGAAAGCAAGAAGTGCCGGGCCGAAGCAAAACAAACATGGCTACGCAGGAGGACGGACGCGTAGCTGAGGCATCAAGTCAGTTTTAGCAGAATCCCCAATTTCTTTTTTGAAAGATGAACAGCGAGAGGCGCTTTGTGCATTTCTGGACGGCAAAGATGTTTGTGCATTTTTACCTACGGGTTTTGGCAAGAGTGTAGGCGGGCACACAGCGTCACTTCGCCCAATCAGCTTGAAGTATTCTGCTGCTTATCCCTCCTTTCCCCGAAAGGATTCTCCGGGAGAAATCCCAGATTGATATCGCGGAGAACGCGTTAGAGTTCTACACAATCATCAATCTGGCTCTTGCCAGGTTACAGACCTCCTCCTTTCCCTCAGACCCCTGTGACAGTGGTTTTAGCTCTTCCTGTCACTCTGTACTGCAGCCTCCCTACCTCTCGACTCTCACGGGGGTGAAGAAGCGGATCCGGATGAAGTCGCCGGCCACAGGGGTGAAGGCCCAGAAGAAGTCGTCCCCCTGGTAGGCCTTCTCCAGGGTGAAGTGCTGGTAGGTCTTCAGGCTGGAGCTGAGTTCTGCTGCAGGGTTGATGTGGCCTTTGTGGAGGTGCTGCTTCCCAAAGTCTTTGTCCTGGAATCACAGACGCAGGGCTAAACAAGACCACTACATAAAACACATTTCACTTCCTTGTATGTGTGTAAGGGTAAATATATACTGTATGAATGCATAATATCTTAACCTTGCTCTGATCTGTATGATAATACATATTGATGTACGGTGAAACTTCTCCATGCTGACTGTATAGTATTTTGTCTAGGACTAAAGCAGGACTGAAGCAGGACTGAAGCAGGACTGAAGCAGGACTGAAGCAGGACTGGACACACCTTGAGTTTCTGTATTTTCCCGGCCAGAGAAGAGTGCACTCCCACGTGTTGGAACAGAGAGGGCTTGAAGCGGATCCTCAGGTTGGCCTTCTGTCGGTCGCAGTGTTTCTGAGGGACATGTGAATTTGTCATAAGATCGTCACCATTGTATGATTTCCAAAAGCATAAAAGGATCTATGGTTAAAAAGCTTAAATGCATGTTAACGGCTCTGTCACAAAAGTATGGTCCAGATTACTCTTTAAATCGTATATTGCATTTATTCAGCTCACAATGACAGTAGATAGTTAAAATATCTATTTAAAGATGCAGTTAGCGATGTTGTGAGCTTAGCCGTAGCACATACTCGAAACCACTCCCCTCCCTCTCCACCAAACCAAACATCCAGCGTTTTCTACAGACAACACAACGGGGAGAGTGGGCGGCAAACGTGAAATTGGCATTTTCTGTTCAGCCATTTAAGGTTTTATAAAATAATCCGATTACTCAGGTGCACACACTCGCGAGAAACAGGAAGAAAGTGAAGGCGGTAAACGCATCCCATTGGTTCGTTGGGGATGAACAAATCCCATTGGCTTATTTTTATCGGTCCGCTACAAAATATTTTTTATACATTTTTGGAGACTATTGGCATCTGGTCAAATACATTATTATTTGAAAAAACATGATAACTTGACTAATTTTAGGGTTTAGGGACGTTTTCCCACAATATTAAAAAAATGCGTCTGGAACATAGTTAAACATAACATTGGTCACATACAGTGCTCACAATGTTCTGTAATTTGACTGACAAAGCAAGTTCAGTCTTATTTGATTCTTATTTGAATACTACCTCCCAGAGCCAAACTGTTTTTGGAAAATTGAGGAAGTGAGAAATGCTGCACAGACAGACATCCCTGCTGTCCAAGTGTCAATAATAGTATGTTTAGTGTGTTTCTATTGAGGTAGACATGTGTGGCAGATAGGTGGAGAGTGGCCTCACCGCGTCCTTCTCGGGGTTACACACTTTGACCCACATGATGTGATCCAGGAGCCAATCGATGGGTTTGTCTTTGTAGAACATCAGCATGAACTCCACGATCATGGGCAGATCCTCCGACTTGAACATCTTTCCTGTCACATACAAACACATTCGATATGAGTGTTTAGTATTTTGATAACGATGTTATTGCGATATTTTTGTCTTTCGCCTAAAATTGCAATCTGCATTGAAACGCAAGAGACAAATAATAACAAATAAGCACAACATTAATGACCTTCAAATGCATATATTTTTATACACATGTGATGTTGATAATCAGGGACTCTCTCATTTAATGGCCTTTTAAATCATACAAGTAAGTAAACAATGGATATTTTATTACGTAAATCTACTATATCAAATAAATAGGACTTTGATATTTTGAAAACCACGTGCACGACCCCGTCTATCTGTCTAACCATCTGGCCGAGAGCTCACACAACCCACTCTCTGCAAAATTATGTTAAAATAAAGTTAAATTGTCCTGCCTTTAGTAACACACACCGTTCCAGATACACTTAAGCCAGACATACACACTACAGGACTTTTCATAAAAAATATATAATCAATCAATACTATATATTGAGAAATAAATATGTACCCTATCCTAAAATAATTTTCCTATACCAAATAGTTCTATCAAGATAATCAGCATATTTCTGTTATCTAATATCTCGACCTAATATTCAAGTAAAAAAGACACACTAATTATATTTGTGCTCATATGGTGTATTCTATAATAGTCTCATGATTCAGACTGGATTGAATTCTCTACATTCTTAGGACACAAACACACCACATGTCCACTTTAACAGTTGTATTTTCCTTTGACGTGCACGTTAACGCGGCGCTCACTGACCGATGAAGCCGAGCTGGGAGAACTCCAGGATCATCCACTCCTCTGAGGGCTGCTGCAGGGCAAAGTTCTTCATGGTGGTGAAGTAGTTTGGACGAGCCACGATGTCGTCTTCTAACTGCGGACGACACACAGGACACTCATGCGTCAAAGTGTAGGGTGTACCACAAGGCTCAGTACTGGGGCCACTCCTTTTTATCATGTAGATGCATATGAGTCGGTCAAGAGCAACACAACATAGACAAAGTACTGAGGAGGATATCAACACAGGCCCTGGGCAATAAGCAACACTATCAATCACTACCAACTATCAATCAATCAATCTTTAGTTGTAGAGCGCTTTTCCGCACACAGGGTAAACAAAGTGCTTCACAGTCCACATCACACAAACACGAATCATCGACACAGGTAATTAAAAAAAAATCCTATTCACTTCATCTGCTATTTACCTGCTATGTATAAAAAAGGACTGAAAACCAGCACATAATATAGTCACTTATTATTGAGAATACAGTAATTATATCCGGCACAGACTATATTTTTAACCTTTAACATGTTTGGCTTGGATATTATCACTCAGGTTGTGCAAAAGACAGAAGTGTGCAAACATATTAAAGGCAAAAAAAAAAAAAAGTCCGTTCAGGATATATCATGTTCAATAAAAAAGTGGCAATTAAAGAAACAGTGGCAATAGCAGTGCAGTTTTTTTAATCCTAGTGCAAGTGACTTATTGTACAGTCTGACAGCGGCAGGGATATTAATTCTACAGTATTACATTATTAGATTTTCCATTCATCTGATAATTCTGTTCTGATAATTCACTAGTCACTTTCCCTGCTGTTATTATTACTATTGCTTACTCTGGTCATATTCTCTCAAAACCAAGTACAAAACCAACCATCTGTGAATAACGCATACACTGCTAACGACAGTGTAAACTCCACTGGTGACTTGAACCAAGTGCAAATATAGCTCCAGAGATTGAATCATCTATTATCTATCACACTATTTTAGGATTTTTTATCTTAAATAATAGATCAATGCTGTTTGATGATCAATAATTCACTTAATGACCTACACTAGGACTGTAAACTTTGCACTGATTTGGCTATTCTAGGGAGAGCGAGTGGAACCTACCCCTGTTCTTCTGCCTCAAATCAATGATTATAGGGGCGAGTTGTTAATTTTTAGTTCCTAGTAGTGAGCTGTGAATTAGAGGCGTTTAAAGTAGTGTAGTCGTGGTCAGACCTGGACGTAGTAGGTTCCTTTGGACTGGGCGTACATCATGAGGAAGCAGTAGTCCAGGTTCTGCTTGGTCCTCCACCTGGACACATGGAAAGGTAATGGATTAAGGATTCTTCTGTGCTCTTTCCTTCCTCCTCTCCTTCTCTCCTTCCCCTCCTCTCCTCACACTCTTCATCCCTACCCCTCTTGATTCCCTCACCCACTTCTAGCAGTGAAATGAAGTAATCAACGACAGTAGGAGACGAGGGAAAGAATTTGAGATGCGGCTTACAACTCACATGAAGAATAAGGCTGCATCCAAATTCAAAACCAAATGAAATCTTTCTTTGTTTGAGAAAGTGACATTTACAACCTTCGCAGGATTTTTATATAACCACTTACTTACATAAAATCAAATGCCACTAAACATATCAATGAAGAGAAGGACATGGTTTTGCATGGCTGATAGTGAGCAATGAGATTAGATTTACAAAATATGTTTAAAAAGGAGGCGTCCGTAACTTATATAAAACAGCTTGACAACTTTCCTTGATAGTAACAATAATATAACAATAGTTGACTACTGATTGAATTATCTTTGAGTTTTCGCAGTCAGATTTGCCAGATTTACCAATGGAAAAAGCAAATAAGCTCTGCGTTTTTCAAAAGCATGAAGCAATCCCCCTTTACTAAATAGGAATGATGAAAAATGCGACCACGCTTAAGATTAAGCTAAAGAAGTTTAAAAGCCTCACATTTTTCCTCTAACACCTTTATTTTTAATTTACTTTTTATGCAAAGTACTTGAACACTGCAGACTTTGTGATGAACTAAAATACCTTTTTTGATTGAATTACAATTAATCAGAATCAGATCTTTATGTCTAGGAAGAAAGAGCGCTTAAGATTCACAAAAGTCAAATCTAGAAATATTTTGAAATGAGCTATAAGTATGTATTTTATAATGATATTTAGAAACCAATCCTTAACTGAAAACATTAGATTCAACACAAACTGAAAAATGAATGTATGACATAACCTTCTTATCCATGCTCCCCCTGTTTTTCCACTTTTTAATGTTTTGTTAAAAAAGCTAATATCATGTACATTCATCTGTTCCTGGTCGATGCAGAAGGGACACGCAACTTTCAAAGACATTTATGGACTTAATCAAGATTTATGGACATTGGTCACCTGCCCTTTACAAACCAACGGCTCTATATGAAAAGATAAGATATTGCTTTATTCGTCTCACAGTGGAGAAATGTCAGTGTCATCGTTGCATTCATTACAGCAGAGAAAGAAAGAAAAAAGAGCACTCAGATTGCACACATCAAATAGTCTATCATTTAAGATAATAGACAATATAATTAAAATAAGATAAAGAATAAAATAGAATAACATAAAATAAACTCTGGAGCTATAATTGCACTTGGTTCAGGAGTTTTTACAGATGTGTATATTTTTCTTAAGCAGCGGAGAAAATGAGCAGAAAAAACATCAGTAATAATATCAACAGGTAAAGTGTCTATTTATCATTGCATTTCCTGTGTTTGACCGGTTTGATTCTCTGATCTGTGTTGGCAAATTGATAACTGTTGGGATTTTAGTGCTATACAAAAATAAATGTAATTGAATTGAGTTGATCCAAACCCAGAGATGTGTAGTAGCAGCATGTAGCCAGCAGAGGGCCTTGTTCTCCACACAAACATAGAGCTCAGAGTGAGGGCAGCACCAGACTCTGAGCTGGAGCAGCATTTTGACCCATTTGTTTTTCAGCAGTGGGGGTCATGAGTAGATTTCACGCATATTTTGGGGAGCTCTGAGTGAAAGGTTTGGGCGCCCCGGCTTAAATAAATCCTTTCTCTGTAACACCCTGGGGCCATGCTGTCCACAGACAAAGAGCGACTTCTTTAAGCCACATATGACTCTCACATGACCACCACGGCCACACGCTCACTTTCACTTGGAGCTGCAGTTTGGATACGGTGCCAAAACTGGACTTTCGTTTCCAATTACAACATAAACGCTAGAACTCCCACAGCCGTCATTTTGACTGCCCCCATTCAAACTAATAGAATTCCGAGAAGCTCCCCAAAAAAGTGAGTTAGTTTTCAAAAAACTAGTAAATATAAATGTAATACAGCAATAGGTAAACAGTGTGTTGCTATGGTAACCAGCACTCACTCTTTGGCATAGATAGAATTAACGAAAAAGACAGGAAGTGTAAAATATAGTCGTTTCTCACTTTGAAGAAACGAACTACACTTCAAGTAAAAGATAATTTCACAAAAATAATGAAGTAGAAAAAAGATATATATATTTACAGAAAAAGTCACACTGTTATGAAGACCACATATGTACATACACCCAGTTATTACGCTTTCAAAAATAAAAGTGTTAACAAAGACTGTGTGTGCAGACATATGAAATCTCCTTTTACTTCAATTCTGTATTTTCTCCTGTTATACTTACTTTACTATTGTTCTGAACTTTTGACTATGACTCACTTTTAACGTTGGCCATGAGTGACGTGAACCTTTTTGCAATGATCCATGGAAACAAAAGATGTATTTTGTGTGGTTTAATGAACCGACAACAGGAGACAGAAATGGGCAGGCCCTATGAGGTGAATTTATCAGTGGTCTTTGTCCCATCATGCATCATGTTGAGACCGTGTTTGTGGCCACAGCTTAATTCAGCAGATTTCAGACTAGATGTGAAAAAGGGGATTTCAGGTCCTGGAACCAAACAGGGCCGGTTTGAAACACAAAAGATCAAACTTGTATTGAGAATTATTACATGGACCGAGATTACCGAGGTTGTTCCAGGGATTTTCTGTAACTTCTTGTCCAACTTAAGGTTACTGCCCCAAGTGCACCAATCACCACGGGCACTACTGTCTCCTTTACCCTCCAGGGCCTCTCCAGCTCCTCTCTGCGCCCTCGGTAATTCTCAAGCTCTTCTAATGTGACCATCGTTTGGAATTACAGGTCCTACTAGGAGACAGGTCCTGCTGTGGTTTAGCTGGGCCCCACTTAGACCATTCTATCTAAGTGGGGCCCGATTCATGTTGGCTACATAAAACATGGGCACAAAGCTAATGGTGTTGAACGTTTTAATTGCTTTTAGACTATGCTGCGGTGGGGTAGTGTTTGGCCCACCTGACCCTCTCTTTGGGATCTCCGAAGGACTCCCGGAGTTTGGAGAAGTCTGGGTAGAAGTGAGTGGAGGGAGACACCACCTCCAGCAGGCCGGACTGGATCTCAGCAGGGAAACTACAAAACACAACAAAATATGTAGCATGAGATTGACATTTAAAAAAAAAAATGTACAAAAAAAAAAACAACCTTAGATTTTGGTCTTAGAGTGGTCTTGAATATGCCAGATCTAATTTATTCAGTGTGTCTTTTCACAGTGGGGTATATTTATCACGCATGTACTGCAGATCCAATTAGTTAGATGCATGCAGTGAGATTCATTTAACTGCTTTTGCTGCAATAATATGTCTGTCTGACCTTATAATCAAAATACTCACATGCCCCTGAGGTTTTCTGCCACAGAGCTAGCATACTGTGGATCAGCCTGTACAACAAACAATACAAAACATATTTAGTGCAATTCATACTCTATACGTCTATTGTCTGTAGTATGACTTATAAGCCCTTTGTCCTGACCTTTCAGTCGTAAATATCACTAGTGGACGGCATTTAGTCCACTGAGAACCCGTTTACTGACTCAGACGCACATAATAAAAAGATTATTAGTCATATGATCCCAGTCTGAGCGGTGAAACGTCATGCGGAAAGGTCAGAGTCGGACTAACAATGCCCTCCAGACTCAGCGCTAATGCCAGTCAGCCTGGATTTAGCGTCTGAGCTAACCGATGCTAATGACAACCACTACTTGCACTGTTCTACACAGTTGAATTGATGATCAAAACCAGGTTTTGATCTTGACTAAATCTGTATAAAAGCACCATATTTGAGTGTGACCAATCTAACAGTGAAATCTGAACTAAAATTAATCTTATCTGAACCAAAACTAACCAGAACTAGACCAGGACTCTTTCTCAAGTCTCAAGCCTCTAGGTTCAGAGGCATTACAGAGTCTAAATCAAGTCTAAACCAGTGAAAATCTAGTCTCCAGCTGGACTGACCTCTGCGACGAGGACCACAATGACACAGTCGTCCTTCTCGGCGGGCGACAGCTCGGACATGAGGGAGGTGAGTGTGTCCGACAGGTACGAGTGCACTTCCCTCTTCACACTCGGGACCCCCAGCACGATGGACACTGTGGGGGACAGGCATGAGAACAATCGACTCTATACAGAGAGAGTTACCGAGGGTGTCCAAAACCACATTTTAATAGATAATAATAGAGCTGGTATATAGTATTATAGTTATTCTGATCTTTATCAGACCTACTGTGTGTATGGAACTGTGAGTCCCATGTTTATTGAGTCCGTATTTAACCAGGAAAGTCCAACTGAGATTTCAGAATTTCTTTTTCAGGTGAGTCCTGGCAGGATGTTAGGGGACTATTGTACGTGTTTTTTGCAACCGCAACCGAAGGAAACCGGACCAACCTGATGAAACATATGCAGACACAGGGAGAACATGCAAACCCCACACAGAAAGGGCCTGTCTGGATATGGACTCGAATCCAGGATATTCTCGATGTGAAGCTCAAGCGCTAACCACTGCACCACTGTGAAACCATGTGGTAGTGGTAGCTTATTCTCTGAATATACAGTATGGATGGATGTCTCTCTTCTCCCGGTGTGTCCTCCCACCACCCCACACCTGTGCCTGGCATTCGGCCTACATTAAACAATGCTTTGCTGAATCTGCACACAGCTTTCAGCTTGTGTCGCAGCCCTCCTCCTCCTCCTCCTCGTCACCACCTCAACAGTGGAACACTCCCTTCACATCTGCACCTCTGCTTCCATCACAAGCACCTGGGTTTAGACGCAGAGAAGTTCTCTTTCATAATCTCTGTTCAAATTCTAATTACCAATTATCTAATTACCATGAGGGTCAGGATTTTTTCTTCCAACTGCCCATTTCTAAATTGTGTTTGGTTACTTTTGATAGGATAGCTAAAGAACAGAGGAAAGTAATTATTATTTCTTACTGTGTGTTGTTTACATTTACATACAGAGGCAAAACAATGTGAGTAAAAGCAAGCAGGCCAGATAGCTTATTTATATCACGAGCCTGTCCTGAAACTAAACCTGGACCAGGAATAGACCAGGATCACACAAGAACAACAACAAATGCACCTCACTTCTGGCCTGATCCTGCAGCCCCAGTGGAGCTCTGAGGGGAGCAGGGCAGCGCTGACCCCAGGACAGAGCTCTGTTTGTGGGCACTGATACAGCGGGGGCCCGGAGTGGAGTGGAGGTCCTTGGGTGAGGCTATTTATACTCCAGACTGAGAGACACCGCTAACCGGGCCTGACACCATCATGTGACCACAGCCACTTATGTGACAAGTGTAGTGTCCACAAACGCAAGGAGGAAAACACAGAGATGAGTTTTACTGAATGGACGGCCATCTTGGGAAGGGCAAAGGGAACGGAATTATCTTTAGTATTGTTATTTCTTCACTTTTTATCTGTGTAAATAGCAATCTTGATGTAGAAAGGCATAATAGTCTTGTCACACCCATTTTTGATTCTACTGCTAAAAAAGGTATGCAAAAAAATGCGTTTTCATATAGATATCGCTAATGAGGACAAGATTTTTCATCAATCTTCAATAAGTTAAATAGAAATGCGGCAATAATTTTGATTTCAATCTGTTGGGAAAAACAAATATATTACTTATAGCAAATATATGTAGCCCAGCTCTAATTATGATTCTGTTTATTTTCATGGTCTAAATGACAAAGATAAGTAAAAGGAAAAAGGTTAAATTAATTATTTTTGCAGAATTGTAATGAAGGGAGGGGCAGACAGCAGGTTTTAAAAAGGTTAATTCATTCCAATGTATATATCTATTTCAATATATTGTCAATGTGCCTCAGACAGTTGCACTGGATATGCTGAATAGCCCTAAATAGTAGTGTTTTTTAACCTATTTGTGTGAACAAGATGTAACTCGTGTCGACAGAATCTATTTTTAGAATCCATCGGGCGTGCTTCTGTTTGAGTTCAGATTCTGGCTTTTGTTGTATTTATTTCTTCCTCTGATTTTAATATTTTTTGACAACTCTTGTTCGGCCCTAGTCCACACGTTTCTCAGTTGTGAATGTTGAAAATGTGATTACCCCCAGTGCGGCCCTGTCCCACGTGCACTGCCGGCTGCAGGCTCTCCGGGTGCTGCAGGTGGGGGAGGTGGTGGAAGATGGAAGGCAGCTGCAGGACCATCTTAGTGCTGCTGACGTTCCACAGCTTCAGCCGTGTCTCCTCTGCCAACACACACACACACACACACACACACACACATGTACACACACACATACATACACACACACACACAAACATACACACACACACATACACACACATGTACACACACGCACAAACATACACACACAAACATACACACACGTACACACACACATACACACACATGTACACACACGCACACACAAACATACATACATACACACACAAACATACACACACACACAAACATGTACACACACGCACACACAAACATACATACATACACACACACACACACACACACACAAACATACAAACACACACACACACACACACACACACACACAAAAGCGCGCACACACAGACACACACATACATACACATACACACATACACACACAAATGCGCACACACACATACATACTCACGCACACACACACATAAACATGCACATATATACACATATGGACACATACACAGACACACACATACACACACACACACACACACACACACACACACACACATTTGTGGATTTCAGTTCATCAAAGGTTCTGGGATTGTTTTCAAAATTTTTTAATCTTACATAAAGTTACATCTGAAATCATAAAATATTCAAAAATAATAATCTACAACTGTTTTAAAGAGTATCTTGTCAAACATTTTGGCAATAAGTAATGTATATCAGAATCACAGAACGCAAAAGGAACAAGGGGAAAACAACTTCATGAATTGACTTAGGCTTTTCCATGGGCTCTAATGTAATGTGTTGTAATGTAATATAAGGCAGCGGAACATAAAGTGCCAAACTGTTGCTGTGTCTTTAGGCAAGACACTTCACCCAAACTGCTTAGAATGAGTCTGGTGTGTGTGTGAATGGTTGGTGGTGGTCAGAGGGGCTGATGTCACAGACTGGGCGGCACGGTGGCTGAGTGGATAGCACTCTCGCCTCTCAGCAAGAGGTCCTGGGTTCGAATCCCGGTCGGACCAGGGCCTTTCTGAGTGGAGTTTGCATGTTCTCCCCGTGTCTGCGTAGGTTTCCTCCGGGTACTCCGGTTTCCCCTACCACTAAAAATATGTCCAATAGTTCTGGCATGTGCCTCCTGTACTGGTGACCCCGCTCCCATCTCTGTGTGGAGTGAGAGACAAATGCCCATAAATGACAATTGTAAACCGCTTTGAGACTCAGATTTGCATTGAAAAGGCGGTATATAAATAAAAAGAGATTAAAAGAGATTACTGGTTGCCTCGCTTCTGTCAGTGTGCCCCATGGCAGCTGTGGCTACAATAGTAATTTACCACCACGGTGTATGGAGTGAAAGAGTAACAACATGTGAAGCTTCTTTGAGTGTCCAGAAACAGAGAATATATGTAATAAAATACACAATTAATGTTTTCAAATGAGGAGGAGTGGACTGCAGCTGACCTGAGAGACTGGCCCAGGTCCTGTTGAGGTCTTTAAGGGCCTGCTTCTCCGCGATAGCCTTCTTAATCTCGTCCAGGACCAGGTTGAGTTCCTTGGAGCGCCGGAGGTTCTCCTGCTCGGCCGAGTGCAGTCTGTCTCTGAGGGCCAAGAACTCTCGCTGGTACACGTCCACCACATCTCCTGCAACCACAGCATGAGCACACACAGGTCAGACAGGCAAGAAAACATACAGATAAATGTGTAGCAATATATTTAGAGTAAGGTAAGTAAAATTGTATAGCACAGTTCAAACATGAGGCGACTCGAAGTGCTTACATTAACCTTTTAATGGTTTACTCACCCATTTGGTGGATCACATTTTGAGTCAATAGATCTACAATAAGCTTGGAACTCAAATCTTCCTCTTTGGGGCATCTCAAGATTCAAGATTCAAGATTAATTTATCATGTCCCGTAGGAAATTTGTCTTGGAGTCACAGGCTGCTACATTGAAAATACACATAAGACAGATATAAAACACCGCTCTGCTCGACGGCCTGCATTCAGGAGGTTCACAGATATAATAATAATAATAAATCGGTTTTATATAGCGCTTTTTTGGACACTCAAAGACGCTTCACATGTGTCATTATTCATTCACTCCATACACAGTGGTGATAAACTACTATTGTAGCCACAGCTGCCCTGGGGCACACTGACAGAAGCGAGGCAACCAGTCTGCGCCATCGGCCCCTCCGACCACCACCAACCATTCACACACACAGACTCATTCTAGGCAATGGGGGTGAAGGACACAACGGCAGTTTGGCACTTTACAGCCGCAGCCCCCACTGTGGCAAAGATGGATTCTCCGTAACTCCCATGACCTTAAGTGAAGTTCTGCTTTTGTTTTAACAGGCAAATTCCTAAACCACACACACATACCATATCTCAATACACTCTCAATTACAGCAATTACAATCACTTGGCTTTAGGAACTTTTACCATCAAACTGCATCACAACCATTTGGTAAAAGCCTATCATTTAAAAAAAACAAAAGGTGTTTACAAAGGTGCTTTTGTAAAGGAATCAATGTTAAAGGGTTAAAAAAGACTCTGGATACTATCCTTCAGTTGTATGTACAGCTACAAGAACTGTTTTTAACCTGCATCTGAACATTCAGCAAGTTTAGCATTGATTGAGCAAAAAAACATTTGTGGAAAATTAATAATGTATCTGTTTTATATAGAGCTTTATTGGACACTCAAAGACAGTCCGACCACCACCAACCGTTCACACACACCAGACTCATTCTAGGCAATGGGGGTGAAGTGTCTTGCCTTAGGACACAACGGCAGTTTGGCACTTTACAGCTGCAGCCGCCCCACTGTGGCTGGTGTTCCCAGAGGTTAAGTGTCTTGTCCAAGGGCACAACGACAGCAGACATCAGTGGGAGTCGGTGGAGAAAGGCCAATGCTCTACCAACTGAGCCACTGTCGCCCCAAATGAATACCTTTTCTAAATAAAATAAATATAATTATAACACAGAATATTTCACTTTCGTTTTGGGGAGACTGATTTAAAAGCAGGTCTCTCAGCCGCAGAGCCCATGCTTGATTTCACATCTGTAAATGTCTTCTGGGCTGCCCTCCCTGTTTCCATGAGCTGGGTTGTGTTGGATAATTCACTCTGACACTTGTGAGATCGGAGCATCAAACAGGCAAAGCATCTCCCATGACTTCATACACGCTCCTGCAGGCTCCGGAAGGTGGGAGAAACTCAAACGTACTCTGACAATTGACAGCCATGTTGAGGACATGGACAATGGTGATGATTACAAACTCTTTTTTTTTTATCTGATGCAGTCTTCACACAGTAGTTCTTTATGTTTATGCAACGAAACAAGTGAAGAAATTAAGTTTTTACATCTTAATGCTTTATTCATTCCCGTAGGGCAATTTGTCTTCTGCATTTGACCCATCCTGATGCCGCTAACGCTTACAGGAGCAGTGGTCGCCATAGAAACAGCGCCCGGGAACCCATCTCCAAATGTTGACGCTCGGATTGGTCCGGACTATCCGAGCTGGAGGATTTCACCTAGTGTACATCTTTTTAGTGGTATAGGGAAACCAGAGCACCCAGAGGCGCAGGGATAATAAAATAATTTAAAAAAAACAAACAGTAGCCTTAGTTAATTTTTTTATTTTACATTTGATTTGCCGTCCATTACATATATACACAGCAACAAATGATAAAATATGAGTCAGATATTGCTTGAATTGAGTGGTTTTTAACTTAATTTGAGAATCTCTTGATTGTTTAAAAATTAGATTTGCCAATAGGACAAAGCCATTTAGTCTTATTTGAAGAACAGTTGCAATATTTTCTCATTCCAAGGGAGATCTTTCTTGTATTTTTTTCAAAAAGTAGAAGATTTTGCTTGTCCCAATGGCAGATCTTGTTTTAAGGCAAAATGTGCCCAAATTAATATACATTTGGCCACATTTGAGTTATTACTTATTTTCCATCACTTTTTGCAGTGAGTATATTTTTGGGTGTGATTATAGCATACAGACTTAGTGATAATCCATGACACCTGTGGGTCATATTTGTCATATTTTATTTCATATCTCAATATTGATCTAAAACAATGTCAGAAATGTGTCAGAAAATAAACTTCAGATTATCAAAATAAGACTTTTAAAGTCACAGCACAGTGCACCCAAGACCCACTGGATATATCAAATGTGATTTTCATCAACATGGAGCAATATAAAAGATTTTCAAATAACTTTTTAAGAAGGAGCAGTACGTGTCATGCTCCAGGGTAAAAACCAAAAACTCAAAAATCCAACGAAACAAGGCACAGGACGAAACAGAACAGACATGAACAGAACTTGACAATATAATAAACCAGCAGCAAGGGGAGAGGAGCACAGGTACATCTAGACAATCAACAGGGAACCGGACAGGAAGTCAAACTGAAATGAAACCACAGAACTGACGTCAAAATAAAAGCAAATGCAGAAGTAATATCACACTATGACAGTACGTGCAAATCTGAAGGTAAGAGCTTCTCTCTTGTGTGTCTATGTGGTGAAGGTAGCCCAACTGTCAAAATGAGATGGCAGAACTCATATCAAAAGTTATAAATCAAAAGATGTATTTTGGACAAAGTAACCAGCAGTCCTGTCCCTTGGGTGTCTCTTGACGAGGTTCACCTGGGAACTTTTAACCTTGAGTTAACTGTTATCTGGTAAGTTTTTATACAACCTAAGTTCATTGTGCTTAGTGTAAAATTTAAATTGAATGTTTTATGAAAGCTTAGATTAAAAAAGTTATTACATTGTTAGCATAGAATGTCCATAATTCTTCAATTAGTCATTTATGCTTCTATCCAAGTAACACAGCAAAACTTATTTACACACATGCAGCATAGATCTTTCGAAACTTACACTTTACTGCATTTTCCCAACGTTTTGGTGTGTACCGCAAAGAATAATGGCCAATATTCTTCGCCAGAGTCCGCTTAGATGCAGGCTACGGCAAAGTGTGGAACAGGGGCGCAAAGGGGGCGGGCCAAAGACCTCCCTGGAGGATTGGGACTGTACCTTACATAATATAATATAATAGATCCATGTACCTTACGCACTCGCGCCCATCATCGGGAACGCGCAAATGAGGGGCGTGAGGGTGGAAGTGCGAGTATTGGGACTGGGCCACAATGGACCAGCAACAAGGGGATCACAGGTACATACTGTATATAAACAGGTGAAACACATCAGGGCGTGGCAGGACAGGAAGTAAAACTAAAAACAAACTACACTGAGAACAGATTTCACAATATAATCAAAGCACAAAACAACTAAAAATCCCACCACACCATGACATAAGCCAGAGGAGACCTGGGGGTTTTTGCTCAGTGGGAATGAGCCCTTTGATCCCATCTGACTTGTGGTTTGGCTTGTGTGATATCAAACGTAATCATTTCTAAAGCCACACAGCCTAAAGCCACACTCTGAGGCCAGCTGTGATCTGTAATCTGACGGGAGGGTCATATTCATATCTCAGATGATAATCCGGCACGGTCAGGTACAGAGAGGCTCTACAGCTGACATGATACACTGTAATCCACACACAGTAATCCTGATGCTCCATTCGCATAATCCTGTGTTTACAAGACTGCCACTGTCTTCACCGCAAACTGCAGAGAGCTGAGACATGTTACTCTAAAGCACCGATAACTCATATTCAGCATTCAGTGTGGTTACGATTATATATACAACTTTACTTATGAATGATCACCTAGAAATGAAGAGAAAGAAGAAAACCTCCCATCCCGTTGCCTTTGTACAATTTATAGTTCAATCTTCCATCCTCTATCTATCTCTATTTCGGCACATTTTGACCAGCCTTATTAAAAGAACTTTCTAAGCCTCAAACATAAGAAGACAGCTCTTCTTCAGCTCTTTCGTCAGTTGTCACATATGTTGTCACTTGTCTCGTTCAGTTTATCATCTCTTGGTCTATGTATATTTTGTAGTATTTGAAATATTTGTACTTCAAGATACTTTGTCCTATCCTATATAATGGGGCTTTCTAAAATCTTATACATCTTGAATGTTTTGTCTTTTTTATTTCATGTTTTTGATCTTTTTAGAGTTTAAACTTTATAGTGGTGAGTTTTTATACTTCTAAGTCTCATCGTATTTGTAGTATTGCAGTACTTGGCTACTAGCTAGGCAGACGCACTCCAGAGGGCAGCTCGTGAGGAGGACACAGCTGGTTTTGAAGCGGCTGCAGTGAAACATATACTGTAGAAGAAGAAGGTCCTTTATAATCCCACAGTGAGGACACTTCAGTTTGATGAATACACATGTAAGCCCCGCCCCAGAGGACCAGCACTTTGACCATTTCTGAGGAGGCAAGAGTTGCTTTCTTGAAGATGAAGAAGTTTTTTAACAACATTGGTCCTCTCCTGTACATGAACTAGTTTTGGGATATAGCTCCTAAATTCTAGTGAGTAAATATGTAATGTTTATTTATGTAGCGTATTTTACAGACCAAGATCACCCAAAGCACTTTCAAATTGTTCAGAGTTCAGATATTGTTCCATTCTCTCTTCACACGACGGTGATGACAGAAACAAGACGCCGAACACACAGGGGCATCAAACCCTCCAACCAACACCATCCATTCACTCACTAATACATTCATACCCATTGTAAAGGTAGGGAAAGTTGGAGCACCCGGAGGAAACCTACGCAGACAAGGTTAGAACATGCAAACTCCACTCAGAAAGGTCCTGTTCCGACCGGGATTCGAACCCAATGGAGCAATAATTTGTCATTTGTTTGTTGTGTTAGGTTTCAAGTTTAACATTGTGTTTATGTGTCCCTGAATGCTACACAAACCAGGTCTGTCTTCTTTGCCTTTGGAACAAACAATAAAAGTATTTTGAGCAGGTCTCTGGTCTCTTTAAATTTGACCGTCCTCCATCAAATGTCGTCCTCTTTCTCTGCCGCTGAGAGACATAAAAGCTCCAGCGCGAACCGTGTTAATCCGATCTAAATTTAATGTCCGACTTCTACCTGTCGATTGGATGTAGCTCATTACAAACGCCACAGTGGGATGCAATGTCTGTTTGTTACGGCCATTACGCAAATGTATATAAAAAACCCAGATGAAACTATAGTTGAAACCTTTATGATCCGAATCCCCGTCTGGCGTCTGGATGAAGGAACTTCTTAGGAATGGTTAGTTGTGCGTCATGTCCCAGCGCAGGTGCCATGAAAACACACATCTTGATCGTTCACTTAATCTAATCTACATTTTTAATCTACCCGAGGGTGGAATTATTATTGTTTCTAAACCGGGATAACTCTTGCTGACTTAGCGTTACCCAATTTCCACTAATCCAGATCCCATTTAAAAACCCAAAACAACTTTTTTTTACAAATTGGTGTCAAAAACTGGCCGTGACCAAATCCCAGTTTAGACCAGTTCCAGAAATGGGAACCAGTTCTGGAGAAATACAAACAAAACACAACAATTGTATTCAAGCTATAGTTAAAATACAGAAAAACAGTTAGTTGACAAGTTAATGAACGCAAACGGAAGGATTATTATACACTACTAAGAGTTTTTTATGTTCATGACTACGAAAATTGGAGATTCACACTGAAGGCATCAAAACAATGAATTAACTCATGTGGAATTATGTACGGACTGAAAAAAAAGTTTGAAACAACTGAGAATATGTCTTTTATTCTAGGTTCTTCAAAGTAGCACCTTTTGCTCTGATCACTGCTTCATACTCTCTTGGCATTGTCTTGATGAGCTTCAAGAGGTACAGTAGTGACCTGTAATGGTCTTCACAAAGTCTTCAAAGGAGTTCCCATGATGCTTAGCACTTGTTGGCCTCTTCACTCTGTGGTCCAGCCCCAAAACCATCTGGACTGGGTTCAGGCCCGGTGACTGTGAAGTCCAAGTCATCTGGCCCAGCTCCATCACTCTCCTTATTGGACAAACAGCCCTTACACAGCCTGGTGTGGATCTACAGTCAATAGTCATGAAAAGAAAGGAAGCTCATTGAATAAGAAAGTGTGTCCAAACTTTTGGTCTGTACTGTATATTTTTATGTGCGTTTGTACGTTCTCATATGTGTGTTTGAGTAGCCTTGTGCATGAACTGTGGTATATAAATAAACTTGCCTTGCCAAACTGCTGCTATAAATCATGGTATTGCTTTCAGATAAAAAAAATCAATCAAGGCCATAGTGGTTGAAGCTGCAAGTCTGTGTTTGATGAAGAAGTGGTGTAACATGGTTAAAAAATAAACAACATATTTTCCATCATCAAATCAGATAAGAGAACACGCAGAGAGATAGCCGTTGCTTAAAACATATCTTGTTTATTCCGTTTGGATGTGGGTTAAAATCCCTATGGCCCCTTTTGGAAAATGTGTGTCCTGCCCTTTCCTCTCTCACACGCTCCTCTGTCCCCAAATGTCCCCAAATATGTCCAACGGCTGCTTCCTTTACTGACCAAGGAAGGAACTTATACAGAAATACAGTCTGGCTCATATCCACTGGGCCTGGTTTGTGCTGAGGTCCTAGTCCTGGTTTGTGCTGAGGTCCTTGTCCTGGTTTGTGCTGAGGTTCTTGTCCTGGTTTGTGCTGAGGTCCTAGTCCTGGTTTGTGCTGAGGTCTAGTCCTGGTTTGTGCTGAGGTTCTTGTCCTGGTTTGTGCTGAGGTCCTAGTCCTGGTTTGTGCTGAGGTCTAGTCCTGGCTTGTGCTGAGGTCCTAGTCCTGGTTTGTGCTGAGGTCCTAGTCCTGGTTTGTGCTGAGGTCCTAGTCCTGGTTTGTGCTGAGGTCCTAGTCCTGGTTTGTGCTGAGGTCCTAGTCCTGGTTTGCCCTGATGTCCTAGTCCTGGTTTTCCCTGTGGTCCTAGTCCTGGTTTGTGCTGAGGTCCAAGTCCTGGTTTGCCACAATACGTTAACTATCGTCAATATAGTAAGGTAAAGCGGAGACCATGAGCCGCGGTGACGGTCATCTGCAGCTGTGGCATCAGTCTCGACTCAGGCTCAGTTCTTATTCCACACTGTGTGAAGCTAGATGCTCATGGTGGAGTGTTGTACTTTACTCCATGATGAAGAGCTGAGAATAAACAAAGACAGCAGCGTCAGTGAGGCTGCATTTTTTTCTTTTGATGAGGAGGAAGACGCAACCTCCTTTAGTGCAGACGCAGAGGTACTCGAGTAAATGAGGCTCAGAGTGAGCGATTCCCCGAGTGAGAGCTGTGTTCATGACAACCCCGTGTTTCAGCCTCTGTGCTGTTTTGGATCAAGAGATGAAAGAAACTAGCCTGGCCTTATCCATCCATACACTCATCATTTCACTGCATGTAACGTCTGGGTCTGGTCCCTGTGTTTGCGATTACAATTGGTTGAATTTCGACCGACCAATCAGAGAGCGCGGGAGGCGGGTGTTGTAGTTAGTTGTGGGTGGCATCAAGAGTTTGCGTCGAACAGACAGGTTGTAGTTTGGCAATGGCGAAAAATGCGATAGTAAACTATTCCGGTCTGGTTCTATCAAGAAATTGAAGCCGGAGCAAGAGTAATGTTTAGCAAATGTAATTGCTGGAAAAAATTGTGGCGCTACTCCCCACGGGCTCAGTTAGCGTCAAAGGAGATGGCTAGGCTAAATGCTAACAACGTACTCGGGCGCACTACATACATCACGGCAAACTCAGATCCAATTGTTTCAATCTGCAAAAGGAGTTAACCCCTCCCACCTGTTAACAGAGCTCAATGGAGCAAATCCAGACCTTAGTATGAAATGTCATTTGTACTATGGTGTGGTACGACCAGGCTAGAAAGAAACATCTGTTATGATCTGCTCAAAGTCAAGCATAATATAAAGTGACACAAAAGTCACGTAAAAGTAACAAGTGACGTAATAAGTAACTTTCTTTAAAGAGTAACGAGTAAAAAAGTTACTTTTTAAAAGTAGCTTCCTCAACACAGTAAAATAACAGTAATTTCATACTAAGTCCCAGTGAAGTGCCCAGGGCCATAGTGCAGTTCACACAAAGACAGCTTTGATACGATAAAAGATCCTTATTTAGACCCACGGTGGGGAAATGTCAGTGTTGCATTGCACTTCAAAGACAATAGAGAGAAAGTACACATACAAAGGTGGAAAGGTGTAAACGCTTCTTTAGCTTTAAAATCTTCTAAAATCTTTATCTCAATTTTAGACCAAGGATACACAGACATCATATCAAAGTAAATATAATCTTTAAAAAGCAGCGGGGTTCACAGCGACGCTTCACTGTCGCAGCAGAATCAGACTTCAGTCTGTGACGATGGAGATGATGAGGCTTTAGCTGAGATCGGAGTCTTATCGAGCGTCTGACATCTACCGCTTTGTTACTGATGAAAAGAGCCTCTGGCTCGTTACTGTCCATCAGGGGTCTCCAACCTTTTCCACAGAGAGACACTTTTACAGGTCAAAAAGAGCTGTGAGCTCCTTCTTTAGGCAGTTCAGAGACATTTACAATGAGTTTAGTAGTTTGTAAAATGATATGAAGACTTTTGGATGTTCTCAAAATAATAAAATAAAGGATTTTCAACATTAAATGGCTCTAATCTGTCAAAATGCATTAATTAACCATGGTCTTTTCTAATACTTCTTTAGCTGATCACAGTAGTTCAGAGATATTCAAATTTCAAAATGAGTTTTACTGCCCCCGAATCTTGTTATTGTTTTACAGTGTGTCCCGTTCTCCATCATTTTACCTCTCAGAAAGTCTGTGATCCATAAAACAACCTATCATAATGTTTAGTGCTCTAAATGTGAAATAATCCTTTGGGGAGCTACTGTACTTTGAAGAGGGTGGCGAGCTACTGTTAGCTCCAGAGCTATAGAGACCTCTGCTGTCAATGGTTTCATCTTGGTTTCTGTTTCCATAAGTGCCTTTAGTGCACTTTGAGACAAGTTCACACTTTGGGTTCACTTGGGCCTCACTGTGTTTACATTCTGCATACTTTTGCACTTTGTACGCTCATGTTCAAGTGTTTTTAGTTTCTTGTGTTTATTTCAAGCACACAATGAAAAAAGTCTACATTATTTACAACCACAACAAAAACAGTGGTCTTAACGCTGAATGTAAGCAAAGAAAATTCACCGCAACATGAAGAGGAGTGGGATGAAGTTGGACACTCACTGATTCCCACCTCCTCTTTCAACATCTGAGTATATTTGTTTTTGCTCGAGAGATGTCAAATTCTGCACTTTGAGCCTTAATTTCACCCCCTGAACATGCATGAAAAGTTGTAAAATTTGGCCCAAACATCAGACCTGGTGAAAAATGTGATATTTTGGTGTTTATTTTTATGGGACTCAAAAAAATGCCAGAACAGCGCCACCTACAACAGCCAATGGGAGTTTCAAAGGTCAAGTTTGTCGTAGAGCCATGACATTCGGTACACATGTTCCTCAATTCAAGATACGACCAAAATATTATTATGGCCCGGCCCTCTGACAAACAGGAAGCCCATACATTTCACTGCAATATGGAAAAATGAACAGCAATCATTTTCATACATGTCGGTTGGAAAGCGACTCCTCCTCGGCCGTTTCACCGATTTGCCTTAAAATCGCTCCACATCCTCTCAACACATGTACCTTCAAAATGACCAAAGGGATTTTTGATCAGTGAAAATTTGTTTGAGCAGCGGAGCGGGAAAATGTGAATGTTTTTTGGCCGTTTTTGACAACATTAATTTTGCTCCCGTTTGTACAAACAAAGTCTGGTTTGCACAAAACTTGAATCCAATGTTCAACTCCAGGGTTTAGGTCAGGTGAAAGTGAAATATTCGAAATTGGCCCATTAGCGCCCCCTACAGATTGAGGCAAAGTTTTACATGGTCCTAGTTTAGACCTGCTTTAGTCCTGCTTTAGACCTGCTTTAGTCTGGCTTTAGTCCTGCTTTAGTTCTGCTTTAGACCTGCTTTAGTCTGGCTTTAGTCTGGCTTTAGTCCTGCTTTAGACCTGCTGTAGACCCGTTTTAGTCCTACTCTACATCGCAACATATTTTTGGACTTGGTCTTGGCTTTTTTCTAACTTGGGTCCATTTGTTAAATTTTCAGGATCAGGAATGTGTCAAAACAAAGTTATTATTTGAATGTGAGGAGCCTTAAAGCCATTTGGACACTTGGACAAAGCTTTGTTCCATTCAAACGACACATCAGCCCGAGCTGGACCCAAGACAGGATGAGGTCAGAGTGGACGGTTATCCGCTCTGTCTCTGAACAGATAGTCACTGAAATAGTAGTAGTAGTAGCAGTAGTAGTTGTAGTAGAAGCAGTAGTAGCAGTAGCAGCAGTAGGAGTAGTAGCAGCAGTATTACACACAAAATACAAGATAATAAATAAAACAGGATACAAAAAATACAAACAACAACATTGTTTGGTTCCAACCCCTCGCACTCCAACAATTCTATTCTAATTCATTATTTCAGTGGTTGAGAAACGACAGAAAACACACTCTCTCACTCATACTATATAACTTTAATCATACATGTCTAATTCTCATAGATACATTGATATGGAAGCATTTACAGCGAGCTTGTGTGTCTGTGTGTATATGGTGCATGTGTTGTGTGTCAGTGTTACATGTGGAAGTGTTGTTGTGTGAGTGGTGTTGTGTGTATATGGTGCATGTGTCGTGGTGTTGTGTGTCAGTCTTACATGTGGAAGTGTTGTTGTGTGAGTGGTGTTGTGTGTCTATGGTGCATGTGTGCATGGTGTTGTGTGTCTGTGGTACATGTGGGAGTGTTGTTGTGTGAGTGCTGTTGTGTGAGTGGTGTTGTGTGTCTATGGTACATGTGTGAGTGGTGTTGTGTGTCTGTGGTACATGTGTGAGTGGAGTTGTGTGTTTGTGGTGCATGGTGTTGTGTGTCTGTGGTGCATGTGTGCATGGTGTTGTGTGTCTGTGGTGCATGTGTGAGTGGTGTTGTGTGTCAGTGTTACATGTGTGAGTGTGGTTTTGTGTTTATGGTGTTGTGTGTCTATGGTACATGTGTGAGTGGTGTTGTGTGTCTGTGCTACATGTGTGAGTGGTGTTGTGTGTCTATGGTACATGCGTGAGTGGTGTTGTGTGTCTATGGTGCATGTGTGCGTGGTGTTGTGTGTCTGTGGTGCATGTGTGAGTGGTGTTGTGTGTCCATGGTTCATGTGTGAGTGGTGTTGTGTGTCAGTATTACATGTGTGAGTGGTATTGTGTGTCTGTGGTGCATGTGTGCGTGGTGTTGTGTGTCTGTGGAGTTGTGTGTCTGTGGTGTTGTGTGTCTGTGGGGTTGTGTGTCTGTGGAGTTGTGTCTCTGGCGTGTTGTGTGTCTGTGGTGTTGTGTGTCTGTGGGGTTGTGTGTCTGTGGAGTTGTGTCTCTGGCGTGTTGTGTGTCTGTGGTGTTGTGTGTCCGTGGTGTTGTGTGTCTGTGGTGTTGTGTGTCTGTGGAGTTGTGTGTCTGTGGTGTTGTCGTGTGTCTGTGATGTTGTGTGTCTGTGGTGTTGTGTGTTTATTGTGTTGTGTGTTTATGGTGTTGTGTGTCTGTGGTGTTGTGTGTCTGTGGAGTTGTGTGTCTCTGGCGTGTTGTGTGTCTGTGGGGTTGTGTGTCTGTGGGGTTGTGTCTCTGGCGTGTTGTGTGTCTGTGGTGTTGTGTGTCTGTGGAGTTGTGTGTCTGTGGTGTTGTGTGTCTGTGGTGTTGTGTGTCTGTGGTGTTGTGTGTCTGTGGAGTTGTGTGTCTGTGGTGTTGTGTGTCTGTGGTGTTGTGTGTCTGTGGAGTTGTGTGTCTGTGGTGTTGTGTGTCTGTGGAGTTGTGTGTCTGTGGTGTTGTGTGTCTGTGGAGTTGTGTGTCTGTGGTGTTGTGTGTCTGTGGTGTTGTGTGTCTCTGGCGTGTTGTGTGTCTGTGGTGTTGTGTGTCTGTGGAGTTGTGTGTCTGTGGTGTTGTGTGTCTGTGGAGTTGTGTGTCTGTGGTGTTGTGTGTCTGTGGTGTTGTGTGTCTGTGGTGTTGTGTGTCTGTGGTGTTGTGTGTCTGTGGAGTTGTGTGTCTGTGGAGTTGTGTGTCTGTGGAGTTGTGTGTCTGTGGTGTTGTGTGTCTGTGGTGTTGTGTGTCTGTGGTGTTGTGTGTCTGTGGAGTTGTGTGTCTGTGGTGTGTGTCTGTGGTGTTGTGTGTTTTGTGGTGTTGTGTGTCTGTGGTGTTGTGTGTCTGTGGTGTTGTGTGTCCGTGGTGTTGTGTGTCCGTGGAGTTGTGTGTCTGTGGTGTTGTATGTCTGTGGTGTTGTGTGTCTGTGGTGTTGTGTGTCTGTGGTGTTGTGTGTCTGTGGTGTTGTGTGTCTGGCGTGTTGTGTCTCTGGCGTGTTGTGTGTCTGTGGTGTTGTGTGTCTGTGGAGTTGTGTGTCTGCGGTGTTGTGTGTCTGTGGTGTTGTGTGTCTCTGACGTGTTGTGTGTCTGTGGTGTTGTGTGTCTGTGGTGTTGTGTGTCTGTGGAGTTGTGTGTCTATGACGTGTTGTGTGTCTGTGGTGTTGTGTGTCTGTGGTGTTGTGTGTCTGTGGAGTTGTGTGTCTGTGGTGTTGTGTGTCTGTGGTGTTGTGTGTCTGTGGTGTTGTGTGTCTGTGGAGTTGTGTATCTGTGGTGTTGTGTGTCTATGGTGTTGTGTGTCTGTGGTGTTGTGTGTCTGTGGTGTTGTGTGTCTGTGGAGTTGTGTGTCTGTGGTGTTGTGTGTCTGTGGTGTTGTGTGTCTGTGGGGTTGTGTGTCTGTGGTGTTGTGTGTCTGTGGTGTTGTGTGTCTGTGGGGTTGTGTGTCTGTGGTGTTGTGTCTCTGGCGTGTTGTGTGTCTGTGGTGTTGTGTGTCTGTGGTGTTGTGTGTCTGTGGTGTTGTGTGTCTGTGGAGTTGTGTGTCTGTGGAGTTGTGTGTCTGTGGAGTTGTGTGTCTGTGGAGTTGTGTGTCTGTGGTGTTGTGTGTCTGTGGGGTTGTGTGTCTGTGGAGTTGTGTCTCTGGCGTGTTGTGGGTCTGTGGTGTTGTGTGTCTGTGGAGTTGTGTGTCTGTGGTGTTGTGTGTCTGTGGAGTTGTGTCTCTGTGGTGTTGTGTGTCTGTGGTGTTGTGTGTCTGTGGGGTTGTGTGTCTGTGGAGTTGTGTCTCTGGCGTGTTGTGTGTCTGTGGTGTTGTGTGTCTGTGGGGTTGTGTGTCTGTGGAGTTGTGTGTCTGTGGGGTTGTGTGTCTGTGGAGTTGTGTGTCTGTGGTGTTGTGTGTCTGTGGTGTTGTGTGTCTGTGGTGTTGTGTGTCTGTGGTGTTGTGTGTCTGTGGAGTTGTGTGTCTGTGGTGTTGTGTGTCTGTGGTGTTGTGTGTCTGTGGGGTTGTGTGTCTGTGGTGTTGTGTGTCTCTGGTGTTGTGTGTCTGTGGGGTTGTGTGTCTGTGGTGTTGTGTCTCTGGCGTGTTGTGTGTCTGTGGTGTTGTGTGTCTGTGGAGTTGTGTGTCTGTGGAGTTGTGTGTCTGTGGTGTTGTGTGTCTGTGGTGTTGTGTGTCTGTGGGGTTGTGTGTCTGTGGAGTTGTGTCTCTGGCGTGTTGTGTGTCTGTGGTGTTGTGTGTCTGTGGAGTTGTGTGTCTGTGGAGTTGTGTGTCTGTGGAGTTGTGTGTCTGTGGTGTTGTGTGTCTGTGGTGTTGTGTGTCTGTGGGGTTGTGTGTCTGTGGAGTTGTCTCTGGCCTGTTGTGTGTCTGTGGTGTTGTGTGTCTGTGGTGTTGTGTGTCTGTGGGGTTGTGTGTCTGTGGAGTTGTGTGTCTGTGGTGTTGTGTGTCTGTGGTGTTGTGTGTCTGTGGAGTTGTGTGTCTGTGGAGTTGTGTGTCTGTGGTGTTGTGTGTCTGTGGTGTTGTGTGTCTGTGGGGTTGTGTGTCTGTGGAGTTGTGTCTCTGGCGTGTTGTGTGTCTGTGGTGTTGTGTGTCTGTGGTGTTGTGTGTCTGTGGGGTTGTGTGTCTGTGGAGTTGTGTGTCTGTGGGGTTGTGTGTCTGTGGAGTTGTGTGTCTGTGGTGTTGTGTGTCTGTGGTGTTGTGTGTCTGTGGTGTTGTGTGTCTGTGGTGTTGTGTGTCTGTGGAGTTGTGTGTCTGTGGTGTTGTTGTGTCTGTGGTGTTGTGTGTCTGTGGTGTTGTGTGTCTGTGGGGTTGTGTGTCTGTGGTGTTGTGTGTCTGTGGGGTTGTGTGTCTGTGGGGTTGTGTGTCTGTGGTGTTGTGTCTCTGGCGTGTTGTGTGTCTGTGGTGTTGTGTGTCTGTGGTGTTGTGTGTCTGTGGAGTTGTGTGTCTGTGGAGTTGTGTGTCTGTGGAGTTGTGTGTCTGTGGTGTTGTGTGTCTGTGGTGTTGTGTGTCTGTGGAGTTGTGTCTCTGGCGTGTTGTGTGTCTGTGGTGTTGTGTGTCTGTGGTGTTGTGTGTCTGTGGAGTTGTGTGTCTGTGGAGTTGTGTGTCTGTGGTGTTGTGTGTCTGTGGTGTTGTGTGTCTGTGGGGTTGTGTGTCTGTGGAGTTGTGTCTCTGGCGTGTTGTGTGTCTGTGGTGTTGTGTGTCTGTGGGGTTGTGTGTCTGTGGAGTTGTGTGTCTGTGGGGTTGTGTGTCTGTGGTGTTGTGTGTCTGTGGAGTTGTGTGTCTGTGGTGTTGTGTGTCTGTGGAGTTGTGTGTCTGTGGTGTTGTGTGTCTGTGGAGTTGTGTGTCTGTGGAGTTGTGTGTCTGTGGAGTTGTGTGTCTGTGGTGTTGTGTGTCTGTGGAGTTGTGTGTCTGTGGTGTGTGTCTGTGGTGTTGTGTGTTTGTGGTGTTGTGTGTCTGTGGTGTTGTGTGTCTGTGGTGTTGTGTGTCCGTGGTGTTGTGTGTCCGTGGAGTTGTGTGTCTGTGGTGTTGTATGTCTGTGGTGTTGTGTGTCTGTGGTGTTGTGTGTCTGTGGTGTTGTGTGTCTGTGGTGTTTGTGTGTCTGGCGTGTTGTGTGTCTGTGGTGTTGTGTGTCTGTGGAGTTGTGTGTCTGCGGTGTTGTGTGTCTGTGGTGTTGTGTGTCTCTGACGTGTTGTGTGTCTGTGGTGTTGTGTGTCTGTGGAGTTGTGTGTCTGTGGAGTTGTGTGTCTATGACGTGTTTGTGTGTCTGTGGTGTTGTGTGTCTGTGGTGTTGTGTGTCTGTGGAGTTGTGTGTCTATGGTGTTGTGTGTCTGTGGTGTTGTGTGTCTGTGGTGTTGTGTGTCTGTGGTGTTGTGTGTCTGTGGTGTTGTGTGTCTGTGGTGTTGTGTGTCTGTGGAGTTGTGTGTCTGTGGTGTTGTGTGTCTGTGGTGTTGTGTGTCTGTGGGGTTGTGTGTCTGTGGTGTTGTGTGTCTGTGGGGTTGTGTGTCTGTGGTGTTGTGTCTCTGGCGTGTTGTGTGTCTGTGGTGTTGTGTGTCTGTGGTGTTGTGTGTCTGTGGAGTTGTGTGTCTGTGGAGTTGTGTGTCTGTGGAGTTGTGTGTCTGTGGTGTTGTGTGTCTGTGGTGTTGTGTGTCTGTGGGGTTGTGTGTCTGTGGAGTTGTGTCTCTGGCGTGTTGTGGGTCTGTGGTGTTGTGTGTCTGTGGAGTTGTGTGTCTGTGGAGTTGTGTGTCTGTGGAGTTGTGTGTCTGTGGTGTTGTGTGTCTGTGGGGTTGTGTGTCTGTGGAGTTGTGTGTCTGTGGTGTTGTGTGTCTGTGGGGTTGTGTGTCTGTGGAGTTGTGTGTCTGTGGGGTTGTGTGTCTGTGGTGTTGTGTGTCTGTGGTGTTGTGTGTCTGTGGGGTTGTGTGTCTGTGGAGTTGTCTCTGGCCTGTTGTGTGTCTGTGGTGTTGTGTGTCTGTGGTGTTGTGTGTCTGTGGGGTTGTGTGTCTGTGGAGTTGTGTGTCTGTGGTGTTGTGTGTCTGTGGAGTTGTGTGTCTGTGGAGTTGTGTGTCTGTGGTGTTGTGTGTCTGTGGTGTTGTGTGTCTGTGGTGTTGTGTGTCTGTGGGGTTGTGTGTCTGTGGAGTTGTGTGTCTGTGTGTGTGTGGTGTTGTGTGTCTGTGGTGTTGTGTGTCTGTGGTGTGTGTGTCTGTGGTGTTGTGTGTCTGTGGTGTTGTGTGTCTGTGGTGTTGTGTGTCTGTGGTGTTGTGTGTCTGTGGTGTTGTGTGTCTGTGGTGTTGTGTGTCTGTGGGTTGTGTGTCTGTGGGTTGTGTGTCTGTGGGGTTGTGTGTCTGTGGGGTTGTGTGTCTGTGGTGTTGTGTCTCTGCGTGTTGTGTGTCTGTGGTGTTGTGTGTCTGTGGTGTTGTGTGTCTGTGGAGTTGTGTGTCTGTGGAGTTGTGTGTCTGTGGAGTTGTGTGTCTGTGGTGTTGTGTGTCTGTGGTGTTGTGTGTCTGTGGAGTTGTGTCTCTGGCGTGTTGTGTGTCTGTGGTGTTGTGTGTCTGTGGAGTTGTGTGTCTGTGGTGTTGTGTGTCTGTGGTGTTGTGTGTCTGTGGGGTTGTGTGTCTGTGGAGTTGTGTCTCTGGCGTGTTGTGTGTCTGTGGTGTTGTGTGTCTGTGGAGTTGTGTGTCTGTGGGGTTGTGTGTCTGTGGAGTTGTGTGTCTGTGGTGTTGTGTGTCTGTGGTGTTGTGTGTCTGTGGTGTTGTGTGTCTGTGGTGTTGTGTGTCTGTGGTGTTGTGTGTCTGTGGTGTTGTGTGTCTGTGGTGTTGTGTGTCTCTGGTGTTGTGTGTCTGTGGTGTTGTGTGTCTGTGGGGTTGTGTGTCTGTGGTGTTGTGTCTCTGGCGTGTTGTGTGTCTGTGGTGTTGTGTGTCTGTGGGGTTGTGTGTCTGTGGAGTTGTGTGTCTGTGGGGTTGTGTGTCTGTGGAGTTGTGTGTCTGTGGAGTTGTGTGTCTGTGGTGTTGTGTGTCTGTGGTGTTGTGTGTCTGTGGAGTTGTGTCTCTGGCGTGTTGTGTGTCTGTGGTGTTGTGTGTCTGTGTAAGTAAGTAAGTTAGTAAGTTTTTATTTATATACCGCCTTTTCACTGCAGAATTGAGTCTCAAAGCGGTTTACAATTGTTAATTTTGGGCATTTGTCTCTCACTCCACACAGAGATGGGAGCGGGGTCGCCAGTACAGGAGGCACATGCCAGAACTATTGGACATATTTTTAGTGGTAGGGGAAACCAGAGTACCTGGAGGAAACCTACGCAGACACGGGGAGAACATGCAAACTCCACTCAGAAAGGCCCTGGTCCGACCGGGATTCGAACCCAGGACCTTCTTGCTGAGAGGCGAGAGTGCTATCCACTCAGCCACCGTGCCGCCCCGCAACTGTGGAGTTGTGTGTCTGTGGAGTTGTGTGTCTGTGGAGTTGTGTGTCTGTGGTGTTGTGTGTCTGTGGGGTTGTGTGTCTGTGGAGTTGTGTCTCTGGCGTGTTGTGTGTCTGTGGTGTTGTGTGTCTGTGGGGTTGTGTGTCTGTGGAGTTGTGTGTCTGTGGGGTTGTGTGTCTGTGGAGTTGTCAATCAATCAATCAACTTTATTTGTATGGCGCCTTTCCAACACAAGGCCACTCAAAGCGCCTCACAACCCACATAGTATCACACAAATCAGAGACATCAATAAATACATTAAAAACAGAATAAAATCACAAATAATGGAAAAAAAAAAAAAAAAAAAAAGAAACTTAAAATATTAAAAGCACACACGGGATTAAAATAATAAATAACCACAATGCATTAAAAAAAAAAAAAAGAGTATGTATCAATAGAATCCTTCAGCCGTATGCACAGCTAAAAAGAACAGTTTTTAGCCCCGATTTAAAAATTGCCAGAGTAGATGCTAGCCTCACATCTTCAGGAAGATTGTTCCAGATTTTAGCTCCATAAATCTCAAACGCTGCCTCCCCATGTTTAGTTCTGACTCTTGGAACCAGTAAGAGGCTACCTCCTGTGCTCCTCAGAGTCCGGGTCGGTTCATATGGGACTAACAAGTCGCTTAAGTACCCTGGGTGCGAGGCCATGGAGAGACTTGTACACAAGCAGTGCTGCTTTGAAGTCTATTCTCTGAGCCACAGGAAGCCAGTGCAGAGACCTGAGAACTGGACTAATGTGGTCATATTTCCTGGTCCTGGTCAGGACTCGAGCTGCAGCATTTTGGACATACTGCAGTTGTTTTACAGCCTGTTTGGAGAGACCTGTGAGCAGGCCATTGCAGTAGTCTAACCTACTGGAGACAAATGCATGGATGAGAATCTCCAGATCTGATTTAGACACTATGTTTCTAATTTTGGCAATGTTTTTCAGATGGTAAAATGCTGCTGATGTTACTGATTTGATATGACTGTTAAAATTTAAGTCTGAGTCCATTATAACTCCTAGGTTTCTGACCTTGCCTACAGGTTCCAGGGAGAGAGACTGGAGGTGACGAATAACGCTCTCTCTTTGTTTCTGAGGACCAAAGACAATCAATTCTGTTTTGTCTGCGTTTAGCTGAAGGAAGTTATTTTGCATCCAATCACTAATCTGTTGAGTACAGTGAAGGAGTGATTCCACTGGTCCATGTTCTCCTGCAGTAAGTGAGACATAAATTTGAGTGTCATCAGCGTAATTGTGGTAGGATACATTGTTGGAGCGTATTAACTGACCTAACGGCAGCATGTAAATATTGAACAGAAGAGGCCCCAGAATTGATCCCTGTGGCACTCCGCAGGTCAGAGCCATATGATCTGAGACACAGTTTCCTATCTGAACCAAGTATTTCCTGTCTTCTAGGTAAGACCTAAACCAACTTAGGGCAGTCCCAGTGACACCCACCCAGTGCTCTAGTCTCTGCAGGAGGATCTCGTGGTCGACTGTGTCGAACGCAGCACTCAGATCCAACATTACTAAAACTGTGACTTTTCCTGTGTCGGTGTTAAGTCGGATGTCATTTGTAACCTTCACTAGTGCAGTCTCAGTGCTGTGATTGGCTCTAAAGCCGGACTGGAGCGCATCAAACGAACTATTAGTTACTAAGAATTCTGTAAGTTGTTGGTAAGCAACTTTTTCCAGAATTTTTCCCATAAACGGCAGATTTGAAATGGGGCGATAATTCTTAAGAACTGTGGCATCTAGACTCCTCTTTTTTAGGAGGGGTCTGATGACTGCCGTTTTCAGGGCCATTGGAAATGTTCCAGATGAGAAAGACATGTTCACTATTTGTGTGAGCAAAGGTAAAAGACTGCTCAAAACAGACTTAAAAAATTTAGTGGGTAGTACATCCAGGCTACATGTGGAGGAACTAAGGCTAGAGACAACATCTTGGACAGTTTCATTATCTGTTGGTGCAAAGTGCGATAGCTCAAACAGCCTCACCGGCTGTTGTAATGTTATTTCTGCCTTGGAGGTGATGGCGTTTTTGATGCTCTGAACCTTGTCATTGAAAAATTGTGCAAACTCATTACATTTAGATTCTGAAGCAAATTCGAATGGCAGCTGAACAGGGGGGTTTGTTAATCCGTTAACTGTTGAAAACATAAGTCGTAGATTATTATTGCAGCCATCAATGGTTTTAGAAAAATAAATTTCTCTTGTTCTACGTAGCACCCTGTTAAACTTGCACAACTCATTTTTGAAGATATCATGATCAACCTGGAGATTGGATTTTCGCCACTTCCGCTCGGCCCTACGGCACTCTCTCTTCTGTACCATGACTGAGTCCATTTTAGTCCAGGGGGCCTTTGGCTTATTTGTAATCATTTTAACCTTCACAGGAGCGATGATGTCCAGAACATTTATAACATTGGCGGTGACAGAGTTAAACAATTTGTCAACAGTAGAACACAATGTGTTCTCAAAGTTTATCATTCCCATGAATAGTTCGGTTGTGTTTTCATTTATGTGTCTGTGTCTGACAATTGCAGATTCAGATATATATGGTTGTTTGCTATCAAAACACATGTCAAAAAATACACAGAAGTGATCTGACAGAGCCACGTCAACCACATTTACATTTAAAATATTAACCCCCTTTGTAACCAGCAGGTCTAGAGTGTGCCCTTTGCTGTGGGTGGGGCCACTCACGTGCTGAGTGAGACCAAATGTTTCAAGTACAGAACTCAGCTCTTTTGCTTTTTTGTCATTGCCATTATCCACATGAATATTAAATCACCTGTAATTAATCACTAAACTATCAAAATCGGTGCAAACAACTGAAAGCAACTCAGTGAAATTATCCAAGAAATTGTGACAAGACTGCGGTGGCTTGTACAGGACAATGATAAGAATAGAAGGAGATTGTTTTTGTTCTATTTTAAAAGAAATATACTCAAATGATAGAAAATTTCCAAGGAGAATTCTATGAGAGATAATACGATCTCTAAATAATGCAGCAATGCCTCCCCCCCTTTTATTTTCTCGGATTTCAGATTCAAATTTGAAGTTTGGTGGCGTTGCTTCTATTAAAACCGCATTACCTGTACTCTGGTCAAGCCAAGTTTCAGTCAGAAACATAAAATCAAGATCAAAGAACGGATAAAATTATTAATTAAAAATGATTTGTTGCACAGTGATCTGACATTAAGCATAGCAATTTTAAAATTAATATCAGTAACAGTGGGTTTAGTTAATTGATTTTTACAAGGAGCAGGAATTAGATTTGAATGTCTAACTGCTGTCCTTCTGTTATGATTTTGTTTTCCATTCAAATAAAAACATTTTTTGAAACTGATGCGAGGAACACACACAGTTTCTATTTGTCTAACATGTGAACTCTTTTGTTGTGTAAGTCCCGGATTCAGGACGGCATTGCTTCGTTGTTTAGAGCAGGAGGCAGCACGGTTCAGAGGCGAGACTGTTATTTCACTGCCAGACGGAAAGGGGTCAGTGTTTGCACCACAGTACTCACCCGGTGCTGGTGAGCAGGAGAAGAAGGAGGAGGGTGGTGGTGGTGGGGGCTCCGATGTAAACAGTCACGCCCCCCTCGGGGAACACTGAATAACGTGGCGTAAGTAATCCGTCAACAAGCTGGTGCCATATCTATTTGGGTGCAGACCGTCTGGACGATAAGCCACGTGACGCTTCCAGAAAAGGCCAAAGTTATTCACAAAAATAAAGTTAAACGAGCTACATGCAGACTGGAGCCACATGTTCAGCGCCACTACGCGACTGTACAAGCAGTCTCCCCGGTTTACAGTCGGGACTGGACCAGAGATAAAAACACACAACCCGGAGGACTGGAGAAGGCGGAATAGATCCATAAAATGCTTCTTTGTGACCTCGGACTGCTGCAGCTTCATGTCGTTGATCCACAGTTGTGTGTCTGTGGTGTTGTGTGTCTGTGGTGTTGTGTGTCTGTGGTGTTGTGTGTCTGTGGAGTTGTGTGTCTGTGGTGTTGTGTGTCTGTGGTGTTGTGTGTCTGTGGTGTTGTGTGTCTGTGGGGTTGTGTGTCTGTGGTGTTGTGTGTCTGTGGTGTTGTGTGTCTGTGGGGTTGTGTGTCTGTGGTGTTGTGTCTCTGGCGTGTTGTGTGTCTGTGGTGTTGTGTGTCTGTGGTGTTGTGTGTCTGTGGAGTTGTGTGTCTGTGGAGTTGTGTGTCTGTGGAGTTGTGTGTCTGTGGTGTTGTGTGTCTGTGGTGTTGTGTGTCTGTGGGGTTGTGTGTCTGTGGAGTTGTGTCTCTGGCGTGTTGTGTGTCTGTGGTGTTGTGTGTCTGTGGTGTTGTGTGTCTGTGGTGTTGTGTGTCTGTGGGGTTGTGTGTCTGTGGTGTTGTGTGTCTGTGGTGTTGTGTGTCTGTGGGGTTGTGTGTCTGTGGTGTTGTGTCTCTGGCGTGTTGTGTGTCTGTGGTGTTGTGTGTCTGTGGTGTTGTGTGTCTGTGGAGTTGTGTGTCTGTGGAGTTGTGTGTCTGTGGTGTTGTGTGTCTGTGGTGTTGTGTGTCTGTGGGGTTGTGTGTCTGTGGAGTTGTGTCTCTGGCGTGTTGTGTGTCTGTGGTGTTGTGTGTCTGTGGGGTTGTGTGTCTGTGGAGTTGTGTGTCTGTGGAGTTGTGTGTCTGTGGTGTTGTGTGTCTGTGGTGTTGTGTGTCTGTGGGGTTGTGTGTCTGTGGAGTTGTGTCTCTGGCGTGTTGTGTGTCTGTGGTGTTGTGTGTCTGTGGGGTTGTGTGTCTGTGGGGTTGTGTGTCTGTGGTGTTGTGTGTCTGTGGGGTTGTGTGTCTGTGGGGTTGTGTGTCTGTGGAGTTGTGTGTCTGTGGTCCTCTCAGCACACCGCAGGGACATCACCAGCTCCTGTTTCACCCACAGCCTCCTCCTCTCCGGTCCATGAGTGGGAAAACTGACCTCACACTGAGCTCCCATCTGCTCCCAGACCATTCCCGACAAGACCAGATAAAAGAGAATGTATTGGTCCCACAGTGGGGAAATGTCAGGGTTGCACCGCACTCGCACTTTGACAGGACGAACCTTCTAAAACTCACCGAGGGTAACGTAACATACACATGACACTAGAACTCGGGCCAAAATGAGAACGCGGCAAACTTAAAGATGTATACCCGTATTTGTTTTTTTTTATGAGTTCACAAAAATGCTTATTACTACATACAAGTTATATTAAAATCCACAATTTAATTGAAAACTTGAGCTCGTTGATTCAGCTGTGTATGAATTCAGGCCTTAAAAAGTGCTGAGTAGAGACTTTAGCGTGACGCCCGCTCTCCTCCAATCACAGAACGAGGCTGCGTCCTCTAGCCTCTACAGCGCTGCTAAACACAGTAGCATGTTAGCATAAGTGGCTATAACTCCTCTGGCTGTAACTGCAGACACAGAAAAACAGCTCAAACCACACAACAGTGAGGAAGAGAAGAGGAACTAAAGCCAAAAAATAATCAAAGAAGAAACCAAGCCCGGGTGAACATAGTTAGCTTACATCGTATCCTCTGGAGAGACTGGTCTATGGGAGAGACCTGCGGGACCGCCTCGGACTATCTACGCTCGGACTATCTACGCTCGGACTATCTACGCTCAGACTATCTACGCTCGGACTATCTACGCTCGGACTATCTACGCTCGGACTATCTATCCTCGGACTATCTATGCTCGGACTACATTGGGACGCGAAACTTGCGGTAATCTTTCAGTTATAAATTTTATTAGCAGTGCGTTGCTTTTTTACCATTTCATCAGTGATAAGTTTGTGTAAGCCCTCAGTCGTACAGGGATTAGTCAAAGCAAAGGAAGGTTTCTCACCCATCATCTGTACTTCTTAGCAAGTTTTCCCGACGTTTCGTCCTCAACCTAGCGGACTTCTTCAGGGAATGAATTCTCAGACCGAGCCTTGGAGATTTATAACCTATGGGTGTGGTTAGCCACACCCTAATCCTGATACTAACTCATAAACAATCTAAGGTCTGCTTGATGTAGAAGGGAGCAGGTCTAACGACCCTGCTGAGGCTAACGACCCTAACTCCTTAGCATGTCACAGACCTATTGTCTGCTGGGATGCTCAAGTGGAGTGCAGGTTTCACCCCTCCTAACTCATTAGCATGTCACTGACCTTGTCCCAAGTTAGGGCGTTGTTTTTAGGATGTCGTCATAGATGCGAGGCAAAACAAATCTTAACCCTCCTCCTCTGTTAAGAGAAGGTTTTTGTTTCCTCACAAAAATGGCTTCTTTCACTCCTCTCTCAAACCAATTCTTCTCCCGAGCCAGAATTTTAACCTCTGCGTCATCCACCGTGTGGTTGGAGGCCTTGAGGTGGAGATGAACAGCCGACTGTGGCCCACTAGAGTTTGTTTGGTTTCTCCAATATAGTGGTCAGTGCACTCCTCGTCACTACATTTAATTGAATACACCACATTGCTCTGTTTGTGTCTGGGTGTTTTGTCTTTGGGAGGCACTAATTTCTGTCTTAACGTGTTGAAAGGTTTGAAATACACAGGGATTTTGTGTTGCCTAAAGATTCTTTGTAGTTTCTCTGAAACATCCCAGCAGACAATAGGTCAGTGACATGCTAATGAGTTAGGGTCGTTAGCCTCAGCAGGGTCGTTAGACCTGCTCCCTTCTACATCAAACAGACCTTATGAGTTAGTATCAGGATTAGGGTGTGGCTAACCACACCGATAGGTTATAAATCTCCAACACGCGGTCTGAGAATTTATTCCCTGAAGAAGTCCGCTGGTTTGAGGACGAAACGTCGGGAAAACTTGCTAAGAAGTACAGATGATGGGTGAGAAACCTTCCTTTGCTTTCATCAATGATTGTTGTACAGCTTACAAGAAGTTGCGCTAGTGCTAATGTTTGCATCTGTATCAGATCACAAATAAAACTAGATGGCTCCGTGGGAGGAGAGCGTAGTGGAAATGAGAAGCCCGTGAGCGAGTTGAGGGGCGGGGCTAAACATTCAAACCTTGCAGAAACGGGTATAGCTCCTTTAAACGAATGCAGACGAATCCAGCTGGGACCATAACAGCTGAATAGACAAGAGTTTAGTCATCAACAAATCTATAACCAACACATTTTTCACAAAGATAGAAATCCTGGTTTTATTCCTTGTTTTATTGTTAATGATTTGAGAATCATAACAAGACCTTTTTTAGTTCCACGGCCACATGGTACTTTACCAGTGAGATTAGCTCGACGTGGTGAGTTCTGACAACCTGGATCACAGACTTTCTGATTGGTGAAACGGTGGAGGGCGGGACATCGAAATGAAAACAATTGCAAGATTTAGATGGAAAAATGGAGAAGTTTAGTCGTCTGTATCAGCTAAATACATTCCTACTCAATGAGTGTTCACGCAGAGGACTTGGCTTCATTGAAAACTTTGATCTGTTCTGGAATAGGCACAAGCTTTTTGAAGAAAAAGGTCGACATCTGAACAACTACGGAGTAAAAGTGTTGATGGACAACTTTGCATCTGCCCTAAGACCTCAGCCTGCGCAGCGCGTGCAGCCGTCGAAAGGGAGAAAGAAGAAGCAAAGGGCACAGACATCACGACCATCTCCACCGACTCCTGAGGTCTCTGCACCCCCACCGCCTCAAAAGAACTCAACATCTCCACGATTCAAGAAGAACTCAACACCTCCAAGGTTCCAAAAAAAGAGCAGGCTGGATGCTTCTGTACTTAACAACTATCGTCCCATCTCAAATCTGCCATTTATGGGGAAAGTCCTTGAAAAAGTTGTCTACCAACAGCTAAATAGATTTCTTATAATCAACAACTCATTTGATATGTTTCAGTCCGGCTTTAGACCCCACCACAGCACTGAGACTGCTCTTGTTAAGGTTACAAACAATATCCGGCTGAACACTGACGCAGGCCCAGTCTCAATCCTAATCCTGTTAGATTCGAGTGCTGCCTTTGACACTGTCGACCATGAGATCCTCTTACAGAGACTAGAGGACTGGGTTGGCGTCGCTGGCACCGCCCTAAGTTGGTTTAGGTCTTACCTTGAAGACAGGAAGTACTTTGTGGAGATTGGAAACTGTGTCTCAGATCATATGGCCCTGACCTGTGGAGTACCACAGGGGTCGATCCTGGGACCTCTTCTGTTCAATCTCTACATGCTGCCGTTAGGTCAGTTAATACGCAGAAACAAAGTTTCCTATCATAACTATGCAGACGACACTCAGATCTATGTCTCACTGACTGCAGGAGAACATGGACCAGTGGACTCACTCCTTCACTGTATCCAACAGATCAGTGAGTGGATGCAAAACAACTCCCTTCAGCTAAACGCAGACAAAACCGAAATGATTGTCTTTGGTCCCCAGAAACAAAGAGAGAGCGTCATCTGTCACCTCCAGTCTCTCTCCCTAAAACCTTCAAACAAGGTCAGAAATCTAGGGGTAATACTGGACTCAGACTTAAATTTTAATAGCCACATCAAATCAGTAACATCAGCAGCTTTTTACCATCTAAAAAACATTGCCAGGATCAAAAACATAGTGTCTAAAGCAGACCTGGAGATTCTTATCCATGCATTTGTCTCCAGTAGGTTAGACTACTGCAATGGCCTGCTCACAGGTCTGTCCAAACAGGTTGTAAAACAGCTGCAGTACATTCAAAATGCAGCAGCTCAAGTCCTGACTAGAACCAGGAAGTACGACCACATTAGTCCAGTCCTCAGGTCTCTGCACTGGCTTCCTGTGGCTCAGAGAATAGACTTTAAAACAGCTCTGCTTGTTACAAGTCTCTCCATGGCCTCGCACCAAAATATATTAGTGACATGTTAGTCCCATATGAACCAGCCCGGACTCTGAGGAGCACAGGGACTGGACTCCTGTTAGTGCCCAGAGTCAGAACTAAACATGGGGAGGCTGCTTTTCAGATTCATGCTGCTACAATTTGGAACAATCTTACTGAAGATGTGAGACAGGCCTCCTCAATGACAATGTTTAAAACCAGGTTAAAAACGGTGCTGTTTAGCTGTGCATACAACTGAGGGATTTTATGTTTTTATCTTTCTTTTTAATGTTCTGTAATTATTTATGATTTTAAGGCTTGTTCAGCACTTTGAGTTGCCTTGTGTATGAATTGTGCTATACAAATAAACTTGCCTTGCCTTGCCTAAATCATTGAGAAAAAAAAAAGAAAACAAAACTCTTGAAACACAAATTATTCCTACATTAAACAACAGCATGAACCAAAAAACAGTCAAGCATTCTTAAGAAACTACAATCTTAAGAAACAAGTATCTATAAGACTTGTTTAAGATTTGTAAATAAAGATTATTGAATTGAAGTTCAAGAACCGTGGGAAGATAGGAAGTACTCCCATGGCAAAACCATAGACTGTAAATATTAAAACACTTGCCTTTTTGTTTCCAGGCAATTGTACAGTGTAGCACTAACTCTGTAAAATAGCAAGGACAGTTTATTTGGATCGCACAATTCATACACAAGGCAACTCAAAGTGCAGAAGGAAGATACATTTTCAAATTGAAGTTCACGTTTGGGTGAAGGGCAATTCCATAGACGGACGTACTCACACCTATCGCCGCCTTTGAAGCTAATGTGCCACTTTCGCCTTCTGTAGGGCTTTTTCAAACTGGGACACGGGACTGCAGATGAAAAATAGCTTCTTGGCTAAGTCTGGCCTTTTACAGAAATGTTCATTAATATGCACTCTCCCTGTATTAGATAAATACAGTGCCTTGCGAAAGTATTTGGCCCCCTTGAACCTTTCAACATATCGCCACATTTTAGTCTTCAAACATAAAGATATAAAATTTTATTTTTTGTCATGAATCAACAACAAGTGGGACATAATCGTGAAGTGGAACAAAATTTATTGGATGATTTAAACTTTTTTAACAAATAAAAAAC